ACTACTGCCACTTCTTCTTCAGAGCCATTCATTAGGCGTTCTTCGAGACCTGGAATCATTTGAAGGAGCGTGACAAAAATTTTGTGCTCTCTTCTTTCTCTAGAGCTCTCATCGGCATCGAAGGAGGTTGAAACTGAGAAGTAATGTGACGAACTCGTTGGTGAACATATCCTCAGGTTGCTCTGCAAGTTCACTCATACGAAGAAGACCGTTAGTGATAAGTGCTTGCACATTTGTGAGTGTGTGCACAGTCCTGCCGAAATGGCGCCCATGGTGCACAAGAGGATCCGAAAGGCAACTGTTCGGGCATAGATAATTTTCATTCGTTGTACATCAGCAGAAACATCAGGTATTTTGCACGGCGCACGCACGCTTTTTTCCTCGGACCCATGTGAAGGGCATTTTCTCTTTCTCGTTGCCGAGTGGATGGGTCATGATCATCTGCCATGGTTTCCGAACGCGAGGGTAGACTGAGAGAAGGAGGTAGTATGCGTCTAACTTAGGGCCTGTGCGACAACGCTGGCCTCTATATTGTACCGGTGGCATTTCTGGCTAATACCCATGGAAGCTCCCGATGCCTCTAGTTCACTTTGTTGCGAAGCCGCGTGCCGTCATGCGCCGAGTAAACTAGTGACGTATGACTGTAATCAGTGCTTATTTCGAACTTAATGCTGCATCGTAACCACACGAGGTGACCGAGGGACTACTATACCGTTTGGATCAAAGCGACCGCGTCAGAGGTGAGAAGCGTTAGAAAAGTTTACAGTGGCGCGTTTACCGCATATCACAGAGTCGCGATCGCCGTACCGACCTTGATAACATCTGGTACGCACAGATGACAACGAGTTGACAGGCGAAGGAGAGAACCAATGAATCGGCACTGTCCTGCAATGAGTAAAACTGACTGCGGCTAGAGGGACCAGATAGTACATGTTGCTGCGAGAACTAGTGGCATAGGTCTTTCCAGACCCTGATACTGCGGTGCCGTGTCAGGGCTGGGTGCTTTACTCGGCTAAGCACGACTGGGATCAATCCGTCCGGACCTACGGCGAAGCTTCAGAGAGTATCGTCACGAGCTTGGCTTGGGAACAAAAACGCTGAAGCGCATCGCAGAGGCTACGGATTGATCGAGGTGTTTTCGAGCGCTGGAAGCGTCTACAAGGACCAGATGCGTCTACATGGGCTGAAAGTGTCTGGTATCCATAACGCAATGTCGCATTCACCGACGCTGTGTCGCAAGTTGAAGGAGACGCCTTCCGGCCAATCGCAGCCAGCGCACATAAAAGCTGGGGGAGAACTTGTTCTCCAGCCACAAACGTCCCCTCTTCGACCGCCGTTACTACCATGCCTGTCGAAAGATCTGACCCTAGAATCCGAAGGTACCTCCACCGTATTCGGATCTCAGCGAACGCTGTTTACGAGTATGACTGCGACAAGGGTGGCTTACGTGTGTGGTATTGGTGAGACGACTCCGCGTCCTGATGCATGGCTTCGCTGAAACCAGACCATACCATACCAGGCCTGTCAACAGTGAAGGTGAACGTGTAACACCCTCGGACTTGGATGAACATCGCAAGTCCCACCGCATCCATAATCCCTGCTGTCTATGCCCGTTGATAGCAGATGGACGCGAGGCCGTTGAAGCAGCAATCTTCGTCCCGCTCCGTGGGCGCGCAACAGGTGAATATGTAGCTGCGTGTGCAAAAAGCAGCTGTGGATACTATGGTGAATATACAGCTTGATTTCCAATACTAAAGGCGATACTTAATAGCTGCAAACCAGTCCACTTGGAGCGGATCTATGCTAAGACTGGGCTTCCTGTACGCTGCTATCCTCCAAGGGGTGAGTTGGAAAGGTTCGGGCCTACGAAGCATGAAATACTCACCATACAATGTCTAGACGAGCTTGAACCTGTCCCTGCACCAGTCGAAATACACGCCAACGTACAGATTGAAGGTGAGTAAGCGATCAACCTTCGTCGAGTCGCAGAGCTGACTCCAGAATGAGAGCGCCGTATTGCGGACGCGCCCCAGCGGACGCGAGGGCAATCCCATACCGAGGCGCTAGTCCAGCTCTTGCGCCTGAACTCCTCCGTTCGTCCCGGACTCGAGCAGGCTGATTTTGAGGCGCTCTTCTTGAAATGCACCTGCGGTTTGATCATGATGCGGATGGCATTCTGCTACCACGAGTGTGCTGTACAGAAACATGCACATCAGGAGATAGCAGTGCAAGAAGTTATCGATCTTACTATCGATGACTCCGACGAGGATGCATAATAGATATCGTACCGATGCGTTGACGACTCAATGCGGGATGACTGTGAATAACTGTATCAGGAGCTGCACGGAACCTAATCAATACCGCCCAAAAAGTGAATTTTGGGTGCTCACCGTTGACCGCCACTCAGTTACGCCACAGACTCTGTTTCCACGCACTGCGCAGCTGAACCTTGGCCTCGAAGCTTTGCGTGAGGTCCTGACCCTCAGGTGGCTGGAGCTTAGCAAAGTTACCTGGAAGCAGTTCTGCGAAGATGTCCCCGAAGTCTCTGCGATGTATCCGATGAGCTGTCGATGGCAACGACCCGAAAAGGTGAGCGCGCGGTGACGCTCGGCTAACCAACAGAGGCGCTAAAGACTAAAGTAATCGAACGGCAACTGCCGGCAAGGATTCGCGTGGCGTGATCGAATCGTAATCTAGATGCTTAATGTGCAAAGGTACAAGTAGGAAAGAATTATGGAGATCGACACAGTCAATTTATTCTCAATCATGCGCGCACATGATTAAATTTCAGTTCACAAAATTTTCCAAAAAATGCAGCGCTCTTCTTCACTTCACTTCCTCACAAACGTCTCGAGCCGCCACTGGTAGAGGGATGAGAGCTCTCCCTTTAATCTAAAAACGCGTCAGCTGGCTCCGGCGAGCTCTAGAGAAAACTCACATGCGTATATGGTCGGGTCGTAGTTGTGAAGAGTGCGGCTGCACTGTGTCACCAACCTGAAGCCCTTTTGGAAACTGAGAAGCGTTACCTTATGCCATGTAAACGCCCTCCCGGGAATTGTGCTGGGCGGACGAAACTTGTGAAGGGAGCCTTTTGCGGCTTCGACATTGAAATTTATGGACTCAAATGCCTGCGCAATACAGGCTAAATGCAACACAGAGCGGACTCAAAAGCAAGCATACCGATACTAGCTCACGCCATCCGACGGATCCCTGAGCTTTAAATATGTTTTTGAAAGTCTGCAAGGTGAATTCAGAGGGTACTGAGTCCATAGACATTCAACTTACTGCGTAATGCCGCCCGCTCACTATTATTGTTCGATTCATGATCGATGGGTCGTAGATGAGAGAGGAGAAGAATCGAGTAGCAAGTAGAGGATAGGGAATGGACGCTGTACGTTCGGTGAGCGTAGACGGCCAGAGCCAAAGTCCGCCGCGCGAGAAGTCTCAGCTCAGCTACCTGCGGCACACTTGCAAAAGGGTAACTTTCCCAGTGTCACATCGCAGAGACAACTTTCGTGGTATGTTGGACCAAGTTAGCCCACTAAATTGCTTTTATCCATTCACAAATTGATGTTCAGGCCCTGCATCTTATAGCCATGAACTCTATGAATTCCTACAGCGGTGTAAGGGGCCCTGTATTGTTTCAGTCAGATCTCTATAAGTAGCCATCAAAGGTTTAAAAACTCGCCATATAGGGCTGCGTAGCTTTGGGGATAATACGCCGTATACCCCGGGTGGTACATAAAGGGCACGTTATTCCTGGCGCGAGGGCTGTTGGCGTAGTTCAATACCGCACGATATTCGATATCAGGAACCCCAAGAGGAGGCCACAGGTTGCTCTGGCGATGCCAAAGCAGCTCTGTACGCTGTCGACACTGGAGGCAGCCCATCTAACACGAAATCTAGATGGCATTGACAAGCTGCAGCTGTAATTAGTATGAAAGTACTGATAGGGACTCGACCCGCCAATTCTCGAAGGCAAGAAGTCCCAAAGTGGGAATGCCGACGAAATCGGCTACCAGCCCCTGGAAAGTGATCTCGTAGCTAGACCATGGCGGGATAGAAGGCTGTATGATGCTAGGATAAAATGCTATAGAGAATGAGAGGTGGGTGGGTAGAAAGGGACGCGACCGGAACGGGAAGGGGCGGCAGAAGGGCTCAAGTGAAGGAAGCAGGTGAGACCCGCGGAACCGACGCCACTTGTAAAGTCGGCGCAAAAGTCAACTTTTGGTTAGCCCCATTTAGCCACCCATCTTCTTAATTAAGGAGGTCCTCTTTCTTATTTGGGCAATTAAAGCCAATAATGGGCCCTTATTTTTCCTTAATCAAGGAAATAACACCAGTAAGCAAAAGTTGACGTAACCGGCGTCAATTGTCCGGCTCGCAGGCGCCCATTGAGGGTTTCAACAGCTAGCCTGTGAACGAGCTGGGCGAAGTCCTGGAATGGGGCCAAAACAACGACAGCATAGATCCGGCACGAGCATTGCCCAATGGTCTGCCCCAGCATACTCAGTTGCGTAGTCATTCCGGGGAGTGAAGCGCGCGCGATCACTGCACGCGCCAAAACATGTCAACAACGCGTCAACAAAGAGGACGCGTCAACAGCGCACAACAAAATTTTATGGTGGCCGGTTTGCCTTAAATTCACCACCCTTCGCTTGCTCTCTCTCTAACTTTCACCCCCGCGCGGCCCCGCCACTGCGATTGTCCGCCCCCGTCTTGGCGTCTTCTCGTTCGGTATGTCCGTCTCCTCTCGGGGACTGTGCTATCCAATGGGTTCGAAGGAGACCTATATCGCCCACTGGATGGCGCAGTTTCTACCATTCATATCCGCCGCTAGCACAGAGTCTGCGCGGACGGCAGGCTGCACGAGTTCGAAGGAGACCTGTATCGCTCGTGCTGCCTGCGGCCTGCTTTCTGCCGGCTGCTTTCTGCGAAGGCCTGTTGTTCGACCCGCGCGGGGGCTGATACTGTGCGCCACAGAGAAAAGTGTCGCCAGCATGTCTTTGGTGGTAAGCCTGCTTGCTTGCTGGCAGTTTCTCCCTACTGACCCCCTTCCATAGGCCGGCTTGGACTACCGTGGGAAAGCCTCCATGAGAGAGCGCCTGGAGGCGGTCTGGGGGGCGGAAGGGGGCAGGGGTGAAGGCCCGGACCACGCCACTCCCGCCGTTGCTCTGCAGGGCCCGAACAGGTATGCCCTGTTCACTTTCCATCTCAATGCGGCACTACTGACCTTGGTTGCAGCCCGAGCGACAGCTCCAACGGGGGCTCTCGTCCACGGGATATATCGAACACCGCACCTGCCTTGTGCGACTTCGTGCAGGCGGAAGCCGCTCTCCAAGTTTGCGCTGAGGGCCTGGGCCCTGGTCGCAATGCGCGCCGTCAATACTACTTTGAGAAGAGGACGGCCGCTCGCGCCACCGCTCGTGCCAAAAAAAAGAAGGCCAGTGCAATGCACGTCCAGAGCACGGCCTCTCTTTCCCAGCGGAAGATGCCCGGGGGTTACATCGGCAGTCGCATCAAATCCGAGCGCCCACCCCGGCGAGAAATCATCGGGTGTGCTAATGGGTGAGCGTGCACTCTAGCGCCCTTTGGTGAAACCGAGCTCACATCTGAGGCAGAGCGGCTGCGTACATCTGTGACTCAGAAGGGAGGCTCGTCATCTACAGGTCGTTCGCAGGGCCAGCCACTGTCCGCGCCAACTCTGCGGCTATGGCTGCTGTAGAGTACCTGCAACACAGTGGCGTCAAGCCGACATATTCCGGCTCCACTCGAGGAAACTTCCTGCAGTATTATTTTACTTTGCATCGGGACAATCAGGTGGTGAGCACTTTCCTTTGTGGGCGTGAGCTTCCTGTAACTGACCATAGCGAGACAGAGGCCACGCATGTCTCTCTACTACTTAAAACACATCGACGTTGTGCGCGAGCTCGGGAATCTCCTCAAGCCAGTGGTCGCCCTCATAAACGGTGAGTTTGAATGCCACTGCCGTATGCATGGCCTAATGCGCAGGCCGTTCCAGGTATCTTCAAGTCTCGATTTCCCGACCTATATGCCCATTACGCCGCCACTCTCGACTACGTTCTGGAAAAGGATGCAGGCCTGGAGGCCCTGTTCTACCCATTTGCATCATTTGCGCTCAACGCCGGCATCGTAGTCACCTTGCCCCACCTCGACTCCACCAACTACGGTCCCGGCTTGTGCTGCATCATGCCGTATGGAACATTTGACCCTGCGCAAGATTGTCGAATTGGCATCGCCGAGCTTGGCTATGAGATCGAGGTAGGCCCCGGAGTGCCTGTGTTCATTCCATCGGCGATGTTTACCCACTACAACACCATCCTGATCTCCAAGGGGATGCGAGGGTCTCTTGTGTTTTGGACTGGCGGCTCAATATTCCAGTGGGTTGAGCTAGGTGGCAAAATGGTTTCTGAGCTTTCTGGTCCTGAGCATGAGGTGTATATCAAAGGCCTTGCTGCTCGAATTTTGGCCGGTCTTGCTCGGTTCCCTATGCACATGTAGCGGCACGGCGTACATTAGAAAGGTTTTAAAACGTTTGCGTGGCGACAGAATTAATAAACAGCCCTCTGCCTACTTATAACTTGTGTGTTGAACATAGAACGGTGCCGCTATAGCCAGCCCGTCCTCACCTCTTGCGCACTACCCTCGCCCCTTGTCCTCCAACGGCCCCAAGACATTGCTCTTTAACCAACAATAGCGCCAACTGTGCCGTGGCTCCGTTCTGCCAATCCTGGACTAATTTTGGAATCTGAGGTCGCAGCGTGAAGAAATCTTCCACGGTAATGTTGACCGAGCCATCAGCATGTCACAGTAAGAGAGCAAAGCGATTATACTACTCATTAATTGCGCTCGGAGGGAGGAGTGGGTGGGCGGAGAGCGGGTGGGTGGAGAGCGGGTGAGGGGGTTAGAGATGAAGGGGGTGGAATACGTGGAGTATATGTGACGAGCAGGCACTGCGCGTTTGCTCGTTCAGAGCCCACAAGAAGCACCGGCTAAGCGTGGAGTTCAACTAGACGTAGTGGCCTCTACTCGCCTTCTATCGCGATCGTTCCACCAATTAAGGAAACTGTAGAGATCTCACTCGGGCATGGCCCTGGCATCACTCTACATCGCCTGTCTTCGCCTGTTACGACGCCGTCCGGACATCTTTGAGGCGCCGCTTGGTTCTAGAAGGCATATTGGTTCTTACATTCGTCTTTGGGGAGTTGGTAAGCATATGGTTCTCATTGCGAGTCGCTTGGTCACTCACCTGCATAATCGACACACATGTAGCTGATCGGTGTCTCCCCGCTCGGTTCTGATACAAACAGGACAGAGCAGTTGAGCCGAAGTCAAAATGACCGTGACTAACGGCCACATCCTATTTTCTGAGGTAAAAAATTTGCCAGTATTACACGTTACAGATTCTAAGGCTCGACGTGGGCACTGCCATGCGGTGTCTTCTCACACACACAGCATCGCAAGTGCATGCTGTAATGTTTCTCTTCTGAGACCCTCAGCAAACTACAGCCATCTGTCAGCCTTCGCGATATCATTTGTTTAACTGGCGTTCTCGAACGTCCCGCAGGCGCAAGGCAGTGATGCTCGTACCCCATGATCCGGACGCCAGGCATTTTTGACCCCATAGACACCGTGTGCTGTTTGAATTGTCTACTTTTAACCCCAGAGGTTCTGGTGCCGGGTAAGCCCTTGTGTTCTATGAATGGGAAATGAGCCCATGCGTAGCTGACGATCGTGTCCGCCAACCACCCTCCCGTCTTCCACGGTCGGTTCACGAGTGTCATCGTAACATTGTCTCGATTTTTGGAAGCGGCATGCGTGGCCAAACCTGCATTCGCGGTGATGTTCGCTTTTGGGCAACTCGCAACAAGACGCCGCCGGTGCCTCCTGGTATATATGGCGCAGGTGAGATCCTCTTCCGAGCCATCCTCTTTCCACAATGGACCCCACTGCAGTTGATTGGGCGTCGATACTCGACCAAGCTAGAGGTCACTTCAATCTGCCACATCCTCGCAAGTATTTTCCGTTTCAAATGTTTGTATATTATTACTGACGATGCTCTGTCAGTGGGGCATATGGCACAGGCTTTGCACGTCAACCCCGAGCACCTCGCTCTCCACCCGGCTAATCAAGAGCCCGACATTTCCTCTGCGGTATCGTACTCTGCTACAGAGTTTTCGGCTGCTCTTGGCCCGGGAGCTGCCGCTGGTGCCTCTCCTTTTGGGGCTGCCGGCGCCCTTGCTGGAGCTGGTGGCGTCCCTGGCACCCTGCCGGGCGTCCTCACACAGGGGCCTGCTTTCGCTGTCGCCCCGATTATGGCTCAGGGAAACTACCCCGGGGTGCTATTGCAAGTCATTTCGACCGCACAACCGGCATCGAGCGAGCTTCAGCCCATGGTGCCCACGGGTTTGCCCGACCTCACGATCGGCCAACACTTCCCGCAGGGAGTAAACCCTGTTGCAGTAGGCTCTGTCTATTTCCAGCCACTCGGGCCTAATGAATCGCTGCTGTTCACCCCCTCACCTGGTCCGGTGTTGGACCAGCCGACCAGGATGTCCCAGCTAGAGGACTGGGCCCCCGTTTTGCACGGGGTTGCATATGAGGCTCGCGACGTGTTACTTGGGACCATCTTCGCTGATGACAATAGCGATCCCTTTGCAACCGGTCCCCCTGTACGCTCGACTGCACGCGAGACGTTTCTTGACATTAGGGCGCGCTTCGAGGATCAGGAGTTGCGGAAGAGGAACCCGTTATCACGCCGCCTTCCCGAACAGTGTAGGTGCATTAGTTAGTGATACAAATTTCTTGCTAATGTATTAAAGGAACTCCAGATTGGGCATCCGATGACATAGTGACCCTCGTAAGCCTATTCCACTGCACCTCTGCTAGTACTTATTTACCTTCGCAGATAGCAGACTCCCTCGGCAACTTCAGGTCTCGGCTGAAGGATCTCGCACAGAAACTCATCGACATCGACCCTATCAACGACCGCAACCCTCTCCCCGTACAGATGTATAAAAGTTATTATCTGCACGCTCCCGACATCAACGCGGACAGTGATGGGCCTGCACCTCCATCCCTCGTTCGCCAAAGAGCCATAACTTTGAGGGAGCACGAATTATTCATGCACCGTGGCACCGCACTACCGAACGTGAGATGGCACCTTATTCGATGAGGATACAGGCTAACGGCAGGGTGTAGGGCCGATTCCAACACGACTATAGCAACCCGGTGCTATTCCGCTTGGTAGAGAGAGCATTCTATGAGGGAAACACCTTCGGCGGCCAACATTCCCTCGCCCGGGCAATTGATGCAATATATCGAAAGTACTTCCCGAACGTCCCGGACGAGGAAGTACCTTTCCGCACATCCATCCCGATCACCGCCATCGCCCTATGCGTCACTGTAGTGAGTTAACGCCTTCATTTCGTATGATTTGACTTCTGATTTAGAAATAAAGATTGCGAACGTGCTTGATCAACGTTGCGAAACCGGCTTCTTCGACCGCATCCGCTTTCACCGCGATAGATACCGCACATTATTTACGGACATTCGCAACGAGCTCTATCTGGCGCTGCAGGACCCAGCGTTCGGCCCTGTTTATCATGATTTTTTGAGGCAGCATGCTGAGTCGTAAGCCCGTTCCTCCTGCACCAGGGCTATTGGTATTAAACAAATGTTTTTGCAGGTTCCTTCGAGGCCGCCTGTTGCCAGTACCGGGCGTTGACGAGGGGCTGTAAACATGTTCGTTCCGGTTTGCCTCTCTGTCCTCATGCGGTGTACGTTAGTCATGGCGGGCCTCTCGTGTTGTTGAACGTGTACAATGTATCCATGCGATGAATGTTATTTTGGACGCAATACAATGTGAACGGGTTACGACAAGTCACTTGAACTAGACTGACGCCAGGTGGCGGAGCAGTCGCCACTGGAAGCCTGGATTTGTAAGTGGCATTCGCCGGCGTCTGAGCAAGGCCAAAGCCCTCCAAAACTCCGAGGCCGTACGTTCGCATAAAAACCCGCTGCTCACTGCTTCCTCCCTACCTTGCGTCCCAGTGCAGGTTGCTCACATTTCTGTACATAATTTCTGTTTTCGTCTGACCTGAGTGTTCGCTAAGCTTATCGTGATGACATCTGCGCCTAGAGAGCCCTCCCGCATACCCACTGCCGTCCGCAAGTTGCTTTCCTCGATGTCGCGCTCTCAGCCCACGCCGACATTTTCACCCACTTTCACCTCATTCGTTTCCTCAGTTCCACAATCTAACACCCACACCGCCAGTCACGAGCTAGTTCCCTCTGCAGCGAGTGCCAAACTGGTCCCTGAAATTGCGCCGACGAGCACACGTGGCTTGGAGAGTAACATGCACTACCCCACCAAAGGCAGCGTTGCACCCGCTGTCCCATCGTATGATGCGGTACGAAGACTTCACTAATGGCACTATATGGCATACGCTGAGCATATCATTAGACCCCGATTATCCGTGAATTAATGTCTACAAGGGGCTTCCCAGAGAGGGCAGATGACGCGGAGTGCCTCCTGGCCCTTGTTCGCAGGGCGCGGGACCATCAGAGCCACTTGAAGAGCGCCATGGAGGATGCCGTTCGGTGCAGTCTCATACAACTGCACCTGTATCAGGCGGAGTTGAAGAGAGTGCGAAGACAATTGGTGGAGGCAGAGAGGGGTGTCGGAGAAGTTCGCGCCTGGATCCGCGACAGAGGCATTCCAGTTGGTGTGGCTCTGACGCAGGCAGGTATCACGGATGAGATCGAGGAAGACCTTAGCGATGATGATAGGAGCGCGTTCTAGTTTCTTTCACCGAGTCCTTACCCTCTGTTGACCCTCAACTTCAGCTCGTTTATTACCGATACCTCTGATTGTTTCGATACAGGACATATGACTGATTCATGTAACTATACAAGCGTTGCGAGCGAACTGGACGCACCTGTGGCTACCTCTGAGAACCTGACGAATCCCGTGGGAACCGCCCCAGAGGTGTGGCACTCAACCAGAGAACTTCAGCAGGCAAGTGAATGACGGGTCTCATAAAAGGTCTGGATACGGGGTAAGAAAGTCAATCGTTGTTTATCCCATCGTTCGCAGCTGTTTGATCATGTCCTCAGAGTCAGACATTCGAGTTACAAAACCCTCTTTCTCCACTGGGGCACACAAGAGACGGAAAGGAGACTCCTCTGAGGAAGAGGACAGTGGAGGTTCAGCAACATGATTTGTTCTCGTTCATTCATTTCGCTGATTAATACAGTTGGTGGCGTCATCCAGTTTCAAAGCAAGAAGCTGAACGGATTGCATGGCCCTGCAGGTATATGCTCTCTTGAGCCACAGTGCGGAGAGGACTTATATGTACAGAAGAAGCTACAAGTCGGGACGCGGAGAAGATAGAATGTGGAGTGCAAACTGACCCCTCACCAAGCATAGGTCAGCTGGTTGTATACAGTTATGTCGCGATGCTTATGCCGGTTTGGGAATATAGGAACTGGGAGTTCCGCAGCCACCGACGTCCCGCCGATACCAGAGCAGGTTGCTGCATTACAAGCAGAGATCGACTCTTTGAATGCTGAAGTTTTCTATTATCGCGGTATGTGGTTGAGTGAAATTCGGCACGCAGAGCTTTTGGCACGTCTTGTGCCTGAAGAGGACACTGTAGTCTACTATTCTCAGGCTCGAGGTGAAGAGTTGTCCCCATCTCCTCGTCGTAAGCAGGCCTTCGGTTGCATCCGTGTACCTTTGGACTCATACACTTTAAAACAGATGATTTTGTACGTGCCGGTGAATCATAGCTAGCGGTCTACGCCGGCATCATTCAGCCTGGCATTTGTAATGGATATCATGTTCATAGCCGTTTTGCGCTGTAATCAGAGATTCCATCGGATTGAAGAATTGTCGCATGACTGCACATTGAATCTGTCGCGCTGTCAGGCCTCATGGCAACCAAGACATGTGCAAGGACACTCTTCTATATCGACATGCAGCGTTGATCAATTGGTTTCAGATATATCCAGTGAGCTTCCCACGGCAAGTCTCTACTTGGTCCGACATAAACGAGACGACCAGGTGAATTATTTCCTACAGCTGAATTATGTTGCTCTTCCCTCGCTTTCATGGAGTCCTATGAGAACTGCGTCTGCGGCAGGAGCTTTTCGCAATCTAGTGCATTTTCGCATCATCAGAGAGCATGCCAGAAAGCTAAAAAGCGACTCTCTGATGCACTGCACAAGGCGAAGGAAACATGGTCTTCCAGGAAAAAGCGTAGGCTTGAAATTTCGAAGCCTGCAGAGGCACCAGCATCAAGTTCAAATACAGTGCTCGTGCAGGTACGTACTATTATCAGAAAGACGGGAGGTTTTTATGTTGACAACGTCACGTAGCCAACACAAGTGGGCAGAGAGGATGTGGACGCCGTGAACCTAATGCCGGTACGGTCTATTACTGCAATAATCGCAGGGGGCCTTTGCATTGACTATCCGACGTAGCCCGTGCCAGAAGTGGGCAGAGAAGATGTGGACGATTCTAATCTTTCACTATTGGAACGCCGACCCTGGTCTCGCAGACTCAATCGGCGCTTGCCTCGACGGTTCAGAGATTTACTTCCTGAACCTGCCCCATCTCTTCCCCCTTCGTCGGTTTCGCCGCATAAGCTTTCTTCGTTATCAGAATCGACATCTACTTCTTTGATGGAACATCCAGTGAATGCGATGTCTCCACAATCTCATTCAGCTATCGAGTCATTGGCTCACAGAATACAAGGGTTCTTGATGACACCGCATAATAAATTTGGTTTGTTCCGTCGATACTGGACAAATGCTCTTCCTTCGCACGATCCGGAGGAGCTGCTGTCGTTGGAAGACCTGTCTGAGTCTCCGGGTGCAGTTGAATTTGCTAATGATACTTTCCAGCGATACTTTCCATATCCAAATGCAACGTCCTTCCGTCTCGGCGACTGGTACTGGAATGGGGGCGTGCAGAAATCTCAATCAAGCTTCAAAGCATTGCTGGATATTATCGGCGATCCCGAATATGATCCTGCCGATGTTCGAGCTGCGCATTGGGACGATATCAACAGGCAGCTTGCTAGTGACCAGCCCGGAGAATGGGCGGATGATGATGCCGGCTGGAATCACACTCCCGTGACTATATCGGTACCATATCATCGTCGACGTGGTGTCTCGATGGATCCCCAAAATGGACCCAAAGATTACACGGTTGTCGACTTCCATCATCGCAGCTTGTGCGATATTATCCGGGAGAAAATTTCAAACCCAGTGGACGCGTTGCATTTTCACTACGAGCCATTTCAGCTACTTTGGCAGCCTGGAGACGTTCCAAACCCCATCCAAGTTCACGGCGAACTTTATACGTCACCAGCATTTATCGAGTCCCATCGCGAGCTGCAAGACTCCCCTCCCGAACTTGGTTGTGATTTGCAGCGTGTCGTCGTCGCAATGATGTTTTGGTCAGATGCGACGCACCTGACTAGCTTTGGAAATGCCAAACTGTGTCCCCTCTATCTGTTCTTCGGAAATGAATCCAAGTATCACCGATGCAAGCCCTCACGTCACCTGTGTAATCATGTTGCATATTTTCAGTCGGTTTGTATCATCTCCCTGATTGTGAATTAAAAATGTACTGACATATATAGCTTCCGGATTCCTTCAAGGATTTTGCGTCTGGCCAAACCGCTGACGGCCATATGCCAAATGCAGCATTCTTCACTCACTGTTATCGCGAACTTACCCATGCTCAGTGGAAAATTCTGCTCGACGATGAGTTCCTCTATGCCTGGGAGCATGGAATAGTAATCACATGTTGTGACGGGGTTCAACGACGCTTTTATCCTCGCATATTCACATATTCTGCAGACTATCCTGAGAAGTAATGTTGAGCTCTCATCCAGTGATCGATACTGATGCGATTTCTACAGGATACTTCTGGCTAGTATCCGAAACATGGGCCAATGCCCTTGTCCCCGCTGTCTCATCCCGCTATCTCGTGTTCACAACATTGGGAAGGCAATGGATATGAAACAGCGTGAAACGTTGGCTCGGAAGGACGATGCTCATCGCCGGCAGACTATCGCTACCGCTAGGTCACTAATCTATGAAGGAAACCTTCAAGTCAACTGCGCAGCCGTCGAAAACCTTCTTCGTGATAAATCTTTTGTTCCGACTGCGGTATGCAAGCTCAACGACCCACTCATCTCCCTGATTCACTCGTTTGTACACAGAACGCATTTTCGGACCGGCTCTCTCCGTTCGGATTCAACATGTTTAAGATGTTTGTGGTCGACTTGATGCACGAGTGGGAAATTGGAACGGGACGATCTATTTTCACCCATTTACTTCGTATCTTGGAATCAGTAGATGGCACACTTCTCGCTGAGCTAGATCGTCGGTGAGATACTCCTATAAAACCGGCGTCGCGCGTGACTTATATCTTACAGTTTCAGAGCAGTGCCAACTTTTGCTGGAGCTATACGGCGTTTTCGTCGAAACTGCTCCGAAATGAAACAAATGGCAGCACGAGATATTGAAGATATTTTGCAGGTTCGTGTGATCAAGCACTTCCCTCATGTATCTGCTTAATTTATGTCCGTCAGTGTGCCATTCCTGTCTTTGATGGTCTTCTTCCAGAGCCACATAACGGACAGGTTCTCAAACTCCTATTCATCGCTGAGCATTGGCACAGTTTGGCCAAACTGCGTATGCACACCGATTGTACTCTCCAGCTTCTGGACGATGTCACTGTCTCATTGGGAGACACGCTGCGTCATTTCAGTGAGCAAACGTGCAAAGCCTTTCCAACGAGGGAGCTTCAACGAGAGGCGGAAGCTCGGGCTCGCCGTGAAAGTAAGAAGATGGCAGCGCGGGCAGACGAAGCTCCTGTGTTTCCGAGATCCGGCGGAACTGCTCGTAAGCCGAAGGCATTCAACCTCGATACTTACAAGGCCCACGCGCTTGGTGACTACCCTGCAACTATCAGATGGCTTGGCACCACAGATTCATACTCGACGGAGCCGGTGCGCATCCGATCACAGTTGCTTGAATGTCGATATTAACACATGGGTGCTTTTTTTCCAGGGAGAGCTTGAGCACCGCACTTCTAAGGCGCGGTATGCTCGCACTAGTCGCAAGCAATATATCAGACAAATTACCCAGATAGAGCGACGTCAAGCACGAATTCGCCGCATTCGGGAACGGTCCCAGAAGAAAGTCAGGCACTACCAGGATGAAGGAAGTCTTGATGCGGTGGATGTGCATTATGCGATGGGAAAGTCACAAAATCATCCTGTGTATATTCCAGATTTTGTGCGCAGAAATACAGGCGATCCAGCTACCAAGGTTCCGTGGTTCTCTTTATTTTAGAGGTGCTGATACTCATCCATTTTCAGGATTTTGTTGCGAAGCTGAAGAAACATTTACTCCCACGCATCAAGGCGATGATAGGCAGAGAGGCAACATTTTCTGGTCAAGAACAATCGCCCTTGGTACCTGTGATCGAAGACAATTCCGCACGCCGCGACCATGATTCTGTGTTCTTCAAAGGCGACCGCATGTACGAGCACCATATCTTAAAAGTCAATTATACAACATACGATGTTCGGCGATCACACGATATCATCAACCCTTCTACGGACAATCGGGACATCTTATTGCTAGCCAGGTTTGATGATCTCGAAGATGCCACTTCTATGCACCCATTCTTGTATGCGCGCGTTCTTGGTATCTACCATGTCAACGTTGTGTATACAGGGACTGGCATGGCCGATTACACTCCGCGGAGACTGGATTTTCTCTGGGTGCGATGGTTCCAGTACGTCGGAGATTCGAGAAATTGGAGCCAACACAAGCTCGACACTGTTGAATTTCCCCCGATGGCAGACGAAGAGACTTTCGGATTCATCGATCCGGATGACGTTCTACGTGCCTGTCATATTATTCCAACCTTCAAAGGAGGGAAGATTCATGCGGATGAGATTGGTCTCTCACACTGTGCTAACGATGCGGAAGATTGGCGATTTTACCATGTTAATAGGTGCACAAAGTTCAACTTCCGTGGCTGAAATGCTCTAACCACGGCGTGCAGATTTGTTGATCGGGACATGCTGATGCGCTACCATCGAGGCTTAGGGATAGGACATGTTCACGCAGACGGTCCTACGCCAATTGTCTTGAGTGCCGTTTGCACAAATCCTCTTGAAGGTTCCAACGACATTTCCGACTCAGGAATGAGCGTCGATATCGAGGCAGATGGACTCTCGTCTGCTCCACCGGATGGTATCTTACAGGCTGAGGGGGAAGACTCCGACGATGACAACCTGGAGTTGACTCTTGAGAATTTGGAGGATGACATGTGGGATTCGGACAGTGAGGACAACGAAGAGCCAGAGTTGGATGACTCTGATTCTGAGGAGATGTGATCAGAGTCTGCCATGCTGCACGAGTCGCGGTTGAAGGCCACTTTGCACAACTGCATTAGACGATCCATCGAAAAAGGCCTCTGTAGGTTTGCAGATCCTTGCGGCAGTCAGAGACTCACGCATCTTTACAGCACCTTCCCATCCGAGCCTTGGTGACTGTACATCCGAGCATAGCGCATGTCGCGAACATCCATCATGGTTTGTCCTACTGCTTATTCTTTGTTCGAAGTGTCTGACATCCTTCATTGGATCTAGATCACTTGCTTAGGGGTTCATCGTGCAACTCGGCCTCTACATGCCCATGTGTTTATCCTTCTTGCTACTCAGTTCTTTTTGCTGTTGGCCTTCCCAATACTGCCTGCATCATCGCTGTTGATGTAAATGTCTGTATGCTCCAGCGTGTGTCAGGGCATTATTTCATCATGGTGTTGTACATGAGCTATCCGGAGTGTAAACGCATCCTCGACGCGCTCAAGATTTATCAGAACGGCGGAAGAGAATACCCATATATCTACCATTCATCGCAGGGTTTTGTGTATGAGGACATGGTGCCCTTGTCCGACTCGGGCCGAGTTGACGGCGACAGAGTGCGCCGCATTTAAGCGCCCGCCCATCGACACAGCGCACATCGGCGCAGCCCATCAGAGTTTTGGCCTTCATACGTCTTCAATTTATCCACAGCTACCGCTTCAGCATATCCTCTGCGACTCAGCTAATCATGCTATAATTCGGGACGCGTCAGGGGTTGAGGTATGGAATTAGACCCCTCAGGCTCACGCCGGTAAGCTTGATCTTTCGACGAGCCAAGCCTGGCACTTGCGGGCTTGATTTTGTGCTACAGGATTTCCTCATTTCCTTCATATTCACAGATGATCACAACCGTTCTTGTCTCCCCGCTAGCTACCCAGTTTCTATGCATATTCCACACACTGCGACCCTGCCCACATGGGCGTTTTGGTGGTCTCCGTACTGGCAGGTCCATCCGTTGTAGTGCCATGTCTAGCTGCGTGTGTAAACCCAATATTGGGCGGGCGCATGTCAAACCAGACTTGGACATCATGGATAAACTTGAACTTTGATTGTCGGTGTGCCTCCGGCTCTGAAAACGCAAAGTCGAACACCCATATTAAAGGGCTGCGGGCATCTACGTCCGATTTGAGGCCGTGCTCTACGCTATACAGGTGGTCGAGCTCTTCAACTTCGCTGGAAGTCGTGCTGGAAGTCGTGTTATTCAAACATCCAGGAGCATGGGCACAGCTTTGCAGCACCGTGTCGTGTCATCAGCCCTCCATCGGGTGCCTTTATCTATGTAGAGCACCCAATTCGAGCGAAATTTCGACTCCAACGCTTTTGTGAAGGGAACTGGTGAGCAGAAGATCTTCCATGTGAGTCATTCGTGTAGTTTGAGCTTGTCCTTCACTGACGTGTGCTTTACCCTGGGTTGTGCAGCGCAACATGCGACGACTTCTGACTTCTTATTTGGGCAGTGGAGAAGACTCATCCGACAAGGATATTCGCGATTCGTATAGTTTGTACGAGAGCCGATCGGCCTCGGCATACTAGAGACCTATACCGGGACAGAGACGCTCACACCGTGCCGCACATATACGACAAGTGGTTCGTACACAGCGGCGCGAATTTACACGCTGATGCCACTATACTAATATACTGGCTCTGCAGAGACGCATTCAGCTGCGGGAGAGGAATCAGGAAATCTGTCGGAAAGCACCTATGTGGCCACGAACAAGCTATCAAATCCGTCGTTTGTGTGTCGCTGGACACAATCTCGCTTGGGGCAGACTACAAGGCGGTCGGGCTTGTTCAACCGATCACGAGACTGCCCCAAAATAAATAAAAACCTGAGTTCTGATCTGAGTACGAGATCGCGAGTATGTCCTACTCAGTCTCCGAGAGACTAGATTACCACTGAGGTGTGTCTGACAGAGCCTTTCACCGAGCATGATACAGCGGAGTGCAGGCACCGGCAGATGGCTACAGCGTGGAGTGGACATCATCAGTATGGAGGTATCCCTTTGGAGATTCCAACGATACGCGAAAGCGTCGCTGAAGAGCCAGTAGAACAGGAGGCGGAGGAGGAAGAGTTGCTCCCGCTCGAGCTGGAAGAGCCGACGCTGCGCCCGGAGGATATTTCTCTTCCACGTCGACATGCAGCCCTCCGTAGCTTCAAGGAACTTGGAAGTTGTTGGAAGCGGAATCTGAGACCCCAAAGTTTTGCCTGTCCCTACTCCTTCCACCGAACTCCCAAGTGCTGAACTGCTGTCTTCCACTGAGTCGATTCCTTTCCCGTCTCTGATTCCTCCTTCAGAATCGTCATCTCATCTCAGCATATCTCTGTCGACTCTGACAAGTCCTACAGAATTCTCTGTGATGCCTACACCTTCTAGCATGCTTGCACCTACAGTTCCGTGCACAATCGAGTGGCATCCAGCCCTGCAATTCAGTAGTCTCTCCGGGGACTTCCTTGATCTGCCGGAGGGCCTTGATAATTCCTTTGAACCGACCTTCTTGCGACCGAGCGGATCAGTCTCCCCCTCTCAAGGCTTCACTCGCCGTCATTGACACCCACGCCGGCTAACGCGCCGCTCTCTCCGGGTGTTCCATCACCTACTCCGATATCCCCTGAGCCACCGCTGATCCTTTCGCACACTCCTTGGTCCGTATTGTCCATCTCTAGTTCCTCAATATCTGATGCCCTGTCACTGTTGGAGGTGTCGTCCATTGTGAAGCCCTCCGTTATCGCACCTTCGACAGAGCCATCTCTCCTTTCTACAGCTCGCTCTCCATCACCGGTCCCAATGAGAGCGGTATGTAATCCCGCCTTTGCTTTGCACTTTTGACTGATCTTCTTCTCAGGTGTCGCGGCGTGGAATACCCCTGCCGCCTTCGCCTTCACCGCCGTCCGATGAGTGTTAGCCTGAGCACACCCCGCCGCGAGGCGTCTTCTGTGATGTCGACCATAGAGACGATTCCGTCCGAGGCTCCGGGCACGATTTACCGTTTGTTGCAATATTTGCATGACGCTGACGCAGTTAAAGGAGAGGAGAACAGAGAGTTAGCGGACAATGTTCAACAACTCAGGGAGGACGTGGCAGACCTCGCCGACTACCTTCGTCAAGTTTGTCCTCATTCGGAGACCCCCCCCCCCAGTTCCTCACAAGGATAGATCGGTAGGAGGGAGTAGCATTATTTCCTTTCCTCGTTCGTCAGTCGAGGGCATTGTGGTTCCTCCTCCGCCCTCAGCAGCTAGCCCAGGCATAGTCGTGTCTGCTCCATGACCAGGTCCAACAGAACCACGAGATCTCACCAGAGTCGGTGTGAGGGTCACAATTGTACCTGAAGACCCTGTGAGGATTTCGTCCCCAGAGTCATCTGAGAGTGGTGTTTTGTCCTTCCTGTCATCTCATCATTCCGATGATCTTAGTCTTCTCGAGTTGGAGACGTATCCGATGCGCGTCCCATCACCATCCTGGCCGTCTGATTCCAGTCCCTCCCCAGAATTATCACTACGTTCATCATCAGTGTCAGTGAGACCTCGGTCTTCGTTAGCGTATTCGTCCGATGTTAGCGAGCCTGTACCAGAAGCGTTTCCTGCTCCTATGCCGTGACTTCATCTGCGACGCCGCCACCCTCATCTCCTACGCCGCCTCCATCGTCTCCATCTCCGTCATCATCATCCGGCGGCACCGCTCAACCCGTACCTACTCTCAACCTTGGTCAACTCAGGGATATGCTGGAAGGCATCCGGGATCAAGTTGAAGGTCTGTCGCATGGTCAACATGCTACTAATCGTGGATTGGATGAATTACGCAACAGACAAATGGAGCAGCGTTGGCAGGATTGCTGAGACAAGATTCGTAGATTGGAAGAAGCTCTTCAACGCCTGGTTGATCTGGCTCAACAAGCACAATGACCCCCTCCTCGTGACGATTTCTCAAAGTCTGTTTATCCTTCGGTTAAATCGCTGCTGGAGCACCTAGCTCGAACTAGGGCACAGGGCGATAGGGCCAGCATAGAGGCACCACCTGTAGTAGCCCCCGTACGTCGTCGTGCTGAGCCTTCATTCGACGAGCAACTTGCGGAGTTAATGGCAGCCGGTCCTCCCCCTCCACAGCCCCCGGTGCAAGAACCACCTCCCTTGGTTCCTCTAAGGTACCGCCCAGGACCTAGGACATCTCGTCCTCGGAGTTCCAGTCTGGCCTTCGAGGTGGACCTTCCTCGACGTCCTGGTACTGTACCTATCCCACAACCTGTACCACCTCGTGCTCCTTTTCAACCACATCGACGTCGTGCTGCGCGGCCACCACAGTTTGGTCCTCCGCCCTTTGAAGCCGAGGGAGAAGGACAATATCCTCCTCCGGTCGTACCGACAGGCCATGCTGGACCGGAAGGAGGTCGTCAACCTCGTCCTCCAAGCGATATTGATTTTTGGACAGGGTTCTTCGCGATCGTGCGGCTCATCGTCCGGATCTCTCAGATGGATGGTACACTGGTCCACCTGTGAGTTTTGTGCGACACTGGTTACATCCAGACTTACACACATTGTTCTGCAATAGGGCCGTGTTAGACAACCCACTGCCCGACCGGATCTAGGTGGTGATGACTCCCGACGCCGTCCTAGCGCTCCGGTAGTTCCGCCCCCTGGTGTCTTCACTGGGTACCAGGATCGGCAGGAGTGCCATCTGCCTTTGTCCCCGCACCGGTATGTTACTGTGCTTCTTATTGTTTTGGCTCGAGAAGACACCTCCTCTTCTAGACTGTACTGCAACTGCCTCCGACATGGAATAGTTAATGACAGTTTGCGGGTAAGCGTCTTGAGTTGAAACCTGTTATTTGAGGCTAATGTCCTTCTCTCCAGAACAACCAGGATGCTACAGCAGCTTCTATTGATCAGGGCAAGAGATAGTGCGATATTTGACCGACTTAAATCGTTGGTTATCGCAAGACGTCCTTGACCGTCAACGGAAGATACGGTCAGTACATGCGCGGTTACGCGAACTTGGCGATCACATGGACTGTGCACTTCCTGTTAGGCAGCCTCAGAGTAAGTTGTTTACTTCTTGCATTGGTTGATATAGTGGTGCTCAGGGAACTTCAGTGACAGCATCTGTACCCGCTGGTGGGATTGTTCGGCCGCCTCCTGTACTCACACCTGGAGTTCAGATGACTGGCGTTGTGCCTCACCAAGTCCTGCCGGAAGGATTTGTGCCACAAACTGTTCACGTTCAACCTCAGCCTGAGTTCCGTAGAACGCACTACCCTGATGTCAGGACGCCGACTCCAGATTTCTCCCCTGTCATACCTCGGCAGTCTCATCTTCAACAAGCACAAGGTATTCCCGTCGTTCCTGATCCAAATTTCTACCCGCAACCCCAACAACTACAACAGCCGCAGCAAACTTATGTGTACCAGCCTCTTACTTCGAATGAAACGGAGGGTGTTGTTCCGAGATTCCCTTAATCGAGCGAAGGGAGTGAGGAGGACGCTCCTCCACGAATCACCACCATCCCTCCCCCCCAAATGCCGCAAGGTCCCCAGGGACCGCCTGTCACGATTGTTCCCCCTCAACCTATACCCATGGTCGAGCCCACCGTAATGCGCTTGCCTCCGTCGCGAACGCCTTCTATACGGTCACGTCCTTCTGAGGAATACAGTGACTATGAGGTTCCGAGACACACACCTCCGCCTGACGCGATCCACGTTCTAGCTCTAGCTCCAGTGGTGCCTACGGAACCTCGGGTTGGTTCACCTCGACAACCCGATGCTCCCCGCACTCAGCCGCTCAAGGCCCCTCCAGCTCTGCCACCTGCTCCTATTGCTCCTACTGCTCCTGCCGTGCATCCTCCAATTATCGTTCAACCGCTTCCGCCTAGCGTCTCTCAAGTTGTGGAAAGGCGGCTCGCTTCGACTCGACCTCCAAGGTCTCCCGTGCCTCAGAGGGAAGAGCCGTCTCACGGGGAGCCTGCCACGATTGTAGTTCGCACACATTCCCCAGAACGGTCACCATGTCGGGTCAGCTACCGTCGCACGCATCGCTCTCGTTCAAGATTACCGACGCCCGGACTTCTCGTTGTTGTACAGCCGACTTCCATGGGCCCATATCCTGGAGGACAGCTGCAAATGCCGCATCCTGTTCCTCCTAGTGTTCCTGTTATCGTGCAGAGGACTCGATCGCGAACAAGATTACCCAGTCCTATTATAATCCACTCTGACAGGGGTCGTTCTCCCAGCATAGACAGAGATGGTCGGCGGCGTAGACCTCGCTCACCGACCGGCGTTGTAGAAGGCGATCCTCACAGATGCTCCCCATCACCAACCGTCCTGCATCGACGATCGCGTCCCACAATGAGAAGAATATTCTCCCAGATGAGCCTCGAGGTCGCCTCCCATAGTAGTATGCCACGGGTCACGGTCCCCCACCATTCGACTCCCTGGTGATGTTCGGAGATCACCACCCATCATAATCGACGGTGACCGCCATCGCTCTCGTTCTCCAACACTAGTGCATCGTGAGGAACTTATGATCGTCCGAGTGCCGACTTCGCGCAGAGCGAGAATATGACGAAGGCCTTCGCGCAGAACCCCATCTCCTGCAGAATATGAAGAGGGTCGAAGACCTTCGCATAAATCTCGGTTCGGTATACCGCGCTCGGAACGAGAACATGAAGGTGACCGCCTGCCCTCGCCAACGCGCCCTTACTCACCGGAACGACATCCCCGCCGTCCTCGACCACCGCGCGCTGAACGCGAACGTGAACCTCACCGTATTTCACCAAGTGAGCGGGAACCCTCAAGTTCACCCCCTCGCGTTGTCCGCTCTCTGTCTCGTCGAGCGCCTACTATCATTCGCACAGGTACAGGTCATCGAGAATCGCGCAGGGGCTCTCCAGGTCCAACTGTGGTTCATGTTGACGAACCCGAACGTATTCAAGTGCAATCACCCACCGAACCTGTGCCTCATGTAGCCCAAGTCCGATCTCGTAGACGGCCTAGTGAAGGTGCGTGTTACTTGGCAGTTATATCATAGAAGTGCTCATTAGTCCGCAGTAACTCTACGGAGGTATAGCCGAGCTACCCCGGAAGGTAAGTCTCTCATATGGCATTGACTCCGTCGTGTTGATTATCTGTCAGAGGAACACCACATAGAGGTTTCTCGAACTCCTAGTCATGGTACAGTAGCTTTCATTGAAGTCTTTGTACGCTCAGCTTTAACACCATTATCTATCCAGTTTCTGCGCGGCGTTTAGTTTACGAAGAGGCAGACCGGCCGACTCCAGGCAGTATGTGCTTTTGTCTCATTACAGGTCTTTTCTGCTAACTATGTCTCAAGTCACACGTGTGTCGACTCAGCGAACCGCTCGCACTGCTCGTACCGAGCCGATCGCTCCACCTGTGGAAGAAGAGGAAGAAGACATCCCTCATATTTCCGTTGTTATTCATTCAGTGGAGCATGTGCCTACAGCCTCGCGCCCTCGGGCTGGTATTCCTAGTGTCGCTGTGGTACCACCGGAAGAAGCCGAAGAGCCTTATCTTCCCGAAGAACTGCCTGCGGAACCTGGAGTGAGGGGAATTTATACGTACTACTATGGAAATTCAGCGCTGCAGACTGTATGGTCTAGAAGACCTTTGATTCGCAGACACAGAACGCGAACGTCAGGAACGGTTTGGGGAACTCGAGCAACAGCTTACTGGTACGATTGATGCCTTGCGGGATGGAGCCTTCTCTCCTTTCTACAGCTCACCCACCATCACCGGCACCAATGAGGGCGGTATGCTGATCACGCGTTTACTTTTCCCTGCTTAACTGATGCTCTTCTCAGGTGTTGCCACGCGGAGTACCTCTGTTGCGTTCACCTTCACTTTCTCCTCCGTCAGTTACAATGAGTGTCAGCCTGAGCATACCCCGCCACGAGGTGCCTTCCCTGATGTCGACCATAGAGATGATTCCGTCCGAGGCTCGAGTACGATTTTAACTCGCGACGTTAACCGTTTGTTGCAAAATTTGCATAACGCTGATGCAGTTATAAGAGAGGAGAACAGAGAGTAGCGGAAAGTGTCCCCTAGCTCAGGGAGGAAGTGGCAGACCTTGCCGAATACCTACTCATCACGTTTGTCCACATCTGGAGCCGACTCCCCAGTTCCTCACAAGGATAGATCGGTGAGAGGAGCAGCCTTATTTCTTGTTCTCGCTCGGCCGAAGACGGCTGCTCTACGACCAGAACCACGAGATTCCACGCGAGTTAAAGGGGGTGCGTTGAATACATCTCCGATTCAAGTATACTGATGTCGTCGAAGTAATGAGACGTGCAGCATACTGTATGCCTGGACTGCGGGGTCAATCGGGCGCTCAATGGGATAGCAGGACACTCTCCTTCTGGATCGCTTGTGGTATTCACCGTGCAGCCACATTGTACTTCCTCACTGGCTATTCAGGTTCATGTGAGGTCGAAACTACACCGAGACCATCGTTGTAAGTATCCACGATCTCATTAGGAGCCTCGCCGGATTGTGGGAGTGCATGTAGCAGAACCAGAACCGTACTTATTAACCGTCTCACACAGCCCACAATTGTTGAACAGCCTGCGAGTTTACCGGTCTGAATATGTAAGGTTTCTGCATTATAATTAGACAGCGCCCATCAACATGGATTGTAACTCTGTTGCACTGTCGTGGTAGACTGCAAGCTCCAGGTCAGCATATGATTGGTGGAATATTAGCAACCAGGTGCCAACAATTTTCCAGACATTATCTGAACTGCAGTTACGACAATGCCTGATGTTTCCCCAAATATCTGAGACGATTGTGCCAACCCCTCCTAAAACGTCGTCGTGATCATGGTTCATGACAGTGGATGTGGAAGAATTGCGACTGTGAGCCAATCACTGACCGTGGCAGACAGTTTGACATCGGCTTGCTGGAATAACTATGAAATACTTGTCGAATGATCAGCTGGATTGTCGTTAAGGTTCATTTGAGCCCGCACTTAGGCAAGATTAAATGCGCAAATAATGCACTATTCATCTTGCTCGAAGCCCATCTGTACGCCACCTTGTTTTCAACTCCGCCCGGTCATACCAGCGTCTCCCGAATTTCCCGATGTGTGTCCGATTTCCAGATCGCGTTCAGCGCATAACAAAACCCACATTGTACTGAAGGAAAGCACACCTTAGCTGTCCCCGACTCATCCTCTATGTCAGAATTCTTCCCTGGTTAACTTTCACCATGGGAAGCTGGCCGCTCACTTCAGTTCTGGTAAGTGTAAAGTAAGTACGAAGTAAACGACCGTTTTCGGTTCGCAATGCAGAAAATCTCAAGTCTGCCACACGTTACATATTGAACCTCCGAAAACCCCGCGAGCAAGTATGCAAGTGGCTGCAGCGTTCACGCACGATTCGACTCGGACTCGATCTCATCCAAATAACATATTTCATTGTACGCGTAACACCAGAGGAGAAGAGGTATGGATACTGTTCTCGTCATTGCTGCCACATTTCTTTTTAGGAACCAGGATATCTGTCTGTATCGGACGAATCGGAGGTGGAGTCCTGCCTGAAACCTAGCGTAGATGGCAGCGAAAGCTGTTCCTCTCTTTCTCTCTTTCTTGCCTATAGCCATCTATCTACCTAGCATTCTCAATCTGTGGCATATCTTGGCTGGATGCAACTCCTCTCTACTTTAGTATGGCTGCATTTCAAGTTGCAATTGCCCAGATGGTGGTTCTGTTCCCGGGCTTCGGCGCATTCTCCTAACCCACGTTTCCTGCACAGTTGCTCCAGCTTACCATCATACTAGCTCCGGAGCTTCCTACTAACATGTCCAGCATGCCTTCCTCGCAGTCGTCGTCATCTCTCCAAGACATTGTTCATGGACAATCGCAAAAAAATCGGCAGCAAAGACCCGCACCCTCGCTTTGATCGAGTGGACCATGGAGCTGCATTCCACTGCTCCCGTCGTCGGATTTGCGCTACAGCACCTGTGATCTGTCCTGGCTCGGTTGACACCCCAGATCGGTACGCCGCTGCACACGGAGTCAAAGCTACAAAATTGTGTTCTATCGTTGCACCTACGTCCTCAGACGGCTCACGGCTCGCATCCTGGCTTGCCTAGACAAGCTCTATTCATCCACGAAATAGTGTTTCTCCCTCAGCCATGTTTCGCAGATTGCGGACTGCGCACGAAGCCGCAGGCACATCACTACGGAGCGCCAGGCATGCACTGAGCAGGGCGACATCTGTGATCGCAACTGGTGCGGAATAACGATGAACAATCAACAATTAACGAGCGAAGCTCGTGAGACACACAGCGCAGAATCAAACCTAACGCACTTTTTTTCAGTTGCTGCGAAGTACCATGTCGGTCTGTCGAGTTGCGCCCGCCTGAGAGTGCTTAAATCGGGAACTACTAGACCAGTAATGAATGAGGGGCTCACAGACAGACAGATCTGCCGACATCTCTGTGACAACCGCTACAGCTGCGGAGCGACAAAGGTACGTCGTCTGCAAATCGACTCAAGTCCCGTCAGGAGATCTGCTGCGCAGCACCGGAAGAACATCGACGCTGTACGTTCGCAGGAATGCAGGAACGACTCCCCGAACTCGGGGTTAGTCAAACTTCAAAGCCATCATTTTTGCCGAACAGGATCAGGGATCGGGCAGGCCATCGCTGAGACCGCGGCCACCGCAGAGTGGTCGCAGGCGGCATCATGTACAAGCTCCCCACTCGAGGCATCAAGCTGGATGAGTCGACCGGATGGGAATGCAGTGAATGGCATGTGGTACGTACCCTGGAGCGCACTGAGGCCGCGGAGTACCACGCACCCCTCGCGGAAGCTCCGTAGCACCACACTGGCGGGCGCACCCTCGCAGGAGCATTTGTACGATGTAGTCCGAGCCATCCGTTTCACCGAAACTGGTCAAGCCATCGCCCAGGATGCAACCACAGCAGAGTCGCATGCTGAGGCCCATCCAGCTAGACAAGTCGACTCGGCGGAGCGAATCGTACCCTGGAGCACACGGGGGCTGAACCGCACGCGCGCCCCGTAGCACTAGATTCTGCGTACCCCTCGTCGCACGAGCGCTACCTCAGGACCCCTGACAATAGGTGGAGAGGCCTGATCCAAAATTCCGAAAATCAGCCCCAAACATCCGGAGAAATTTTGTGATTTTTTGGCCCATACTTCCGGATGAGATCAGACCTTCGTCCAATTTTTGGGTCCCTGTCCGGGTACCGCATCAGGCTTTTCGGCAGCCGACCGCCTATATAAGGCAGGTATGGGCGCTTATGAGAGGCGGCGGCTCCGCCGCCGGCTCGAGGTCGGCGCTTGTCGGCTTCCGGGGCGTGGATGGCCGGCTGAGGATCAGGCCTTCGCCGAAACTGACAGGAACTGCCGGACATGAGATCACCTCCGGAGGCCTTCAGGGCCCTCTGACGTCCGGATGAGATCAGGCCTAAGGCCTCAAAAATCCCAAATTTCGTCCGGATAAGTCATCAGGCCTCTCCACCTATAGTCAGGGGTCCTGCTACCTCTGAAGCTTGGCAGTCTTATCTCAGCCGTTGCACACAGAAGATTCAAGTAGTGTACCTCGCTATGAACCGGATGCGTACATGCGCTTGCTACTCAGGAACACACCTGCGGCGAACGACCGGCCGCGGGTTACGGACGCGCGTCCGTGGCTGGGAGAGATACGTATTGCGGACTCGCGCCGAAGTTCATCAAATCAGATGGTGATTGATGGAGACGCGCCCAGCGTCGGTGCACAATGCCACCGCGCGCCGCACTTCGCCCTTCTTGAATGAGCGACCGCCCGTGTGAAGGGATGAGAGCACAAACATGAGAAGCTTCATCGCCCAGCACCCACCTTCGCGATCGAATGTCGGCCAATGGTGAAGCTGACCGGATCGTCGTCGAGCCCCTACTAACTCCACATTAATGAAACACTATAATCCGACAATATCAGGACCTCGCGCTGCATAAAGGCCGCGCCCACCGCGACGCGACACGCCCCTTTATGACTGCACAGTTGCACCGCAACAAGGATAAGATGGGGCTCACGAGACAGCTCCGCGCGCGGGGAGTGAGAGCACCCCTGCTGTGTGAGACACCAACAGGCAGAGATCCCGCAGGCGTTCCGATCCGCATTCAGCTGGTGCCGTAGCTAGTCCGGGTCGAGCAGCAGTACGCTCCGGTTGGGGTTGCGATCGCGATTGAACGCACTGCCTATTGCCTACGCTCGAGTCGAGTTATGGTCCAACGCCGCACTCCCGTGGCGCGGCCTCCACACAGGCTATCTAGCCCGGCCCACACACGCACGCATGGAGATGAGAGGGCGTATACATACAGAGCGCCGGGCCCCAGTGGTACCACATTGAAGAATCTCAATGCGATACCTCTAGGGCCTCGTCCTGCCAGCACAACGCCCGCCAACGCGCAGAACAGCTCCAGCGTGAACAAGGAAGTGGACGGGAATCGCGGCGCGCCGGAGAGACGGCTCCGTGCGCAGGGTGCGCGAGAGCTGTGTGAGCCAGGAGCCGGGCCCGGGGACGTTCGCATCTGCGTCTGGCCGGCAGACGTCGAGGGCGGGTCGAGCAGCCAGTGCGCTCCGGCGATGGCGATGCTGCCATCAAGTGGAAGGTCGCACCCCGGGCACAGACAAAGGGCCTAACAGCATACCATCCTTCTATCCGCCCGCCAGAGTCACGTCGCATCCTGAACACAAAAAACATCGGATCGTCACGTCATCAGACACCGTGCAGAGAGCCCTAGAGACACCACAGCGGTCGTGACTTCCGCCGAGAAGACGGTAAAGTGAACTTGAAGTGCAGCCAGAAGCGCGCCCAGAGATAAGCCCGGACCCCGCGCACGCGTTCCGATACCCCCCACGGGACAGCGGAACGTCACGGAGGAGCGCGGGCACACACGATACACAATACACAATACACAATCTGGACGCGTACGGCGAGCCCATCCCCTGCACTCCGGGACGTGTACAAAACTGGTTAATACGGACACCGAGCAGAGAGCCGGGCGCACGCGGGCAGCAGATCTCGAGAGGTTCCCGCAGTCCGAAATACGGAGCCCGAGCAGAGGAGCGAGCGAAGCAGACCGCGAGAGACGCGCGCGACGACCCCGCAGACGAAGACGATAAGTACTCGCGAGAGCAGAGCAGAGCAGAGCGTTCTTCCATCCCCCGGCCTGGCCGCGTCGATGAAATACAGACACCGCACAGCAGTCCCTCGAAGTTTTGAGTCCCAGGCCGTTCCGGTATCCCACGAGAGGGCCACGCGAGGCACAGACGATACACAACCTGGGCTGTGGGCAGTGGGGCCCATCCGCACTCCCCTGCGCGCCGTGCAGAAATTCACACCAAACAGAGGCGGACGCGAGACGTGCTGTAGAGAGAGGAGCTTCCAGAGACAGACAGTATATACTCAGTCGGATCAGACAGTTGCGCACTGGGCACCCGTGCAGTCTGCACGGTCTGCCCCCGCAATGAAGAGGGGGAGGAGACCGTGCGAGCGAGGTACAAACTCCGGGTCGTGTGCCCCGAGTTAAATACGGGATACAGAGGAGATCTGCAGACCGTGGAAGGTCCGGCATCCCGCAGACAAAGAGAACCAGAGCAGAGAGTGATATATATATATCCTACCCCCGGACCAGCTGGCCACGTCGACGAAACGAGGACACCAGTGAGCTAGTGACCACAGCAGCACTCGTGCGCAACCTCACACTTGCAAGAAGAGGCTCGAAGCGTCGAATCCGGGATCCCACGGACCGTGCACAGTAGGATACACGATGCGCAATACACGATCTGGACGTGCGTGTGCGGTCGAGGGAGCCCGAGCAGCGGAGAGCGCGAGCGCGCCTGCAGACGAAGACGATGCTCGCAGGAGCAGCGCAGCGCGTCCTTCCATCCACCCGGCCCTGACCACGTCGATGAAATACAGACACCGCACAGCAGCCCTCGAAGCTTTGAGTCCCAGGCCGTTCCGGTATCCGCACGGGAGGCCACATACACAACCTGGGCGATGGGCCCGTCCCCGTGCTCCGAGCCGTTCGTGCGGAAAAGACAAGGCAGAGGCGGACGCGAGACGTGCTGCAGAGAGAAGAGCTCCAGAGACAGAGACAGACACTATATAGTACTCAGTTTCCTGCAGAGTCGGATCAGGCCATGCGCATCGGGCACCCGTGCTGTCTGCACGGTCCGCGCGCGCGTGTGTATTTTTGTCCCCCCCCCCGCCTGCGAGAAGACGGCGAGGATCAGTGGTGTGTGCATGCATAAAGAACGAGAAGATACGGTTATACGCACCGCTCCAAGCCAAACACTGCAGTCGTCGCAGACTCCAGTTGTGGCGAACTCGCTCTCCGGGAGGACACGGCCACGTGGCCCCCACCCGCGTCCCACCGGGCCATCCGGGGCCCAAACGTACCCGGCACCCGAGGGTGTACGCTCACCCGCGCCCAGAAAGGCAACAGCAGTCGTTCGACGCGCGCCCCGCCTGCGTCGCAGAGCTCGGAAAGCCCTATCCGCTCCGAACGCGGGGGATGCGCAGGGGCTCCGGGCCCACGCTGGATCCTTCGGAGCGCCCGCGTGAAACCGAGCGGGTCCGAGCAGCCGTTCCGTCCACTTATAAGAAGCGGGTCTCTGCCCCGGGGGGAGGAGGATGCTTCCCGAAATTATGCCCCTCTGCTGTACGTTTTGCGCTGGATCCGGTGGTGGGTAGGTGGGGGGAAGGTTGGTCTTGGATGGGTTTGGGTTGGGGATGGTGGTTGCTTGGTGCGTGGTGCGTTGTGCGTGATCGGTGCTGAACGGAGCGCGGCGCGTGGTGGCTGGCAGTACTTCCTGCGTTGCTTGGAGGACGCGGGCGTCCAGCGAGGACGTACGTCGTCGAGGCGAGCGGATGGGTCCCGGGTGGCGGGCGGATGTTCTTCGGAGGCGGAGGGCTGTCGCGTGATCGCGACGCGAGGGGAGACTTGACGCGTCGTGCACGTGTACGGGGGATGGGTGAGTGGCGCGCGGTCAGGTGTGCGCGTGCAGCTTACTGATCGTCGAGCAGGCTGCACCGGGTGGTGTTGTCTCGGTTGGGGTGCCCCATGCTCTGTACGTGATCTGCTTCTTCCATTAATGCAGGTCGGTGCGACGCGCAAAGGGTGTGGATTTCCCGGTCGACCACATACGAAGGGCCCCCCCGAAGTTGGCTCCGCCCGCTCTACGTCCGCGACACACCGACGAGGCGCAATAGCAGGGCTTATCGCCGCGCGGCGTGACGCCCCCGTCGACCTGCGGTCCCGTGGTACCTGGCCTCCAGAACGGGCATCCCCATTGCCCCGACCGCCGCATCTCGCGCTGAGGCTCCCATTGGGTGCCACCAAAGAGCCCCAGCTCAGCTAGACACCTTCCACGTCGTCTCGTCGTCCAGGCCGCGCACCCGATTGGCCGGAGAAGCCACGTCGCGCGCACGCTCCATGAGAACGCGGGTCGCATGACCGCGCGCTCAGCCGCCGGGTCTCCCATCGCTAGCGCGCTCCCATAAGTACCCCCAGTCTCGCAGTGCGGTGGAGCTCTTGCTCGTCTCTTCCTCCTCCTCCTCCTCCCCTCCCTGGCCGCGCGGGCGCTTCTCCCTTGGTGTGTCGCTACCGCCGTGCTCTCGGCCACGGGACCAAGCCATTCGATCGGATCGAGGTGCGGACCCGCAATAATCATACCGCCTACAGAAAAGACGGCGCGAGGGACAGCTCCCCATTTTTTTTTCGTCGTTCGAGTCCGTCGAGCCCGCGGGGTATCGATCGCGGTGCCCTCGCAGGAGCCCCAACCCCCAGCACAAGCCGACGCGCCGTGCGTCGCCATCCGTAGTTGCAGGCCAAGATCGAGACGGAGGCATCTGCGCGCGCTCGTGACCGTCCTGTGTCGCCCGCGGGGATGCGGGACGCCGCGGGCGAGAACGTCCAGCGCGCGTCGCTGCGTGTCTGCAGCCCCTGGCAGTGGACGTGCTGGCGGTGTGTGCGAGGGCCCCAGGTGCCTTTGCTGAAGCTGCGTGGTGCTCCCCCACACACCGTCGGTGCCGTCCCCGCCGCCGTCGCATCCCGTCGCGCAAGCCAAGACACGAGGTCCGCAGTCTCCATTATCCTGGCACTGATCCCCGCGCGGTGCGCGGCACCTAGTCCCATCACAGGTCGCGCTTTACGTGTTCCTCCTTCACACACCCTCGCCCCTGTGTCCGGCCGAAACGCTGCATCAATGATCATCGCGCGCAGGAGGTGCAAGTCCGCAGGTCTGGAGACGCGGTGCGCTAGCAGCAGGAACGCAAAGACGCGTCCGTTTTCGCGCCAGCGCGTCGTCTCTTCTCTGTCTTTCTCTGGCACCGGGCTCGCCTCGACGCCTCGACCCCGCACCAGGACGCGCTTGGCCCCCCACTTCCGCGGGGCCCCGCGGTCGCTGCCTCCTCTCGCGCACAAGTAGCGGACGCATTTTGTAATGCTGACCGGCGTCGCTGACGGGCAGCGCAGATGCAAGATATGGTGGCGTCGTCATCTGACCGTTTAGCACGCTTCTCAACCGTTTATCCTGCCCCGATCGACTCGCGCTCGTAGCGCGGGGTCATGCGCCGACCCCCACAACCCCGCATATGGCTGCCCTGCTTATGTCAGCGCCTGCGATAAAGCCTTCTCCCCCCCACCCACGATGCGTCCCAGCGCCCCCCTCCTCCTCTGCTCTCTCTGCTCTCTGCAACCGCTCGTCCTCTGTCGCACTCCCTGCCTGTCTTGCAAAACCCGGAATCGATGAGCAGCAGCATGTCCCAGTTGGAGAAAGCCGAGGTCAACGCCCTCCCGCCCCAGCCCGCGCGGCCGGCCTTCACGCCCGTCAACGCCCAGTTCAGGAAGTTCGGCAACCCCGGGCCTCTGTGCGTCCCCCCCCCCCGGCCGCGCTCGAACGACGACGACTGACCATTTTTTTTGGCGGCGACTGCAGCGGGCTGTTCGCGTTCTCGACGACGACGCTGATGCTCTCGCTCTTCAACGTCTCCGCGCGCGACATCCACATCCCGAACGTCATCGTCGGCATGACCCTCTGGGTCGGCGGGCTCTCCCAGCTCCTCGCCGGCATGTGGGAGTTCGCGAGCGCGAACACGTTCGGCGCGACCGGTCAGTGCCCTTTTCCCCTTGCCCGTGTCGTCCCTTGCTCCCCCCCCCCCCCCCCCCCCCCCGCGCGTCGAACTGTCCGCCCTGTCGGTCCGTGATGGGCTTCGCGTGATGGGCTTCGCGCTCCCACGCGTCGCTGCGGCCCTTTCCCCCCACGGCCCCTCCCCGCGCTTCTCCCCTTCTCCCCGCATCATCCTTCACGCGCCCGCGTCGTCGCGCGCATCCCCTCCCTTTGGTCTGCGAACTGAGCTGAGCTGACCCCGCGCACGCAGCGTTCTCGCTCTTCGGCACGTTCTGGATGTCGTACGGGACGATCTACATACCCAGCTCGGGGATCCTCGCCGCGTACGCGGCCGCGCCGGACCAGCTCGCGAGCGGGCTCGGGATCTACCTCTTCATGTTCTTCATCATCTCCGTTATCCTCACGTAAGCCCCTACCCCCCCCCCGGTGCGGTGCTGTTGCTGTTGCTGATGGGTGTGTGGGGTGTGTGTAGGATCGCGTCGACGCGCAGGAGCTACGGCCTCATCGCGCTCTTCTTCAACCTCTCCCTCACGTTCCTCCTCCTCGGCGTCGGTGCGTGCCCCCCCCTCTCCCTCCTTCCGCACGCTGATTCTGACGCTTTGGTGGGTTTTTGTAGCGGAGCTGGTGGCGTCGACGGCGAAGCACACGGTCAAGGGCGGCGGCGCGTTCGGGATCATCACGGCGGCTATCGGGTTCTACATCGGGACCGCGCAGCTGCTCAACCGCGAGGAGTCGTGGTTCACGCTCCCGACGGGGCCGATTGCGCCGCGCCTCGACTGAACCGCTGCCCTCCCGCGCCTTTTCGGCGTGCGGGCGGTTTCCGCCCCCGCCCCCCCCCCTTGGTGTGCGGTGCGGGAACGCGGCGTGCTGTTGTTGTTGTGTGTGGGTAGGGCGTGGTGGTGCGGTCGTGTATTCTATAGCAGGCTTTTTTTGTCGTTTATCGTTTACGTGCACTCGGTTTTTAGCTCTTTTTCGCGTCGCCGTCGTTCGGTTGCGTGTTCGGTGTGCGGTGTTCGGTCGGTTGGTCGTGCGTGGGTTGGGGGCGAAAAGTTGGGCTATGGGATCTGTGTAATCGGCGTGTGCGTCGTGGGGGGAATGAATGGGTCGGGGTTGGATACGCCGTGCGACGTTGGAGTGTCGATCTATCCGCTGTCTGCTGTGTGTCGATCTGTCCGCTGTCTGTCGCGTGGCTCGTCGGTGCGCAGTGACGGTGGGCGCGGTGCGTTGTCGCGCTGTCTGGATTAATGCGGCGATTGTGGGACATACAGTAAGCTGGCCAGAGGCGCCGCACGCCGAGGGTGCGTTCGCTCGATGTTTATTATCGGAGACGGGTGCGCTCGTCGCTCGCTCGTCGACGCGTCGTGAGCGGCGCAAGACGCGTCTTCTATGTATACAATAAATCCGCGTGCCGCGCGCACTGCACATTACATTAAACACCCGCCCCTCGCGATAAGGCGGAGGGATGTCCCGTACGACAACCCAGAACTAATTAACAAGCCTACGGCGGGAGGAAGACGGAAAGAACCACACTGCACAGAGAATTTCTACACAGTCATTTTTGGTCGAGCCTACCGCCGCGGTCCGTATCGACGACGACAAGTACGCGCCGCACCCGCATCTGCAGCGAGAAATCGAACTCGCCCCGTTGGCAATAACACGCCACGGGTTGGTAACGCAGCGAGATATTCTGCACGACAAACCAGAACCAACAATACGGCTGAAGACGGACACAATCTAACCACCCTGCACAAAGCAAGACGGAAAACTTCACCGAGTCGTTTTTTTTCGGTCGACGGTTGCACCAGCTGCGGTCCGTAGCATCTCCGGCGGGAATTCGAACCTGCGCTGGAAGGCCCCCAATAGCAATAGCCACTGCCGCCCGGTCGCGTTCGAGCTTCGCACAATTCTGCCCCGCGTCGATTGGGCCGCGATGCGCGATAGCGCGAAGCGAGGTGGCCCCGCGCTCCTGCCAGCGGTTCTGAATCTCTTCGCGAACCGGAAACCCACCGCACGCCGATAAGCACGCCCGCGCCCACTGGACTGCAGGCGCATTAATATCACTCTGAACACCTAGAGCGACAAAAACAGCTACAGATCCCGAGTGGGTTCGGATCCGGTCGGGGCGGGGGCAAAGCGCGCCCTGATTTGGGGGGGTGGTTATGATTAGCTATCATGGCTTCTGCCAGGAGCTGTTTCAGTTCTGCCCGGCGGTACGTACGATGGGTTCTGAGGAAGTTGCGCGGATGGCTCGGCAGAAGCGAGAGAATTCGAAGAAGGCTTTCGTCAGAAGTTTTGCGGTGCGCGGATGCGAGGGAGCGGCCCGGGCGGCACGGACGCGGTCGTCGTATGCACTTGAGCAAATGGGCATCCGTGGAACCAGAGAGAGAGCGAGAGCAAGCATCCAGCTATAGGTGATCCGCGCGGCCTTGCCACTCTGGGCGCGATAGATCGGCGGAGAAGCGCAATATGATGCGGTCCTAAGAATATTGGCGAATGGTTTATGTTTCACGAGTTTTCTACAGAAGGCATGTCGTGGTGTGAACGACGATCAGCATATATAGCTGCATATACCAAAGCTCACCGCTATGCACGCGGCGCGTACAAACTGCATCCCGATCTCGAAGGATGGAGCGTCGCATTCTCACCGGTCCCGCCAGCAATTAAGCAGATTGATAACTCCGAGCGCAGAATATCTCACTGAATTTCCTTCCCAGAGTGGCCCATCAGGAATTACGAGGAGGGAACCGGTCCGCTGCGCCAGCGTTCGGCCGCGTTGTATGCCCCAGTCATCTCCCCTGACACACACTTGCTGTCCTGCGGGAAATGCTGCATCAGCAGGTACGCCGTCCGGCAGAGGCACGTCATACGTTGGATCCGGTGATTCAGCCAGATGTGGTGGTGGATGAACGATCGGTGTATAGTTATGCCATCGTTAGGGGACGACGGAGCGGCAGCACCGTGACAATTTGAAGGGCGGATGGACGGCCGATGTCTGAACGAGGTTAAAATTACTGAAGCAAGAGGACAGGCAGACACCGAATAGATCTCATAAGGACATGGAAGATGAGGGGAGAATCAGGACGACGATGTCGCCAAGCGCTGCCATGTTCATCGCGAGAGAACATCATACTTCAAGGGGATCCGTGCCGCGATCAGATATAGCGGCGCACTGGCAACAGTTGCCTCCACGGATCAAAGATAGTGCGTGGTCGGCGCATTTCAAGCATCGCAAGGGAAGGATATGAGGGTCGCACATGATACAGTGCAACTGTCGGAAAGATGGGCACAATCAGTTGTTGAAGTTGGCAACATACAGGAATAACGGAGATCCGATGATAGAGAGACTTGGATGTTCATCCGGTCCGAGGCAAAGACACGATAGGTGGGAGGCCTTGAGGAACCCTATGTATTTCCAGAAGGAATTCCTATTATCCAACAGGATAAGTGAAGAGGCGACGGGAACCGTACTTGCTCGCAGATGTAAAAATTCCAAGCCATGCTGAATTTCAGGGTCGTTTGACGCACAGTACGTCTGGAGATGATAACAACCGCGGGGATGCCAGACGTGACTTGTGAGGTCGCGGTTACAAAGGTCATCTATGCAAGTGGCCACGAAGTCGACGATGTGTTCAAGCACCTTAACTGGAAACTCTGGAACAGTGATGGATGGGAAGTATTCGTCAGTTCAGGGTGTATCTCTCGACTTAAAATGCCATACACAGTTACCTAATTATAAAGTTTGATCCGAGTCGTAGTCCAGCATGTACGGACAGAAATCTTGATTCCTACATCTCGACGACAGGAGAAATGGTATCCTCGCTGATTTCCAGACTTCAGGCCTCAGATGTTCCTGATCTGTGTTGTCATAACATAGTATGGGAAGACTACGGGAGGACAGTGCCATGCTCGGAGTGCGCATTGGTGAGGATGTGCAGGGTCTATGAACGCGAGGTAAGCACCGCCTTCCTGCTGTATACTTTGCTCGCCAATTTTGCATACGTACAAATTTGAGCTTGAGACGTTGTGTGTAATCCTGAAGAAAGAGCTGCTGAAAAACTGAACAAACTCGAAGCTACGAGCAAACTCACATTTAAATGGGAAATTCATAACCACTGGCAGAAGAAAGGATACATGTGCTAGGTTTGTTGTTATTCAAAGCACGTGATCGTGTTTCGCGATCCTCGTTTCTTCTTTTCCTCGCGATCGCCCGCTAGTTACTACATCCCGGTCTTCATGCCTCCGCGAATTTCTTCCAAGCTCTCGAGACAGGATGCACAGCGGGACCAGGCCTTTGTCAAGGACATGACGGAAAGATATACAAACTACCTCGTCATCGCGGAAACCTGTGGTCGCACAATTCGGGGCATGGGATACGGTCAGAATGACGTGGCCCGCGTGCAGCCCGTCTATGACCAGGCCGCTCGAGACTGGCGCAACGATTCGACGATTATTCTGCGAACCAACAGCACGGATCCTAATGAGCAAGCCGCATTTTTTCGTCAGTGTGATGAGATCTGCGCCACACCACTCGACAGTCTATACAGGTATGCATCTTCGGTCTGATTGATAAATCCTGCCCTTGACACATCGGCGCATGTAGGTGTTTTTGGGTTGGCTTTGCCGCCACTGCTGGAGCGCAAGGATTGTATTGTCTGTTCGACAACCATCCAGCCCGGGGTAACATTGTCAGCGAGGCTACCGATGAATCGTAAGCACCACGTTAATCTGTGCATTTTCTGTACGCTCATTTACATGGCCCGAAGAGTTCGACGGACCATTGGGGAACAGGGTTTTCAGCAACTGGCAAAGTTGGCATCTTCGCTGAATCCGCAGCAATTGGAAAATGCGTCCTCGCTTAATCCGTGCACTATGGACCCAGTGGAGCGCATCGGAGAGACAGTACGGTACAAGGATGAGAATAACAACATCATTGAGTGTACCATTGAAGATGCGGGGACCAGTGTCGTGAAAGGAGACTTCTTCAAGCTGTCATACCTTGGCGGCGGGCAGAAGGAGGTCTCTTCCGAAGAGATGGCACGTATCTCGAGGAATGCAGTATGATTGACCCCCCTTATGTATTCTGTCGAGCATTACATCCGTCCTCAGAACATATCCATGGATCATCCGAGTCTGTGCCTCTCACTGGGACTAACCTCTCACTGGGACTAATTGGAACGGTTGTTCCGTCGCACCCGCGGTTAATTACAGTTCACGATTTTATGGACGATTCTGGCGACAATATGAACCCCTCGTCTTCCTTCTTGGGGATTTCGTACGAATGTTCAGTAATGGTTCTAACAATATTAATTGTACATGATGCTCTCCTCGTAGATGTGTGATAAATGGTGTCCGACGAAGGACCGTCGCTCAAGGCAAACCCTTCCCAGGGCCCATGATCTCGTTTGGGTCAAATAGATTTTTCATGCGCTTCATCCACTCGATATTCTTCACGTTCTCCGTGTGGTGCAGTCGTATCACCGCCGAGAGTCACCTCACCCACGAACAATCCCATACACAACACCCTGTCCTAATTTTATCTACTATATAAGCCTCACGAAAACACTACTATACCCACTCTCCACCTGGACAATCCTCCCGTCGTACCGTAGTTAGTCATGTACTGACCGGAGATCACCGCGTCTTAGCACATAGTTTGCTTGTTGCGGTATATAAATCCTGAGTTCATCATCATCCGTGTGGTGCAGTGCCTCTTTATGATGCCAATACTGTGCTCTGCAGATACGGAGCCCTCGTATCTGCATCGCAAGGACACTTACGAACAAGCTCATAGACAAAAGATTCTAGTACAGCTTCGATTTCTCAAGTATACACACGGGCGACAACATTCAGAAATTACCTGAAAAGCATGATTAATTGGTGCGAAGGATTGTTAAGACAATGCTCACTGTCACCGACGTGCCCGTAAGTGACTTAGCGACAACATGCTTGATGGCATCGGGATGCAACAGGCCCTTGGATCGGATCTTGCCTTCCATCGACAGGCCTTCGGACAATTGTTCCCGGATCGCCCATAGCGAAGGGAACTGTGCTGGTGACGTTGTTTGGATAGTGGATTGATCAGAGGAGCATCGGTGTCCATGAGGGGTGTCAGCAGTGTGTTGACATTTTGAGACATTTGAGAAAAGTTATGCTCGGCCTGCGAAACTGTAGTAACCGGTCTCCTCATCATGTTCTCGACTATGTTTTGACTAAAACGGAGCAAGCAGCGCCCGCCATATTTGCAGCATCCAGAGTAGTACCCTGGCCGTGCTTAACCGTGAGGCTGTCCGCCTGCCTGTCGATGGACCTAAAAGCAGAGAGGACTTCCGACAGCTGTCGCTTGACTTGCCTATAGAGCGGGGGCACATTCCAAGCTTGGGCAGCATAAGCATGACGTTATTCGACGCTTGGGGTGCCGCCGTCATCAGGTGCGAGACATCAGTCATAGGGTATCCTCAGTGCCGATAAACAGCTGCTTCATATAATAGTTTGTCGCACATAGTTGGGGCCGAAAAATCCTTTGTGATCTTTGCGTGACATGGAGAGTTGACGAGCCTTCGGTGGCGGAACGCGGGCTCTGCATGGTAAGATGTTTCACCGCGGTCATGTAGTATGACATCCGAACATACATGGACGCAACCCGTCAGATACGCTGCACGAACGCTCCGCACCTGTGATCATCACTTCCACCTCGGCCTCGAAGTCTTCCTCGTGCGGTAGTCCTTTCAGGAATAGATTCACGTCGCCGATCATCAGTAGATTAATGAGTATCTCCGGCTTGAGCTGGGCAGCGGGATCCAAGCCCTCGCAAGACAGAATGATGAATGTCAGCTCTACAGGAAAATCTGTAAGCTGACGAGGACGAGGACACAGGAAGTGGTTGGTTGTTGTACTGACTGTTTTCATCAAGTTGCCATTTCCCTTTCACCGCAGAATACTCAGATATGATACCGGAATACAGTGGTTAAATATAGCGGCTCGCTCGCCTTCTGCGCGCGCAGCTCCGTGCTCGTCATCCATTTGTGGTACGTCTAGCTGATTGGGACAATTCAGCATGCAGAAATAAGGCAAGGGCTGTATCTTCGTAGAACACTGACTGCTACGTGCTCACCTCTGTTCACCATTCGGATGAGACTACTCATCCTCGCGAAAGTGCGGTGCGCGCCGTTATAGGACGAGCACGATGTCTATGTCGACAATGGCGATGGTCTTGTTGGAGCGCAGTGAAAAGCAGTGATCGGTTCACAATCCGAGGTTTTGAGATGGTGAATCCCAGGTCAAGGATGAATCTCCCACTGATGGTGGGCCAATCAGATTGTGTCGGCGAGCAAGTGATTTGACGATCATGCCAGAGGTGGAGGAGCTGGTGGTGAGGGAGTTGGCATTAGAACAGTGCTGCAAGTATTACACAAGGACACCTGGTCGCAGCTCCACTTCAGAATCCGCTTCCATCTGACTGCCTTTGCAGTCGCAATCTATCGTGCCAGTGATATGTCCATGAAGGTACCCGTTTTGCGTCTCACACATTTCTGATGCCTGAACTGTGAACAAGACACGGTCGCGTAGTGTCACGAAGTGTCACATGTCCACGTGAATAGGACGCGTTGGTGGCCTGGGCTACTCCGCCATACCAAGGACCGACCAAAACTGGTCCAGGATTGGCCCAAGACCAATCCGACCAATCACGACTCCAACCCAAAACTGGGGAACAACGCCATTCCCAACAGTTGCAAGTCAGAATACATTCAGTGCGGTACCAGTCGGATGAGCACTGGCAGTCAAGCTCAGATCGTATGTTCTATAAGGTCGCATCATGTGAATAGATTGACTCTATCAGCAACCTGAAGGTCGACTGGCGTAGAATCAATCGGGAGGATGCTGTCAGTCCCAGACCGGCGAATAGGTAAATGGAAGGAAGGAACGTGGTTTGATGTCACATTTCAAGAGGGAGTAGGTGATTTGAAGGTGTGTTCAATACTTTGCTGTGCAGTGGTCGAGGATATGGGCCGTCTGAAGTTGAACCTGAAGGCGCGCTTTTTAGCCAGCATTGAGAACCGCCGTATCCGGGTCTCCATTGTATCGAATAAGGTGTGCGAGTTCCTCTATTTAGTCGCATACAATTCTCCAACCATTCCTAGACTCCCACTCTCGACGTTGTGCTATGTAGCGAACATCAGTGCTATACGTGCAGCACTGCGGGCAATACGAAATTGCTGAACGGACGGCGCGTGTCCTTGTCCGCTCACTTTCTACGTACCCAACTCACAGCGGATCCGGAAGGGTAAAGCTAATGGTTTGCAGGACGTTGACAGATGAGCAAGTAGCCTCCTGCGTCCGATGCTCTTCATGGAGTACTAGCCGACTCAGAGATGAAGCTAAGGCTCACTGATGCACGGCACATCCGCGCAATCTCCTTTTCAATGTCAACCGAGTCTGCGCATAGGATATTCTACTCAGAGATATGCGATATAAATTAGATGCTTCCAGGATGGAACACGAATGCCTAGGACGAAAGCGTGCAACTGCACAGAAGAGTACCTTGTGTCAAGAAATGCAGCATGGCCTTCCTCTCAGGGCTATCCGCAAGGAGAAGCCAACTCTTTTCCCACCACACTGATCTTGCGCATTTTCTTGTATGCATGCAAAAATATTGCTGGAGTGTTTGCAATGTCGGGGTGTGAACATTTCGACGCTTAGATTCTCGGTGTCAAAATCTTCAAAGAATGCAGACGTTGATTGGTGCGACGTACATACATTTTGAACCGACTTCACCATGCTCATACTACATGACAAGTGCGAGATGACGTTCACAGGATCGGAGGAGACAGAACGAGCAACAGAAAGTTCGCCACTAGTTTGACAGCAAGCCCGCAGAACGTGAAGGTTGCGATGCCTTGGGCTTCATACGACGAGACTGCGCCTCCCGCAGCATATCGTTGAGTAGCTCGACCTCATCAATAATGCCCTTCGGCGTCCGGCCCTTGACCACTTCACAGAGAACTTCCTTCGCCGTGATGAGGTAGGTCCTCTGTCCGGGAAGTCCTGCATCGAATAGATTGTGCGCCACGCTTTCGCGAGTCTCCGTGATATAAATCTCGCGCGCAGTCTCATCGCAATTGGCCTTGTCTTCGTCTTCCCCGAAGTCCAAGTCCTGGAGGAGGTTCCCGATGTGTTGGTTCGACTTCGAACGCACGATGTACGTTGGAATTTGGAAAAGCGCGGCATTCCGCAGCAGAGCAATATCAGTTTCGGTGAAGCGATTGTCGAAGAGGACAATAATAGCGTCGAAGATGTATAAACCCTGGGCATTGAAATATTGCCAGTCCGGAATGGCCAGGGTGCCGGCGCCGGGAACGTCGTACCAGACGAACGGCCTCTCCGAGTTCGGATCCTGGTACCGCGTGATGACTCTCGTGGTCTCGATGACTCCGACGCGTGCTGCTTCCCTGTGTCTGTTGGAGATCCCGCGGAGTGCGTTGATGAGGGATGACTTGCCGCTCCCTGCAATCCCCGCGACGGCGAAGTGCAGCTTGCCCTCACGGTACTGCAGAAGCTCCTTGTTCGTGCGGATTTCCTCCTCCGTTGGCCAGACCACTGGACGTATACCCGCCTTCAGCTTCCTCTCGGCCTCCACCTGTGCGATTCGGGCCCCTTCCGCCGCCTGCGCAGCGGCCACTGACGCTCGCTCAGCCTCCTCTTGAGCGGCCCTAGCTTTCTCCTTGGCTTCCTCCGCCCTCTGCCTCTCTGCATCTGCTCTCTTGCTGTCTTCTTCGGCTCGCCGCCTGTCTTCCTCCGCCTGCTGTTTGTCTTCCTCCGCACGTTTCCGTTGTTCATTCGCCTGTCGCCTCTCCTCTTCAGCCTTCCGGCTTGCCTGCTCAGCACGATGTTTCCCTTCCTCTGCCTTCTGCTTCTCCTCGTCCGAGCGACGCTTCTCCTCGTCCGCACGCCACCGCTCCGCTTCTGCGCGCTGGCGGTCCTTGTCTGCACGCCTCCATTGCTCCTCCGCCTCCACCTTCGCATGTTCCGCACGTCGCTTTTCCTCCTCAGCAAGGTGAATCTCCCTTTTCACACGCTGGCGCTCCTCATCGGCACGCCTTCGGCTCTCTTCTGCCTCCCGTCTCTCCTGCTCTGCACGTTCCTTCTCCTCCTTGATGCGCCCTCTCTCGTTCTCTGCCTGTTGGTGTGCCTCGGCTGCGCGGCATTGCTCTTCTTCAGCCTGCCATCTATCACGTTCGGCCTGTTGGTGTGCCTCAGCTGCGCGGCGTTGCTCTTCTTCAGCCTGCCATCTATCACGTTCGGCCTGTTGGTGTGCCTCGGCTGTGCGGCGTTGCTCTTCTTCAGCCTGCCATCTATCATGTTCGGCCTGCTCACGCAGGCGCTGATCCTCTCGAGCGCGTTCTTCCAGCTCCTGCATCACGGGATTCGCTGCTATCTCTTGGCCAGACTCTTCCGGCGACTCGAAGCTACGAATCATGCTAAAGAGACTTAGAAGGCCCCCGAAGACCTGCATTTTCATGTCAGACCTGGAACGCGTGCAAGCGTAGTATGGGCACATACTACACCACCGATAACCTCAGAGACAATATTACCCATTGCAAGCTGAAGTGTATGTGCCTAAGGTGATGCACCGGGGTGACTTGGATCTGTGTAGATAGTGTCAGGGGATAGGGGCTCAATGCTTTCAGAGTTTTTGAGCTACTTACTGGACACTTTTGTATTGTGCTTCCGGGAGATTCAGAAGTGCAGGATGCAGTCTCAAATAAAAGACGATGTGCCTATTGCACGCCAGAATCCGTCAGCGTGAAACGGCGACATGCATCGGGCTTCGCAACGTACCTGGTGAGCAGCCAGATGATGGTCGGAGTGAAAGGGTGGCTGGAGCCCCTTTCCGTCTGGCCGCTCACCAAGGGAGTTGGTGGTGCTACACTGCCACAGCCCGGGGACTGTGTGAGTTGGCCATTGTCGGGCCCAGCGCAGCGTCGATTAGACTTGTTAAATAAATCTATTAAAACCGACTTACTGGACACTTTTGCATCATGCTTCCGGGAGATTCAGAAGTGCAGGATGCAGTCTCTGGGGATGGTAAGGCAGCTATATACTAAACGAAGCGCGAGAACCAGGTAATCGATACATGTTGCAAACCTTAAGGCCATATGTAGAGCCTCACGTCCACCCCGCATGCACAAGGATATAGAGAACAATTAGAACCGCATATTCGATTCGATATCCTGCGCAGTCTATCACGAACGAGCAGAACGGACAACAATTCTGGAGGCGAAGTAGGAACGGTTATTCGCAATTTTTGAGAATATATAATAGCGTCGTTAACGACCCTATTCATTGACATCTGGCAGAGTTCTCGCACGCAACCCTGCCAGCAAGCCCCTGAACAGCTCAATCGTGGCATGATATGGGCCGTAATTCACGGCTCCATTCACCATGCCAGTCACCACGCACAGGAAATCCTACGAGATACATCCGCCGCCGTCACATGGCTTCGCGACGCTAATATCTCGAGTTCTTAAAGCAACGATCAGTTTCTAAGGGTGTGCTCACCATCGCTGTCGTGCACGTTCCGCATGTTTTGTAATCCCCGGGGTAGTGTCGACGACCGGTGGGACTGAGTGTGCGAGATACTACAGAACTTGAAGATGTTGATCAACAAGAAATTGCCGATCCCAAATAGCAGCAGTACGGCGATAGTAGGAGGAACTTGCAGTCCTCGTATCAGGCGCGCCTTCTCAGGTCTTCTCGCGTGGAACCTCCCGCTGGAGCACTTGGTGCCCCTTCTGGCAATTCCTCCTCGTCGCTGCAGCCATTACGGTAGGAGTCACATCGTCTGTCACATTCTGTGACTCTGAAGAAAAATTCCGTATGGGTCGCTGTTGTTCTAACTCTTCTGGTTGGGTTCGACGACTGGTTCGGATGGTGCAGGGAAGCTGACACCAATGATTGAAAGTTACAAATGGTAAAGTGTAGATTACGCCCGCGCTGCGACTATACGCGGTGTCAGGGCAGCCCGCCATGAGTGAGGAGTACGTACCTCAGGAACTAGCAACGCCCAAGAATGGGGCCCAACGGGAGACGATAGTCTCTCTCGTGATGTACGTACCTGTACCATGCTTCACTGATATGGATTCTGAAGAGGTGGATGGTGGATGGTGGATGGTGGCTGACCATGGTAAGGCAACTCTTCGCTGTTTCGATGGAGGAGCGAGGGCGAAAAGCAGCAGCAACCCGGGACTATCCGCTGAGCTACGAACAGGAACTAGTAGGCGCGATCACCATGAGTATGTGAAAGTGGGACGAACCCAAACTTTGTCGTATGAAATCTTACATGATACGCTCTCCTGATAGAATCGCATTGGCCTAAGGGTTCCGGGCGTCTGGGGTGCGTTGGAAGTTCGGGAGCTTTTCATATGGGCGGCTGGATCCGGATACGCAATGCAGAACTTTTCGCGCTGGCGGAAGTACACGGTTGAAAACGTAGAACGAGCGCCCACGAAACTGCAGACGCCAGGTAGACAACTTGGGACAAGACTGGGGTCACACCAAATGCGAGAACTTCACGCAGTGAGGCTCTTCATGTGAGTCATAAACGAGTAAGTAAAGACGTGTGCTCATTAACATTAGGGCTCGCCCATTACTGTACCGAGATTCTGCATTCACGAGGAACTTGACGGCCTGCGCAACCATGCTGGAGCAAAGTTGTATCGACCAGATGAGGCCTCAGGCAGATGCAACGAACGTGCAAAGCACAGGTGGTACTAGATCGCTGTCAGATCCGTCCTGAATTTGGTTCGGTAACAATCAATCTCACTGCAGAGGTTGAAGTCAAAAAATTTAACGCCACGATGAAAAATTGCTTACTGGAATGAGGTGTTTACCCGCAGGGGCAGCAGCGATGGTTTTATATCACTCGCTTGCATCCGGCTGAGAGAACGTCAGCGATATTAAAACGATATAAGCAGGGAAAGAGAAGATACTGAAATTGAGTGCGACTTCAAGTTTCTCCATAAGTTAGGCTGGGTGTGCTAGGAGAATAAGAAAAGGATAGTCGATTGTAGTTGTCAGTATGACTGGATACCATGGCATCTGTAACCATGAACGATATCCTTGACACCAAGAATCTGCGGGTCCTGTGACATATACGCTTGCCAATCTAGAGAGTTGAAATCGTGGCCGGAACGGTTCGTTATGGCATTTCCATTCCACAGGAAGCGCGCGTTATTCCCAGGTATGATTTGCGCGAGACAACCGGTCTCAACATGTCGGACTTCGATGAATCGGTGGTGGAACTGAAGTATGTATGAAGGGTGGTACACAACTTGCTCGGCCGTTCCTGCCCATTCGATTGCACAAGGACCGAATGAATACACCTAAAGAAATATTGATGAAAGTGCCAATCCTGTTGAAAAAGAGAGGAGAGATCAAAATTCACAATAGTTACAGAGAGTGGATTCTTGGTGTTTTTCTCGGGGGTCTACAGCCGCCTATATAGGCTCGGCTAGCACTCGACTAGCCAAGTCCCTACAATATAGTCCTCTGTAGCCCGTGACTTGTTGCAGTTTCCAGATGTTGTACCGTTATAACATAGTAGATACTGGTCCTTACTCGTGGAAGATGCCCAAAGGTCGATGTGAATCGTATCTCCTGTATATGGCCACCAGATGAGGATCTTCAAAGTCTGGCATGGATACAATCTGCAAGCTACAAGGCCAGTTTGAGTGGATTTTGGCATGGTCATGCACATCAGCGGGTTGGCGTACTCATCGAGAGTCACAATCTTCAGCCCGCTCGCACACAGAACAGCGATTTTATCTTGGAGAAAGATGATATCGAAGCATTCTTGCGGGATATAGAACTTCTTGGATGGTTTTTCAGCGGTCCAGATCAACTGTCGAAAACAGGCATCGAATCTGCCTCTTGGGCGATAGCTATAGCTTTCGGTACATATGTAGATACGCATCAACTCTATGAATCTGCGACGGTACGAATACAATCACCAGTGAAATTTGACTGTACGGGGTGAACTGAAAACGTCTTCAGCCCCACTGGGCGTGAAACGAGTTCCCGAGTGTACATGAAACATCGCCGTTGTGCAGGGATATCCAAAGATTGTCAGCTTCGTTTATACTTGGCAAGGTCTTCCCTGGTTCAGAATCGCTTCGCAAGTGACACAAATCTAGAGATAAGTTTATGACAGTATGAACACAGCGAACTCAGGCCGGAGTGAGTAGGCTAATATCGAGTGCAGAAAATGGGCCGCGCCGCGCAGCGGTAACAGAAGCTAGCGGGTACATACATAGTGACTCATGCCCATGCCGACTCCGAGTCCTCGACTGACTCCCTCCCCGAGTCGTCAATAAAATTCCAGCTCTTCAACTTGGAATCATGTCTCAAAGCGAATCTCTGAAGGGCGTGCAAGCACTGCTTTTCGACGTCTTTGGAACCGTAGTGGATTGGCGGGAAAGCGTCTCCGAACAGCTCCGTACACGCACGGAAGGATCGATCTCTGAAGGTTGATTTCTGACTCCCAGGGCCAGGTTGCGTTCATGCCAATTGATTAAATCATGCCTTCATACCAACAGACTGGGTGGAATTTGCGGATGAATGGAGGAAGGGCTATTACAAGGGAGTGTACGCTGCACAGGCATTAGAGGATCGGAGTCTTGCTGAAAGACGTTATTCATCAGTCGGCGCGTCGCACAAGGCGGCGAAGGCCCTACTAACATCGATGTGATGCACAGAGAGGTCGCCGATCAGGATCGCACAATGTTCACTGTGATTGACGAAGGCGTTCTTGCAGATTCTCGATGAAATGTTGGATTCGCCGAGATGGAAACACTTGGCGTCGCGCTGGAATGACGACGAGCGGCAGGAGCTGGTCCTAATGTGGCACCGTTTGCATGGTTTGTGTCTCAGTCTCAGAGGCACTACCCTGATTTTTGATGGATTGGCATGTCAGGTTGGCCTGATGCCACCGAAGGTTTATACGCTTTGAAGAAGAAAGTTATCATCGGTGCTCTTTCCAACGGAAATATAAGGCTGTTGGTAGACATGGTACGCGGTGACGATACCCATCTCAGCTTGACAATATTCTCTGATGCAACACACGATCAGGCTAAGTATACCGAGCTCCCTTGGGACGTTGTGTACTCCGGTGAACTGCTGGGCTCTTACAAGCCGTTGGTACCGTCTTCTGTCTGCAGTCCATTCATTGAGGCGTCTGTTTAGCAACCCGAAAGTGTACCTCGGTGCCATGCAGCATCTATCGTTAGCGCCCAGCAGCTGCGCTATGGTGGCGGCTCACATCTACGACCTGCAGGCAGCGGCCGCCTGCGGTATGAAGACCGTCTACGTGCGTCGTTTATCAGAGGATCCCCTCGAAGTACGCGACCAAGTCAAGAGCAAGGCGAATGGGGGTGAAGTCGACGCGGTGGTTGACTCATTCATCGAGCTTGCTACCTTGCTGTCCAAGTGAATATTGCGCTTGAATCGTGCCGGCCATATGTACGTGTAAGTAATTGTATCTTTTAAAGACCCACATTAGATTCGAACTTGAAATGCTGGAGTTGAACAAGAGAGTTGCAAGGCACCAGTTGCAACGACGTAATCACGACTCAAGAGTACCTCTACCTGCGGTACTAATGTTTACTTTTGATCTATGCAGAAGGGATACTGACAACGGTCTTTTCACCCTTCCCTGAAGCACCTACCTCCGACGCGCTAACTTCTATATCTCCACTGTCATTGATCAAGAATTGAACCTCCAGTGTTGTTGTCCACCGTCCGTTGACCAATTTCGCCTCTTTTGCCACGAGCACCAAGGACGCAAGAAGATTTTCTTTCTCTATCGTCTTCTCCTTAACCTCAATCTCTGCCTCTTCCTCCTCGTCTTCCTCCGCCTCGTCTTCTTCACCCCTGGGTGGCTTAACGTTCTCGATTTTGATACCCTCTTTCACCTCCCAGACTTCGAAGCCTGCCCTTTTCTCTCTCTCGCCTTCGCCGAGATCCACGTCGAAGGTTACTACCCTTCTACAAGGCACAGGGGTCTCTCTCAGCACCGCAGGAATCCATTGCCCCCCGAGGGTCCCATCGCCAGCGCCTTCCTCAGGGAATAGCATCCCGATGGTCTTCGAAGTCGCCTTCGCCTGCGTCCACTTACTACCGCGGGTGAATGCTTTCTTCACCTCACGCTCCTCCTCCGTGCCCTCGGCAAGCAGCGCGAGCACCTTCGCCTGGAGCGCACACCCGCGAGCGAGAATCGTCGTCGGATCGCCCACGCCACCGCCCACGACGGTGCCTGTAGTAAATGGCGTCACGACCGTCCCCGTGAAGCTCTGCGCTAGCGCGTCGTCAAGCCCAGGAAGACTCGTGGAACCGCCAATGTACACGATCTCGTCGACATCGTATAGATCCAAGCCTGCAACGGCGACGAGCTCGCGCACGCGCGCGAGCACAGTCTCATATACAGAGCGCACCTCCATGTCGAAGCGCAGTCGCGTGATGCTGCCGGTGAAGTCGAGCCCATCCTTCAGCGACTCGACTGAGCAAGTCGCCGTGCCGGGCGACGCGGAGATCGTGCGCTTTGTGTGCTCGACCGCGAGTCGCAGCTTAGCCTCCGCACGCCGATCCTGTGCATCCCCCGCGGGACACACCACTAGCGGAGTCTTCGTCTTCTTGGTGAACTCTTTGGCGAAGTATTTCATCAATTTATTGTCGATCGCGTCCCCGCCCACGCTGTGGTCGGAGAGAGTCGCGAGCGAGTAGGCGAGGCCGTCTCGAATGGAGAGAAGGGATAGTTCCAGGCCCGATGAACCTAGGTCTACTAGGAGTTGTGTGCGGTCTGCTTTGAGGCCCTCTGCCGGAGGGCCGAAAGTGGTAGTGACAGCAGCGGCACCGGCCTCCTCGAGGAGCTGTAGGACATTAATACCTGCCTCCGCAGCCGCCTCTTCCAACGCGACTTTCTGCGCCTCCTCAAACCACGCGGGGACGCTGATGACCGCGCCCTGGACCTTCCTGCCCAGGAAATCTTCTGCTGACTGCACTAGAGACTTGAGGAATATTATAGTAACTTCGGACACAGTGAGGACGCGCTCGGCGGGTGTGGGCTCGGAGCGTGGCGTTGCAGCATGAGATGCAGCCGGTGTGTTGGATGCCGTAGTGCTTAGCGGTGTAGGGGAAGCTTGGAGAACCTGGACTTTATATGCAGGCACGTCTGGAAGGTCAGGATGCTGGATGACAGGTGCCGATACGGTTGGCTTGTTTGATGGGAGCTCAGAGAACCTATTCGAAAGGGACAAACTCATCAATACGATACTGGTGGAAATGACGAGGTGTGATGACTTTTTTCCAAGCAGATTTCGGAACCCGGTGATGGTATTCTGGGGATGTTTTATGAGTTGGTGCTTGGCCTGGTTGCCGACGTACTGTTGGTAGAAAAAATAAGTAGCGCATCGTATATTATCGGATAACGGACGCACCAACTCTTCGCCGTGGAACGCGAGGGTACATGCAATTTGACGCTCTCCATCTTCGTTAGCTATGCAGTCTGCGAGTCCTTCCTGAATTTAAGAAATGCAAGAATTATCTATCGTCTGCGCTACGCGGAAAGAACGAAATGTACCTTAGTGAGGACCGCGATGGACGCGTAGGAATTTCCAAAATTGATGCCCACCACGGTGGGGGCGGAAGAAACCTCGATGGGTGCATCTGCAGTGCCATTCGGAGTGGCCATGGTGGTGAAAGAAAGTAAAGATGTGAGGTGCTTGGTGCTGCAGCAAGAAATTCGATGCCACGTGCGATGATATGTCACGTGCCAGTGTGCACTTTGTGGGCGCCAACGTTAACTGCTTGAACGAACTTCACTCCACCGCAGTGTTCAGTATCAGGCTTCAATAATAGAGGCATTTCTTTTCAGTTCTCACATCTTTCGCCCAAAGCGTATTATAGTCTCCCAAAAAGACAAGCGACCAAACAGGTGCGATGGAGTGAAGGGGCGCCGAGCCCTGCGGCCAGAATTATACTGAACGTGAGCCGTGCAGGAATGTCGACCTGCACCCATCTTAGCGAGATCGCTCGCCTACAACGTCCTAAGGTCTCGGAGTCCGTGCACAGAGAAGAATGCACCCAGTGTTTTGACAATCAGGTGGCGTACGCTCGTGTTCACCGAAGACACTCTGATTGAATGGATTTTCGCAGGACCATCCGCTCGGGATCGACGTCTGCTTAATCTGCTTTAACGGAGGGTGTCTCGACAAGGACAGGCATCATGCGCGAACCCACTTCGAGAAATCTGGGCATGCATTCACCCTGAATGTGAAGCGCAAGCTGAAGCCCTCGGCCAATCGTGTGCGTTCTTTCTCCTTCTACTCCACATTTATTAACACTGCAATTGTTCAGTCAGAAGATGAGGAACCGCCTGCAAAAATAAAAAAGCTAGCGATCGTGGAAGAGCGCGATGAGGACAAGTACGAGTACAAAACTGTGATCAAGTGCTGGAAGTGCTACCCCCAGAACGGTCTCGAGATTCCAGACGCGTCGTTGGATCCCATCGTCAAGTCCCTCAGCGACGCCGTGATGCAGTCCCTGTCCTCTGCGCGCCAGTCTGAAGTCAAGGCCTGGGAAGAGGAGATCGTCCCCTGCGAGCACACGCTGACACTCCAGCAACTTTCCACCGAGCCTATTCCTGCTTCCGGTGCGCATGTTCGTACACTGTCTACACTTGTGGCACTAAAGTTCGACTGCAGGTCTTGCGCACTGCTCAAAATGCGACCTGAAGGAGAACCTGTGGCTCTGCCTGACTTGCGGTTCGCTCGGCTGCGGACGCCAGCAATACGGCGGCCTCGGCGGTAACGGACACGGTCTGCAGCACTACGAGGAGACTCAACACCCAGTGAGTGTCAAGCTTGGGACCATTACCCCGGAGGGTGGCGCAGGTACTTCTTCACTAGTTTTGTATCAAACTACGTGATACGATGACGTTACAGACATCTACTGCTATGTATGCAACGATGCGAAGCTGGATCCTGAGCTCGCCGCGCATCTCGCTGCGTTCGGAATCAACGTGCAGACCCAGACGAAGACGGAAAAATCGATGACGGAACTCGTAAGATACGCGCTTTCGGGCATCCACAGCGTGCACTGACGCGTCTCGCACTGCGCAGCAAATCGAGCACAACCTCAAGTTTGACTTCTCCCTGACGGGCGAAGACGGCAAAGCTCTCGAGCCCGTTTTCGGACCGGGCCTGACGGGGCTATCGAACCTCGGAAACAGCTGCTACATGGCATCGGTGATACAGACCGTGTTCTCCCTGCCGGCGTTCCAGGAGCGGTACTACCCCTCTGCGGCAGCACACTGGGCGACATGCAGGGAGGCGCTCCCTGCGAACTGCATTGACTGCCAGATGCACAAGCTAGCGGACGGGCTACTCTCTGGGCGTTACTCGCACCCTCGCCCGACACCCGCAGGCTCAGCAGTGCCAGTGCCCGACGCGTCCGAGCCGACACCCGTGTTCCAAGAGGGCGTGCGCCCTGCTGGATTCAAGGCGCTCATAGGCCGCGGGCACGAGGAGTTTGCGACGATGCGCCAGCAGGACTCGGAAGAGTTCTTTACGTATCTCCTTACGGTGCTCCGGCGGCACGCCAAGAAGACGCAGGTGCAGGCGCAGGAGCCGACGGAGGTGTTCCAGTTCGGAATGGAGCAGCGGTTGCAGTGCGGGGAGTGCAAGGGTGTAAGGTACAGGGTGGACCAGATGGACGTGGTAAGCGTACCGGTGCCCGTGAAGGAGTGTGGAAAGGATTCGGAAGGGAAGACTGTTTGGGAGGAGGTGGCATTGAAGCGGTGTTTGGATGTCTTGACCGGTACGGAGGCGCTCGAGTATACGTGTCCCGGGTGCCAGAAGAGTGTTGTTGCGACAAAGTGCGTGTTTTCTTTTCTCGGTTCGGTCTGTCCTGACGTATAACAGGCGATCAAAGTTTGCGACTTTCCCGCAGGTGCTCGTGGTTCATGCAAAAAAATTCCAGCTTGTCAACTGGGTTCCTTCGAAACTAGGTGGGAAATCCGTCTCGTCTCCCACTTCGATTTTCTGTCTAACTACTCCTCTTTCAGATATTCCAGTCGATGTATCGGATGCGTTGCAGCTTGACGAGTATCTGGGTGGTGGCCTCCAACCTGGCGAGACGGTGCTTCCGGACGATAAAGCAGGTTCGTCTCATACAAATGGTACTGCAGCTACCGAATATTAAGACACCTCAAACAGCTGCACCCGCATTGCCCCAATTCAACGAAGCGGCTATGGGTCAGTTGGAAGCCATGGGTTTCCCCACTATTCGATGCCAGAAGGCGCTACTTGCGACAGGGAACAACGACGCAGAAGCTGCCATGAACTGGCTCTTCGAGCACATGGAGGAACCTGGTATGTAACAGCCCTAGCTCGTCGTCGGGTTCTGCCCATTGGCTAACGTTTTCCCGCAGACATCGATGTACCGATTGCAGTTGGGGGTGCGGCACCAGAAGTATCACCGGAGCAGATCAGCATGCTGGTGGAGATGGGGTTCACGCACGCACAGGCCCGCAAGGCGCTTCGCCAGACGGTGCGTCAGCTGCTGGACTACTTGCGCCCCGACCCACACTGACTAGGACACAGGGCGACGACGCGGAGCGTGCGGTAGAGTGGCTATTCTCTCATCCTGACGATAGCGGCGAGGACGCACCTCCGGGCTCCGTGAGCGGGGGCCCCAAGCCGTCTGCACCCGGGGGCTCAGCGGTGCTGCCGGCCAAATATGCGCTGAAGGCGTTCATCTCGCACAAGGGCCCGTCAGTGCATTCTGGGCATTACGTCGCGCACATCCGCGTGGGCGACTCGTGGGTGCTGTTCAATGACGAGAAGGTGGTCAAAGCGGACGCGGAGAGCGTGCGGGAGCTCAAGAAGATGGCGTACTTGTACGTCTATGAGAGGGTGTAGGCGGACTTGTCTGTTAGCTGCAGGCGGACTATACATGATACGATGCAAAACATGTAAACTCGCAAGCCGTAGATGTGTGTGCCCAGTTTTACGTTGGGGAATTAGCCGACGCGCGCATGTTTCTGAAGGCGGTTAGTACTAGTACTATGTAGTCATTTACAGCGTTGTTACAGCGGTTCTATCAAGCGCAGAAAGTCTATCCCGATTTGTAACCCCGACGCTTATTTTCGACGGTCGCTGCCTCTTAGCCATCTTACGCCTTTTTTCATCCCTCTCTTCACATCTTCCCGTAAACCATGTCCGACCACTTTCCAATCAGCCAAGTCGACCCTACCGCACCGACTCCCCAAAACACCCCTCTCACCCACGCACCCATCGCTGCGGGGCTCTCGCGTCCCACTGTGCCCGACATTAGTGAAGACCAGGAGGCAGAGGAGGAGGAGGCGTCCCCCACTGCCTCGGCTATGCAGCACGCGATGCTCGGGATGGTACAAGGCAAGCTCGCGGGGCTCGTCGGCAAGAGCTCGGGCTACATTGAGAGTCTCCCGAATGACGTGAAGCGGAACATCGAGGCTCTCAAGGGCGTGCAGGTCAAGCAGATTGAGCTCCAGAACAAGTACAAGCGCGAGTGTCTCGAGCTCGAGAAGAAGGTATGTGTCGCTCTGCGGCCCCAACTGCGTGCGATTGCCCGATCCCAGCCAGATGCTCACCTCGTTCGTCTTCGTCGTGCAGTATCTTGAGTTGCAGGTTCCTCTGTACGACCGCCGCCTCGCGATCATCACTGGCGCTTCGCAACCCACCGCGGAGGAGATTGATACTGGCGAGCAGGAGTCGCTGAAGGACGACCCAGACCACACTCTGCTTCCCAAGGATGTGGCCCCCTCGACGAGCGGCATCCCTGAGTTCTGGCTCACTGCACTTAGGAATCATGTCGGTCTCTCCGACATCATTACCGACCGCGATGCGGCTGCGCTCAAGCACTTGGTTGACATCCGCCTGTCATACCTTCCCGCAAGCGACCCCAAGCCTGGCTTCAAACTTCTCTTCATCTTCCGCCCCAACGAGTTCTTTGAGAACGAAATTCTTGAAAAGACCTATCTCTATCAAGAAGAGGTAGGTTACTCGGGTGATTTCATGTATGATCGTGCGATCGGTACCGAGATCAAGTGGAAAGAGGATAAGGACTTGACGAAGGAGTTCGAGATCAAGAAGCAGCGGAACAAGAGTGAGTAACATAACACTGCGATGAAAAGAGTGCGTTCCCTGATTTTAAAAATGGTAGATACGAATCGCACGCGTCTCATCCGCAAGGCCCGCCCAGCGGACTCATTCTTCAACTTCTTCTCACCTCCAGTTCCCCCCGATGATGATACGGAACTGGAAGATGAGGAGCTGAACGAGCTGGAAGAGAAACTTGAGGTTGACTACCAAATCGGCGAGGACATCAAGGAGAAGGTTCGTCCCCATCACCGCTTTTAGTCTTCCACTACCTTCCGCTCACCGTAGTGATTCGTACGTCCGCAGGTCATCCCTCGTGCCGTAGACTTCTTCACCGGCAAGGCACTAGAATACGAGGACATTGATGACGACGACGATTTCGAAGATATCGAAGATGACGAAGAGGACGACGATGATGACGACCGCTTCGAGGAGGATGAGGTGCATACATCCACTCTCCCGCTCTCTCAGTGTACTGACGCACCAACTTCAGGACTCTGACGAGGACGACCTTCCGGGAAGGAGACGCGCTCCACCCAAGGGCCGTGGGGCGGGGGCAACCACGACGAACGTAAATCCGGAGGAGTGCAAGCAGCAGTGATTCAAAGTGTCGCGATGCCATCAATCGCCAAATCTTCGCTGGCAATCCTACGCCTTCCCTTGGTATGGAGAAATAAAGCTTGTTTCGCTCACTGACGGTTCTAAACACAAGACATAATTCTGCACTGCCCCTACTCTTATGTCATGTATTCTGAAAGTGCTTTGTTCATTACGTAATTCACGTATAATGCTGAAGTACTTCGTCAAGATAGTACGTAAGTACGCAAAAGTAAAATATCTCGCCACATGGTGTCTACACTGAGCGGGAGTCGAACCCGCGCCGCTTGCTAATGCATATATGTATACCCGTGGACGAATGAATGGAAGGCAAGCATGATACCGTTTCACCATCAGTGTACTCATCATACTGAGTATAATCAACATCTACAGCCTTGGTAAATTTTGACTAAGTAGAGGAACGGAAGATAAACCAAACCAATGCGCAACCACTAATGGCAGATACATCATCCCATGGTAGCTGTTTTAGCTAAATGAAGCGCCTCAGCAATAACAAACCCAATGTCATCCCCGACAGCCTGTATATCCACCTCCCCTACCGCATCCGCATCCGCATCGACCCCGTCATTCCCCTCCATCATCGCATGACCCGCGTCCCCCAACAACTCCACGTTCCCGACACCCTCGTGCCACGGCGAGCATGAGCGGTGGCCTCCGCGCAGCCTGAGTGCGGTCACGTCCCCCACATACGCGCGCACTCCCGGTGAGACGACCCCTGCATCAGAATCCGACTTGGGCAGCAAACGCCAGTGAGGCTGCGGCTTCCCAACGTATACTCTACGACGACCCGATGGGGCTCGAGACGCGGCCGAGGGGCCCAAGACGATCCCGCTGCTGTTGCCGAGGAAACCGGGCCCGACGCGCTCGCCGTGCATGCCGTACACCGTCCCCCAGAACGCGCCCTGCGGCGCCGTCCACTTGTATTCGGGCGGGGGAGTCGGCGTCGGCGTCAACACCCGCGCGGGAGCGGGTGCGCCATCCGCGTCTGTGAAACCTGCTCTGGCGGGCCCGCGCCGGGCAGAGACGTATGGCACGCCGCGCTTCCTGCAGCACACGTCGCAGTTGCACATGTCCAGGCAACGCGGGCAGGTGAAGGACACAGCGTCGGCGTCAAAGATGATCTCGGGGTATCTGTACGACCGAAGCAAATGTAGAAGATTATTTTCATCAGCGATGCAGCCAGAAAGTGGGTAATCGAGGAGCAGCAACACGCACCGTTTAGAGATGCACACATGGCAGTACAACGATCCGCACACTTGGTCGTTCCGAATAGCAGTACATCGCATTTTTGGATGGGGCGCGCTACGCCGGCAATGGTGACAGGTAATCGTTGTTCTCGCCGCGTTTACGGGGGGCCCTACGCGGGTGATCGCCGCATCTATGAGAGGCCCTACGCGTGTGATTACCTGCTTCGGCTGGCCCGCATCGTCGTTGTCCGAGTCGAGCGACGAGAGCGAAGACAAAGAGGCAGGCGCAGGGCTTATCGACTGCGTGGCGAGGACACGGGCACTGGGTTTCCGCACGCGTTTCCCAGACACGATCTCCTCATCGAATATTGACTTGCTAGGGATCATCTCGAAAACGACATGAGGCTTCGGCCGCGGCGGAGCTTTGGGCTTCGGATTTGGTGGCGCCTTGGGCTTCAAGGGAGACTTGGCCTTCGCACTGGTTTTGGGTTTCACATCTCGTGCCGGCTTGTACTCGTCGTCCAAGGAATCCACCACCACAATCACATCGAGCTCGTGCTCGGAGGCCCATGAATTCTCTGAAGGAGGCTTCGGGCGAGTTCGGGCGCTGGGTGCCTTGGCCTTGTCCCTCGCAGGGAGACGGGACGGCCCCGCAACAGGACTCATAGACACCTCAAGGCGCCGATGCGCAGCCGGAGGCGGAGACGGCGTACTGCTGGGTGAATAGTGCTGGACCTCGAACGGAGGCATGGGCGGGGCACCGAGCAGCGACGGGTCGATCGTACCGTCCCCGAATCCAAATCCATGATCCGCGTCCGGACTCATGTCCATGTCCACATCGTGTGACGCCCCGCCGAGCATCCATGGCCCGACGGTGCCAGAGCTGAAGCCGAGGAAGCTGTCGGGGAACGCATCGATGGGGCCAGGGTGAAACAGCATGTCGTTCTGGGCGTCGCGCGTCTTCTCATGGAGGTCAAAGCTGAGCCCGCCAAGCGGCACCGTGTTGCCCACGGCGTTTGGCGCCGGCGGCAGCATGGGCGAGGTGAGCCGGCTCTGTGGGGTGCTCGCGTTCGCGGTGTCAGGAGTGATACCGGGCGTGGGCACCCCTGAGGAAACAGCGGGAAGACGTTCTTCGTCAAATAAGCTCTCGCACCCGCGATCCGCGTCGGCGGGTGCTTTCCGCATGGGCGATGCAGCGGGCTCGCGCAGCTGCATGCTACTGAGGACCATGCTGATGTCTTTATGCAGATGCCGAAGCGCGACACAGACGCCGCCAGGCGTCGAGTAGATCTCATCCTCGACATTAATCTGGTAGTTTGGGACCAGCGTAGCAAAAACATCGACGTGGAAGTCTGCGGGGCGGTGGGGAGCTTCGGCCCTTGGCTTTTTGCGCTGCGCCTGTGAGTTAGACGGGCAGCCGCGCTTGCGTTTCAGCGGGGGTGCCGAGGCTGATGCAGACGCTGGTGGTACCGGGGCAGGAGTAGTAGCAGCCTGGAGGAATGCGAACTCGGACGCCGACTTGTACGATTCCTTGGTCACGCCAGGTGGCAGAGGTGGGACGAACACATATGCACGATTCGTGCGAGTGGGCTGACGGGTTGGAACCACCAATGGCACGGGAGGAGAGCTTTCCAAGGTGCTGAGCGGACTTAGTGAGCATGGTAGCTACGCACCACTTGAGTTAACGTGAAGAGCATAAATATGCAAGTACAAGACTCACGATGCGTGTCGCCGGAGGTGTTTGCGGTACAGATCCGTGAACTGCGCTTATTGGCGCAACGCCCGCACGGTTAATCGACATGTCTGAGTCTCGTACTGCATCTTCAGTGACTAGCGCGTCTGTAGGGTCGCATCCTGCAGATGAAATCTCGTCCACGATCAAGTCCGCGGCGTCCACGTCATAGGATAAGATCGGTAGATCGCGCACGATTGAGCTCGCTGTGTTGTTCGACGAGCCTGCACCAAGGAAAAAGCCAAGTGGCTGCGGATTGTGTGGAGAGACGACGTGCACCGGCGACAACATGTCCTCAGATTCTATCGGCACCGATACGTCCATTTCCGCGAAGCTGGACTTGGGGAAGATGGGTTCAGAGCTCACCCCTTGCACTTCCGTAGAATTTTGAGCCACATCCGGTATTGAATCATCGTCACTATCGATATTCGGTGTACGACGCTCGTCGGTAGCTGTCGAAATTTCCATTGCAATATTGTCGGCATCCTCGGTGGTAGCTGTCGAAATCTCCATCAGAATATTCTCCGCCTCCATAATGTGGCCGTGCGGCGCTTCCACCAACACATTGCTAGTTGGATCTTCCAGCGCTGACCGCCGCTCCGACAGTGTCTGCTCATCGACCTCCTGGGCGCCTGCATCCTGCCGCGACCCACCCGAATGTTTTGACTCCGAAACCACACCCGCATCCACACCTCCATCTTCGTAACCGACCGCACCTCGCTCCGAGGTGTGTGGGACGAGAAAGTGCACGGCAGCGTCGATGAACGCGACCGCGGCGTCCTCCGCATCGGCAGCCTCATCAGGGTCGTCCGACAGCTGCATGTCGGCCGTGCCATCGTCCGAGTGCGCGGCAGGGCTAGCGAGCGACGCGAATGGTGCAGGGAGTTGGTCCAACGAACAGGTCGCTGGTGTCGGCGTCTGCACTCTATGGACATCGTCCGGCCCTGCCATGACGATGTCGCCCGGCGCGTCAGGTTGTGCGCCGAACGCCCATTCTTGGTCGAATGACGGATACTTCAGAGAAGAAAGTGCGTGAATAAAGCCAAGCGGGTGACGAGAGGAGCGACGCACCTCCAGATCTGCAACCTGCTCGCTGTCCTGAAGCTCCTCCCGACGGATTTGGCTCGCGCTCGCGACATCGTGGAGAGCAGGGGTGGATGCCACTAGGACATCCGCTGTGACGGAAAGGGAACCGGGGGAGTACGTGTCGGAGGGCAGACGCGTCGTGACGACGGCCTGAGACGTGGAAGTCAGTGACGTAGTATTGTATTGCGATCGCGCGCGCGAGGGAGACGCCTGGGGAGCGGGTGATAGAGCGTCAGGTAGCTCTATGAGGTGCCGGACCTCTGACGAAGATCGCTGGTCCAACCATGGTTATCGCAAATCGCAATGCAGGGAGAGGCTTGGTACATACCTGGTGGACATAGGTCGGCCTGTGTGGGCCGGAGAGTCCACGGGGCATGTTGTTACCCGGACGAAATTCGCTCTGCGGAGAGGCTTGGAGCACGGCGCGAGGGTGAGGATTGGACATCTGCGTGAACCGTCAGACGAGGCGGAAGGAGGATGGGCGGCGGTTGCAGGTCACCAAACAGCCCGAACGCAGGATATGCAAAGAACGAGAGAGCAAGGTGACGCACCGGACTGTGCATCTGCACGGACGTGTCTGGCACCGATGCGATGGTCTTCGACCGCGCGTAGACAGACGCAGTCATATTCGTATCGTTGTCCGCGGTAGGTAACGAGTTCGACAGGGGATGATTGAATAGTTCGGGCACGGCAACTGCGTCTGCGCCGGGAACGTACGGACTCTGTTTAACTGCAGGGGCGGATTTGTCTGGATCGGATGAGACACGCTCTGCTGAGATTGAGCTCTGCATTGGATATAAGACGAGTCAAAGAGGACGGCGGACAAGACTGACCGGCACCTCTGAATCTGACTCGTACGACAGGAGCATCGCGGCGACGTCGGTGCTGTCACGGTCATCTGACGACGGGGGCTTATATCGCGGGCTACTGCAAGCGACAGACGATGGCGTACGCATGGCGGGCGCAGGGCGTGTATTGCTCGTGTGTTGATGAGAAGAGGGGGGTAGGCGGAGAGGAAGAGGAAGCGTTATCGTCGTTGTCGCAGCTGACGGCGCCGTTGTTGCCAATGCCGCTGGTGGTAGTGATGGTGGTGGTGATGGAGGGGTGCGCTGGCGATAGTGACGGTCGAGAGAGCCGTCCCAGTTGGCAAGCTCTGAATAAATCGGCATTTTTCGAAATAAATCATGAACCAAGCGCGTAAGCGCCCAGTCGCGTCGGCGTTGTTACTCCCTCTCCCGCGATCCCGTAGCCTAGGGAGGCGCGCGTCTTTGATCGACCTTTGCGCTCGTTACGGGATATGTTTGACTTTACTCTGGTGTAACTATTCGACTCATAGATGACAGAGAAAGTCTGGATTTACTGGACAGGTCGTTCCTACTACCCTCGATAGAGTGGCCTACATCTGGGACTCGGAACCATCGACAAAATCAAAGCCTAACTCTACTACCAAAATCGAAGATGATTGGGCGGCTGCCACAGGGAATTCTCTACCCTAAGTACCACGTTAGTTGCTTTAGATCCTCTAACCAGGCCGAAGTAGCAAGGACGAGTTAAATACTCCTCCACGGATCACCGTATAGAACAGAAGCCAGGGAATAGGTCCGTTGTCCTTGGCCGACACGTAGTGTCCGTAATCACACCGTAATGTGAATGATGGACCGGAGATAGGTGGAACCGCCGCGACCGTATACAGTGGGTCTTTTAGTTTGTTTTTCCGTCACCTGGTACTCTTTACTGTAATTATTTGCCAGGCAGGCAATAACAGCGATGACCTGGAGATTTCCCAGCGCCATCCCAGAAAGATTTCACAGCGAATACCTGTTCGTCCTCTTTTGTGCCCCAGGACAACAGAAAGTTCCTAACGTCACGCAAAAATCGTCGATTGCTACAACGAAGAAGCACAGATTGTCGAAGCCAGCTTTTTGTAGTTACAGGTTGGACACAAGCACTTCTATGACATGTTTTCTTATTTTGAAAACTGCCGACGGCCTTCACGAGTGCAAGCGGTGGGTGCCCGAATAATGTGTATGAAATATCTTGTTTCAGCCATTGTACTTCTGGACGAACACATCCAGCCTAATTTTCGGAGGAGCCATGGAGCGACGTTTCTTTCCCACTCATATCCATTGATGACGCTGAAGTTCTCTCGCAGTCGGATGCGACCGAGCGATACTCACCGCCATCGCTGCTGCCAGTGCAAGCAAGCGCTCGTTGAAGGCTGATTCCAGTCGGCGATTCTTCGTCATGGCAATGTACCTTACGGTATATCTGTGTCCAGAGAGGTGTATTGTCGGAAGCGAATTTCATAGGTCCAGCAGTGCCAGTGCATTTCACGTCCCTCGCATCCATCAGAGGATAGCAGGTAAATATCATGAAAAGACTTTACCTTCAAGATCGTTACGCAGACTCACCTACGCGAATGTACAGTTGCTGTAATGGGCGAGTCTAGCAACAATCATACATCTTTACCTATCCATCTACAACTCACATGAAGCCAACCCCCTTCCTGGTGTCCTTAATTTGGTGGATTAATTGGCTTGCATTCTAGAACGCATACTTCCAGCGCGAAGAGTCCTGCGCCGCGTACCAGGTCGCACTCGCTGATATGTAAGCTCTCGAATTTCTGCTACCCAAACACCCCTTGTCTGAAGGGCCTCGGGAATTGCGGTCACTCCACCAGGCAGGTGCGTCGTGTAAATCTTCATAAGGCGAGATTTGGGTTCGTCGCACCCTCACTGACTCTCAAATACATAAGCTCTGAGAGGCGATTTCCCTGAATCTCTTCGGGCTGCAATAACTGTTTGACTTCCAGTACTTCCGCCTCTTCCGTCTTTGTCTTCCTCGCTTATGCGTTTCGACCAAGCTTTTCAAGACATTTTCTGTTGTCGGACTGCTTCGCGAGCGCCAGGTACGACAGGCGTCTTAGCCATAAGTAATACTACGATCGATATGACTGTTCAGTGCTGCTGGGCACGTCTCTGACGCATGTAATAATACATGCACCCATTCGAACTGCTGCCTCCAAACAATTCCGGTTCCGTGCATGCGAAGTACGAAGCAACCAATGTTTTGGCGCGCGCGCCCGGCGCTTGGCTACAAATTCCAGCTCGTGGCGGGGAGACTTTTTCTGGACTTTGGAGTTGATGTTGCCATGACTGACCGCTACCAAGACGTTGACCCACCCATCAGTCGGCTGTCTTCGATCACTCTACCAACGACCCCAGTGCTTCCTCCAGATTCAGATCTGACGAACTTGTTGTCTGACTCCTTATCTGTGACGACTATCAACAGTGACTATCGAGTTTATCCTCTCAAAGATCCTGGCTCGAGTAGCGAGTTTCTGACTGATTCGAGTTCCCACTGGAACCGGACGTCACGCCACACTGCGGAGACCTCTTCTGACTTCCCGGAGGCGATTGCAGATATCAACAAGCAAGGGTACGTAGACACCTTGTACTTTATCCTGTTTTTGAATGCCGACACCCTTGTCAAAGTACAATCCACCAACTGATACATCAAGAAACTCACTATCTTCGTAGTCTCGATGCCATTAAATTTGTGGGTATTCGTCGCATACTATTGTAGAGAGCTGTATCATTAACGTATTTACTTCCCAGATTTTCGATGAAACACTGCGGCAGGCAAGACCGCTTGACATGCCACCGAGTGAATGGAACGTATTCATCGAACAGACCATCGGCAATGTCCTTCGGCTCAGCACATGCAGTCGCAAACTTCTCGAGACACTGCACACGCGAGTGCGGTCCCTGGGACCGCTAATTGACGGTGTAGGCGAGATATTCATAAATATGCAGGCTGAACTCGATGGTGCATACAGCACTTACATCGAACACTTACCCGTTATGATCCGGAACACGAATTACATGGATGAAAATGTAGGGTTCCACCGGTTCATTTTGGTATGTCAGGTCATGCCTGTCGGTTGATTGTGTGTATAGCACGGATCTCATCATTCACTGTAGCTATATACAGAAGAGTACTTTGACCTCCAACACCTTCTGGACCAGCCCAGCGAACAACTTGGAAAGTATGCTATCACCCTTGCTGCTCTGCGCAGTGCCAACATGGACAACATCGTGGAGGCTGATAATTTGTCGCTGGCTATTCAACGTATGGAGAGGCTGCAGACAGCTGCACGGTTGTGTAAACGTGAGGTCCAACGTCAATCGTTAGTTCCCTCATGACTATCGTGGCATGCGTACACTAACATGTGTCCAGTCTCATCTTCGAGTTGATACGCGGAGAGATAGATTATGTGAGGGATCTTGAAAGTTTCAATACGGTGCGTTCCTTGCATTGCGATCACTATTGTTTGTGAAACGGTTTGCGACCTAATACAGATTTACGTCGCACCACTGCGTCATGCGGATCCTCCAATTATACCAAAGGAGAGAGAGACTCAGTTCATCCAGGACGTCTTCCACAATTTCGCCGAACTGTACATGCATCATTCAAAGATGCTGAGCGAATTCTTCAGGATCCAGCGTGAACAACAACATCTGATCCGCAGCATCGCGAAAGAGGTGTATGATGCGGTTCTACATTTTCGTGACGCGTATCTGGACTACCTTCTGAATTACCCGTTCGCTGAATACCATATTGACTACGAGGCTGCAAGAAACAGTGCTTTTCGAGCTTTCAATGAGGTGATTTAGTTCTTGACGGACATATTCTGGACAAATATCATCCTAACGTCACATCACCAATTTGAAGGAATGCCTCCGGCACCCCGACGCTCGTGAGCTCTCTATGAAGAATATGTTAAACCGCCCATCACTCAGGCTATTCCGATATTGGCTTCTTCTTGAGGCCATGCTACAAGAGACGCCTCAAGGCCACGAGGACCATGACATAATTCCTCGAGCGATGGAGATCATTCAGACCCTTTACGATGAGACTGAAGCAGGTGTTGAATTAGCGAAGAAGAAGGTCGAAATGTGGCACTATTGTGCTAATATAATCATCAAGTCAGGCGAGCCTAATGTGAGTGAGCTGTTCGTCTTCCAACAAATGCTGATATCAAGTGTTAGGGCCTGGACCTAATGAATGAGGAGCGTTCTCTCCTCCATTCGGGACAATTGATCTTGCAACAAGACCGGTCTATTTTTGAGCGAGGTCATGCTTCTACAAACCTACATGTCCTCCTCTTTGACCACTATCGTACGTCTCACACTAGTATCTCTGTTGTTATCTGACTGGATTCATAGTTGTGATGACGGAGCCGAAGGAGCAAGACATGATCACGAAATACCATGTATACCGTCGGGTGCGCCGCAAATTCCTTTCCCACAACTTAGACTGATTTATATCAGCCAATACCTGTAGACCTCTTGACATTGACTATTGGCAATGGCCCACCTACATATCCAAGAGGTCCCACCGTGCTTCTATTCCTCCGATCAGAAAGTGACACAAGGCGCTCCCGCGAGTCCGCTTTGCTGCAGAACCAATTGATCGAACCGTTCACGGTATATCTGGGTACTATTGGTCATAGGGGCAAACCAGACGTGTCGTATACCTTTTTCACTTCGTCTCTGCCTGCTCGTGATGAATGGAGACAAAAGCTGCAACAAGTTGCCTGTCCGACGAAAATCTTTAAGATCAAGTCCTTAGGTCTTCACGAAGCCACTGCACTAAATGCGGGTCATGATTCCACGATTCCATCTCTCGAGGATAGGGCTTACAATATTGTGGGCAAAATTTCCTGCTCTGTGAAGTTTGGTGGGTATTACGCACGTCGCACTAATGAACATCATCCACTGAACCGTTTTGCAACAGCACTGTCCGATGGTGGAACAATAGTCATTGTTGGAGGTAGTAATGGTCTATATTTAAGATTCCTCGATGATTCGCCTGGTAGGTTACCAGCATGATGACAGTTAATCCCTCTTGACTCATCTTCTCGCAGCTCATTACCGTGTACTACATCTAAGACTTGTCACCCAGTGCGCAATGCTCGAAAAGGACGGTATATTGCTGGTTCTCGCAGAAAAGGTTCGCACTCAGATTATTTCTCTGTTGGCCTAGGCATATGACTATGTACTCTTCAGTCTCTATTTGCCTACGAGATGGACATGTTGGCGCTGGCCCTATCATCTTCTAGGACCGCTGAACAGTCGGCGTCACTACCGCGACAACAACTGAATGGAGATACGAGTGGAGATAGAAATGTGCAATTCTTCAGCGTGGGGAAACTCAACGGTCGTACACTCGTTATCTACTCCGCGCAAGGACAAGGGGTAAGTGCTGTGACCGCTCTTCACCGCACTGTTATACTTCACTTTTACAGGAAAGTCACTTTGTGATGCTACAGCCGATTGTAGGCACGGATAGGGTAAGACTTAAGAGATCACCTACGGCGTATAGATCCCAGATTACTCCTCTTTCTCGATATACACTGTGGTTCGAACGGTATAAAGTATGCATCACTTTTCCTAGGAACATTATCCTATAAGCTCTCAATTTGTACATCAGACATTCACACTGCCGCTTGACTCCTTCGATATCCTTTTCCTGAGGTCTGTTATCGTCATACTCTGCTCGAAGGGGCTCCGTATCGTGGACCCTGAAGAGTGCGTGCACGGTTGTTATGCCGTCTGTAATTGACTAATCTGAACCCCGGTTTTGTAGCCTTAAGGAAGCGACAATGCCGACGCGCGGTGCTCCTCCTCCGAATGATGAAAGTGCAAACATGAGCACAGACATCTCAACCGTGGACAGGTTCTTACGACTGGGTTTTAGAAACTCCAATACAACGACGAACGTCCAAAAACACAATGACCCGCGTCTGCAGATGATATATAAGAGGTGTGAAACATGCCGACCTTTGGGTATATTCCGCACACAAGACGGACGATTCATGTTATGTTTCGACGGTACAATCCCAACTTTGTCCATACGATGTACTCTCTCACTCCTCCCCTAGAATTTGGGCTGTTCGTCGATAGTGGTGGAAGAGTGGGCCTCTCAGCTCAAATGATAGAGTGGGAGGCGACCGCGGAGCGTACGGCCTTCCACCCGCCCTATGTCCTTTTGTTCAACTCCAGATTCATCGAGATTCGACATGTTGAGACTGGTAACCTCATGCAGGTTATCCTTGGTGACGACATGCGATGTATCTGCGATGGTCGTAGCGGGGCGAATGTCACTACCTCCTCTGTACTTGGCCCTGAAGGTTGGCATGAAGGCCCATCACAGGATTCCCGGGTGCATGTTGTGATGCGAGCTCCTCGGCTGGACACAGGGCCTGATTGTATATTTGAATTAATCCCTACCATCCCGTTGTTCCTCCCCAAATCCACTCCGCTACTCGATTCCACTCTGCTGGCAGCAATGAAGTAGAGGATTGCAGGTATCATGAACAGCTTTCATTATTAGTAGCGTAATCTGCAGCTGTTGGAACAGTGGACGAAGGGATTACACCAGGAGATAGAGTCCAATAGGTTTGGCGCGAGCTACTGTACATTATTGAACTCAGTCGTCGTCCGACACTCATTCTCCGGCAGGAACTTGCACAACAGACTTCACTTGTAAACGCAAAGCCAAAATCAATCCCGATTCAACAATGTCCTAATGCTATAACTAGTGTACAATGATATTGAACTCAACCACTTTTCCTGCCTACTTTTTCCTCTTCCCCGCAGACAAATCAGCACTGTCAATCCACTTCTTCGGCACGCCCTTGGCGATAAGCAGATCCGTCACAATTTTGACCTGCTTGCCCTGCACCATGACCTCCATGTCCGAAATTTTGCCCGCCACAGGGGATACTGAAACATAACCAGGGGCGGTCAGATGGACGAGCGAATGCGCAGAGGTTCACCTACCTGAGGTCGAACTGGCACAAATCCTGCGCAGTTCGTTCGCAAGGTCATCCGCGACGAGGGAGAATGGCTCGAAGCCGGTGACGAGCGTGCACGCTTTCCGGCCCTGGCGCACCTTCATGACGACTGAAATCGGCTTGAGTTGGCCTTTCCTGTAACGAGCGAAACGAGCGAGGGTCAATATTACGAACCTACCTGAAAGATAGATGCCTACTTCCGGATGATATCAGCGCCCCCCACGCGTATCTCATACCAGCTCTGCATGCTGTCCTTAATCCGACCAAAGACTTCATCACGCTTCATGAACTCGATGGTATCCTCATTCTTCCTGACGATCGCAGAATGGAGAGCGGCGTCTTCGCTGACGTTGACATACTGTTGTTCCTGAGCATTGACTAAATTCTTAGATGATATGTACGTATCGAAGATCCTCTTGACGTCCGGAAGTGTGTACAGCTCTGACGTGCTGCCAGCAGTATCAGTCGTAAGCACGCACAGTGCACCCGGGAGGGGAGAAATTACTCACTCCTTCTGCGCCGCGACAAACCACGCGACGGTACTCCCGAATGGTTTCCAAAACTCCGTCACATGAATCTCGGCCCTCCTCTTTTCTTCTGCATCCTTCTTCCGGCGTTCGCGATCTTCTGCGTTCTGTACCATAGTTTCGACGTCCTTCGCGGTGCGGTGTAGGTGATGCCCAGCAACGGCGGGATGATTTGGGAAAACGGCTGGGATGACGTCAGCCCGTAGGGACGCAACAGACATGGTGGACTCACCAGCGACGACGACGTCACCGCCCTTGGCATCCTTGAGCTTGACGAGGCCTTCCTTCGCCGAAGCTTTCAGAAACACCTTGACGGACTTGTACGTCGAATGCTTGACATCAATCGCGTCTGATGGTATTTAAATTATTAAGTTCTTCGGTGCAGCTGCGAGAGACACGCACCTGTTGTGGAACCGAGAACATGTGCTGCTCTTGCTGGGAGAACGTACGAGCTCCAGAAAGCAGACGCAGAGATTGGGAACACAGATGAAGGAGCGGCGGAGAGGGTCGTAGACAGAGCCTGCAGCAGTGCTTCTCGTAGGCAGTTTGAAACCTCTGGCGGCGGTGCAAGTAACAATATGTATGAGCCCATCATGTGGCACATAACATGATGGAGGAAGACCCGTGAGACCAACCTTCTGCTGTTAATGAGGAAAACGTTTCGACCGCTGGGGGCTCGTCGCCCTCCGGAAGACTTGCAGAGGGCTCCGTTGATGAGTGATCGTCCGCCACGAGTTGCCTAGTGACAACTTTTCTCTCGCCTACGGAGGGCTCATCTTGAGCCTCGTCTTCTCCAGAATCTGAGTACGAGCCATCCAAGCCCAATGGCGGCTCCCCGACTTCAATTACTCTCGCCTCTGGCACGTCCATCTTCTTGCTCACCCCCATGTCCCACAGGAAGTCTTTCCACGTCTGCAGGACGTATACGGCCTTGCCTTTGGAGTCCTTTTCTAGCGCTTGCTTCAGCGCATCGCTAGACATGGCCATGCGTCCTACGGCAATCGGAAAACCGATCTTGTCGCGGTGGAACTGCGTGATGGACACGAGTTGATCAGGGGTCAACGAAGATGAATACTGGACGACTTGGATATCGGTCAACCCTGGCAAACGCGCCACGCGAGGATGTGTTTACCTCCTGGAATCATCAAGTCTGCTCCGCCCACGAGTTTAGGGATCACGGCCGAGGGAGTGGAGAGTATCGGCAGTAGTGCGGGTTGTTTCCATAACGTGTACACTGCGAACAGGGCATCAGATGCGCTTTCGGTCGGCTAAAACCATTGAGTGAGCAACTCACCTGTCGGAACAAGGTCATCGGAGCCCTTCCCGATCGTGAACCACAGAGGATCGCCTTCCGGCGAGATGTACGCTACCTGCAATATCACTCCTCCATCGCGTCGGGCATAGACGGAGAAGAAAAACGCTCACACCCGGTTCGTTCAAGTGCGTACTAAACTTCTGAGAGAGCAGTCCCTCGGGCACAAGAGGATCTCCGTCTTCCGGCGCGAGGTGATCGAAGGACTGCAGTACTCGCTGCTTCAATTTCCTCCGGTCTGAACTTCGCAGAGGTGCTAAAAAGAGACCGTAATGGTGGTACAAAATCATACCAACTTCTCGATAAATAGACGTACCCGAGGTTTTGAGATCCGCTAACGGTTTCTTGAACATGGTATAAACGCCGCAAGGTCTAGTCACACTTCAGTTGAGGTCTTGAACCGATTCACTGCCGTGTCCTAGGGCAATTAAGCCGGTTTACCCCAATCTGCCAGAACAACCTTCGACACAGGTATGACCCTATTATACTACACAGTCGAGAAACCACAACGGATCTAGAGGCTGAATGGCATACATGCTGCAGAGTATCGGCGCCTATTATTCCACAGCTTTGTGCTGACTAAGCCTCCCATGAACTTAGGCGCCCTCCACTGGGGGCAAAAGTGGATGTTCTGCCTTGGAACAGTGTCTGAACATCCAAGGAACAGATTATGTTTTTGGACATGTCACATGTTCTGAACATGATAAGGAACATCTAATATGTCTCGCACAATGTTCTATTGGAGAGCATGCTGGAGACATGTTGCATGTACCATTCTGGAACATATAATATGTCTCACACAATGTCTCATTGGAGAATGTCCTGCAGACTTGCTGCATGTTTCATTCTGGAACATTTATTATTTTGCTACTATATTCTGGGCTTATCTCTTGATGCAATATGCTCTGTATAATAAGGATTTCCCATGGCCAAACACATTACATTTCTGGCTGCCGTTAATCTTCAGAACATTGTGAGAAGATGTTAAGTGCTCCTACTCCAAACATACAAGATGTCCTGGGCACCAAGAACATTTGCAGCACATGTAAAATTTTAGTAAAATTTTAGTATGTATCATACATGTACTGCAGATGTTCTTGGTGGTCAGGACATCTTGTATGTTTGGAGTAGGAGCACTTAACATCTTCTCACAATGTTCTGAAGATTAACGGCAGCCAGAAATGTAATGTGTTTGGCCATGGGAAATCCTTATTATACAGAGCATATTGCATCAAGAGATAAGCCCAGAATATAGTAGCAAAATAATAAATGTTCCAGAATGAAACATGCAGCAAGTCTGCAGGACATTCTCCAATGAGACATTGTGTGAGACATATTATATGTTCCAGAATGGTACATGCAACATGTCTCCAGCATGCTCTCCAATAGAACATTGTGCGAGACATATTAGATGTTCCTTATCATGTTCAGAACATGTGACATGTCCAAAAACGTAATCTGTTCCTTGGATGTTCAGACACTGTTCCAAGGCAGAACATCCACTTTTGCCTCCAGTGCTCTCAAGTTCAAGTTCAACTCGTTCTAACTGTTGTTCAACGATGCCAGCGCTCCGACTTCGTCAAACGTCATGGTACGTATCGTCTGCGCACAGTCTTCATGTGCGAGACTACTATTCCACCTCTCAGAGTTTAATAGGGCTAATTTAACAGGATACTAGTTCATTCTCAAGTTAAGCGTTACAGAATTTGTGTTGCAGGCGCAGCAGCAAGGCGGGAGGGCTGCAGTGCTAGATGCAGCACAGGTACAAGTCCAACAAAATCATGGCGTGCGAGAAATGCCCAGCAAATATCAATGAGCATAATTCTTACCCACTGAGGTTTGTCGGGCAGCTTGGCATGGTGATTGTCCACTAGTCTCACTGTCGTTGCATCGGGTTTTTTTTGAAGAGAACGAACCGGTGTACTGGAAATTCATGTGTCGGTGTTATGACGCTCTTTGGAAGTATTTCGTTGGTTCCACCCTCTTCTGGATTCCGCGGGAACTCGCGAATTCTACGCTACTGATCATTTGCCTAGACGGGCTCTGTAGGTGTCTCCGTTTACGACCATTCAAACACGTACTATGGTCATTGTGAACTCATGGAGACGCCATGTGTCTCGCCATTTCCCTCATTCCCTGATTGACCTGGCAACATAACTAGTCCTTCCTTCGATTGTAAACCATCCAGGATTCTCAGGCGAAATGTTCTTGCTATCTCTTTGCAAGCTTTGTGCATCTTCTAGCCAATTTTTGCTGGGTATTGGCCTTCGTCAGGACGATCTGTATCTGTGCTATTGGGCAGGCTATCTATATTCACTGCCACTCATATCAAACACGAGCTTTGAGTCAAACCTTGCAAAAATACTGTGCCGAGTAAGTCTCTGCAACGCAGTGAAGAACTACATACGGACAGTAGGCTCTGCGATTGAAGCACCTTGTCTCTGCCGTAGCCCTTGCGATCACGAAAAAGCCTTCGCCCACAGTATTGTCTTTTTCCCAGCACGCTCGGTCGTAGTTTGCGAGATAATAAACAGCGATCCCGGTGGTAAGACCCCTAGCACTGCTTAGGAGAGACTAGTATGGGGTCCCGTCATTGCTATCTTCAGCGACATGGGGCCATCGCCGGTCTGCAGTACCTAGTACATATCTCTGGCCCTTCGAACGACGGCTTCTGCTACCGCGCCGAACGCACAACTCTCATTCTGCACCCTTGACTCCTCTTGTCGTTCTTGTGAGCAGGACGCTTGTGATCGATGGATATCCAGAAGGATCTTGTGGAACTATACACCACTGTTTTCTCCTACCCGGCTATTGATAACCATGCGCACGCTTTCTTGAAACGCGAGTACCGTCACGAAATTCCGTTTGAAGGTATCATTTCCGAAGCGAACGGCTCCGCTCTGCTCGAGGACGCGCCTCAAACTTTGGCATGCTACCGCGCCGCTGCGCAGCTCGGCAAGCTATTTAATCTCTCTGACGGGGCGGACTGGGAAGAGGTCAAGCGTGAGCGGAGTCAGATGGACTATTTGGAGCTGTGCCGGCTCTGTATGACTCCGACGAAGATACAGTGCATCCTGATCGACGACGGGCTCGGCATCCCTGACATCGTCTACGACTACAAGTGGCATGACCAGTTCACCACCAGCCCCACCAAACGGATCGTCCGCGTTGAGGTCGTGGCGCAGGTGTGATAGACGTCTTGCGCTGTGCATCGCGTGCTAAGTGAGTGGACGTGCCAGGATATTCTTAAAGACCTCATGGATACGCACCTCAGTACGGGAACGTTGGCGCCCTTGAACCTCTTCGACGCGTTCGTTGCGACGTTGACGACGGCGATCACTGCAGCCGCTCAGGATCCCGAGGTTGCCGGATTCAAGTCAATCGCGTGCTACAGGACCGGCCTCGACATCACGCTCACACAGACCACGCCAGAGCTCGAGCAGTCGATCACTGGGATCGCATTGCAGTACTCTACGAGCAAGAAACTACGCCTCGCCCACAAGGCCTTGAATGACTTTGTCGTGAACACAACTTTGCGCGTTGCTGGACAATACGGGAAACCTGGTGAGTGCGCAATTCTGCAGCCACGGTATGTGACTTGACGTCGCGCTCGCAGTGCAATTCCACACCGGGCTAGGCGACAACGACATCTCGCTCACGCACTCTACGCCTGCGCTTATGCAGCCGATCATTAAGGCCTATCCTAACACCAAGTTCGTGCTATTGCACTCCAGCTATCCATATACCCAGGAAGCCGGGTACCTTACCGCGGTGTACCGGAATGTGTACTTGGACTTCGGCGAGATCTTTCCGTTCTTGAGTGCAGATGGCCAGCGAGACGTCGTGAAGCAGGTGCTAGAGCTTGCCCCGGTAAACAAGATCATGTGGTCAAGTGCGTCGTTCGCATTGTTGTGACGTGGTTACGAAGCTGAGAGTCGCTCAGCGGACGGCCATTTCTGGCCCGACTCGTACTATCTCGGTACGTTGCAGGCCAGAGAAGCCGTATATGAGGTGCGTAACTCGTACCTTCTTTCAGTGAGATCGATCCGCGTCGCTTATGAGCCATCGATGTAGGTACTGGGGGCGTCAGTCCGTCGCGGAGATCTGACGTTGGCGCAGGCAATCAAAATCGCGAAAGGGGCTTTTTTCGACAATGCAAACCAGATCTACAACCTGGGCCTGGTGCCGCATGTTGCATAGTCATATGTTTTGTCACGTTCTTGCGTTTAAATATGGTGAACGTTAAACGTATTGGGTATCTGCGACGCGCCTGAGAATGGATTCGGGAGTTGCATGTGGTGAGTGGGAACGTCTCAAAGAAAGTATACTCTTAACGATTGAATATGATAACGGGTGCAGTATCCTCGATTCTTGTTCGTACGCTTTGATTCCTTTTACTTCCTCGCTTTCCGGGTCTGCTGCTTGCCATGGGCGTTGGAGGATAGAAGTGATCGGACCTTCAATTTGAGTCTGCGTCAGAATCCTCAAGTTGTGCGATCTCGATACTCAACTCAGAACCTTGAATCGTTGTCATGGAGATGGTGAGTGCGACATCCATGTGGATGGGATGTTCGACACCAAGTTTTACTTACTACTCGAGCGGAACCTTATCTTTCTCTCATTGTGAGAACCTTTCGCAGGGAGCTCGCGTAGTACATACGCTTAACATCCTACCCGAAGACGCACATTCGGACTGATTGGTGACTGATGTCATGGCGATCTGAGCAGCATCACGTAGACTTAGGCTGTGTTGCTCAGGACGTTGATTGCATCCAAACCCCTTGACAGGCGATTGAGTAGAGCTGTCAGACAGTCGTCGATGATTATCCGCAGGATGTAAAAGAGCGCGAAGGGGTGGTCAGTCATCACAGCATTTCTTAGTAGCCCTCCCTTCGTTCTTTCGTTCGGTTTCATCTTCATTCCTTCTGCTTTTATTTCGCAAAGGAGCGACTGGACGTCGTTCTGTGGGTTCCAGTGTTATCATGGTTAGAGGTATATTTCTTTTATTGCCTTCACTTCTGTCTGTCGTAGTTCACGCGAATGACTGGTCGGAGCCGTGCTTCGGCGAGTGCTCCTACGACATCAGTGGCAGTGGTGTTTCTGGGATCGTGTATATTGTGAGTACATCTTGCGGTATATCTTGCCCTGCGTACTTATCCGTTACTCGTCATGCGCCAAGTCCGGATCTTCCAGTGCCGTTTCGGATATTACCACGGCTGGTGGTTGGGATATTCTCGACTGCGACTCTGACAGCACGGCGCAGGATATCCGGGCCATATGTGGCAGTGGCAATTCGACGTGCGACCACCTCTATGAAGGCGGAGCAATTGGCACTATTGTCCGACTTCCTGAAAATGTCCGTTCATATTACGACTTTTCATTAGGCTCATATTTTGAATGCACTGGAAGTGTACACAAATGCCCTTCGCACGCATCTCCGATACTTGGGACCACGAGGACCAGTCGATGCCAGCGGAAAAGCGTTCTCGACTGTTTTACAGGCAAGGCTCAGCTGTAGTCAAGGGGTTCAGCCTTGACACGAACTTCAGTGCGATTGACCCCTCACAGTAAGGCTTCGCCCTCACCAGGAACGGTATTTAGTGCTCAGGATATTGCATCGCAGGTATGGCAATGTGTCATTCTGGGTACAAGGCACATCGATGCCAGGCGCATCGTTCGCTTCGGCTTCGACCTCCGGAAAGCGAGCTCTCCACGAGCGCAGTTCATTTGGCTGGGTACAGCAATCCTTGAATAGTAAGTAGGTCACGGTTTTCAGTCTTATTCAGTATTCACTTACGGTAACAATATTGCAGATATCTCGCAATTCAGCAAGAATGTGTCGGAGAATGTTCTGCCCATTAACGTGCAGAAACAAGGCGTTCTCTTCAACGAATCTATCGCATGTCCAGCCATCGGCAATATACCTCCTTTTGCGGCTGATATTGCGGTCGCGATCGATGCTCAGGTCGATGCGACACTGCAGTATGGTGTTGCTGTCTCGGGTACACTCGTGCCTCCAGAAATGTCCGAGTTTGGCCTGTTCGCAGGTACGAGGATTCATGAATTCAGATAGCACTAGGCAGAGCATTCATCTAGGTCTCTCCGGTTCTATCGACGGCACATTGATTGCGAACGCTACTGCCGCTGTGTGCATCTGTTACTTCATTTGAATCAGGCCTAATCGCTGATCCAACCACAGACTACCCTGAGTACTGGCATTATCCCGCTTCTCCAAGTTGGCATCCCTGTATTAGATATTCCTGGGTACGTATATCTTATCGATGTGTTGACGATGTGCTGAATTCCGTAAAGTATCCTAACCATCGGCCCTACTTTTGAGCTCAATGTGGAAGCTACCGCTATGTTGGATGTTGACCTGAACCTCGCTGTTGGTTTGAACTACAACATTAGTAACGCGGAGTTGTATTTCCCTCCATCAAGCAATTCGGCGACCTCGGGTGGAATTTTTATGCCAGGCGACACAAGTACGCGTTGTCGGCTCGAAATTAGTGTGCTGTATGAATTCTGGACACTTACTATTACAGATGTACAGCTGTCCGCGAGTCCTAACGTGACATCGCAGACTACCCTAACAGCACATCTCATTCCGACTGTACGTGCACAGATATGGTTTGGATGATTCACGCGCATATTCATCCGGTCCAGGTTGCGTTTGGTATTAATGCATTGTCTGGCGTTGCCCAAGCCACGGTTGATCTCGACCTGGATGCGTCTGTCACGCTCGACCTTGATTTACAAGCAAGCATGTCGTCAAACACCACAGGGAACACCACCGGAAGTGCATTCGGAGGGTCCGTGAATATCACATCGGAATTCGACGTCAACGCTGGTGCGGACGCCTCCTTCTTAGCCTTCTTCGACAAGTCAACCACCGTCACTCTATTCTCGAAAACATTCGAACTCTTCCAGGTATTCCTACTTATATGTCAGTCCTGATTGCATCTGACACCCTGGCAGGAGAACTTTGGGAATGCCGCTGCAAAGAGGATGGCTCGACGTGCTCCTCGGCCTTTAAGGCGTAGTTCTCTTACATGTCCAGTTGTCGCTCTTGAAACTATCGAGTCGATCATCGACATAGAGAAGGCAGCATCGTCATTGTCCGGGTAAATGCAGTAAGTGCCCTCCCAGGATCCCGGTTTGAGCGTACTAATGTTTAGATTAATATTGCACCCAGCTGAGTAAGCTTCCAACGCCAGGTTCGTAGTACTGTGGTTCACTCAGTCTTCAATCGCTTTGCTCTTAACGGTTTGGTACAATCTCGCTACGGCTGAGCAACTATGGGCTCGGGTAGTGTCTTCGCACTACTCGTGGACATCAAGTTCTAACTTATTATGTTCCTCTTTGCTCAATTGGTGCTGCTGTATACGTAGCACTGCAGAAAAACTCGTAAATAATCAACTCAAAGCCAAATAGCTCAACCCGAGAGAAAAAAGGCTGATAGAATAAATCAACGAACTTGAATCCATTATTTGAAACGCTTCTTAGTCATCTTCACGATCAAAGTTTGTGCTCCTCCGGTATCTCACCAATGTCTTCAAACCATTCCTGGAGAGAAACCATTATAAGTCAAACTTGTGCGAGTGCGAGTGCAGGTGAGTCAGACCGCGACCTCAGGTTTCTCATTGATGAACTTGCTCATCAATTCCTTGCATTCCTCGTCTTCGACCACGACCACTTCCACACCTCGGCTTCGCAGGAGATCTTCGTCACCTACGAAGTTCGCGTTCTCGCCAATCACGAGACGAGGGATCTTGTAGAGCAGGATCGCTCCCGAGCACATGCTACATGGGCTGCGACATGTCGTCAGACATGTATCCATCAGCTCAGGCGTAGCTATCACCTCAGGGTAGTGTACTACAACGCAGTCACGGTCTTCATTATACGAAAAATCGTGTATGCATGATTACACACCATCGTGGATTGCCGATACACCTCGGCTTTGAGCCTTCCTGCGTTCTTCAGCGCAGCAGTTTCGCCATGCAAAATGGCAGAGCTTTTCTGTATGCGCTGGTTATGTCCCTGCCCTAGCAATTTCAGCTCTTGGAATGGGTCGTCTGTACCCCCGTGAAGCACCAGCGCTGCACCGATAGGCACGCCGCCTTCGTCGTAGCTCTTGCGAGCGTTCGCAAGGGCAGTCTTCAGGCCGAGAACGTCGCTGCTTTTCATGAGAAGATTACCGTTTGAAGTCTGAACGTAGGATGTGGAAAGGACGGAGGAGACTCAAAATCAAAGGCAACCACGACTCGACCACCGTGACATTGTCAGATCGTTATCTAGCAAGGTGTCGGAGATATCGCTGCTTCGAATTCACGATCGTACACGACAGGCTCGGCGCCTAAGATTTGCCGGCAAGTGATCATAGACCTGCGGCATTATTAAAATGTGTGGACCAAAGCATGGCAGAGCGAAGAAACTCTATTGCCAGCGAGATCTACAAGCTACGGATACATCCTGAGATGAAAAAGGAACAACAGATGGCTAACCAATAAGGGATACAGATAGGCAGATAGGTAAAGATAATTTATGTAGGTATGGGCATGAGCACGAGAAGTCCAACGGCGAATATAACATTACACAGGCCACTCAGGACTCGGGCCGTGAATTTGGCCCCAGGTTGTTCTCCATACCGATCCGTGGAGTCTCGTCCGCGTCGCTGCTCCCCGTAGCCCATCGCTCGGCGTCCTCCTGCGTGTCATTCACGGTCGGCAACTTCTCGCTGCTGAAGGAGCGGGGGAACTCGATGAAATCGTCGAAGCTAGGCAGCGACGACGGCGTGAGCGGGGTGTGCATTGACCCCTCAGACGCGGAGTTTGAGCGTGGCTGCGAATACATGGAGGCGGCGTCGTTCGGCGAGTACTCCATCAGATACGTCGGGAGCGAGCCGCGTCGCGCGGTCGTGATGTCGTCTGGGTGGAAGGAGGGACCAGGGATAGCCTCAGGGGCATCGAAGGGTGGAAACACCTGCACGTTCGGGAACAGATGGTTCTCCCCCAGGTTGAGCGGTGGTGGGCGGGGGCGGCGCTGGGGGCTGATGATCTCGTGGTGCACAGGGTCCTGGAGGAGTGGATCGATGGGAGTTTGCGCATAGTGCAAAGGGGAGTGGACGAAGCCAGGAACGGACAACTGATGGTGGCTGGGCGAAGGCTCATTGACCTCGTCAAGCGGACGGCTAGCGACGACGGCGGGAGGGATATTAAAAGCGGCACCCATCTCGTCAGAGCCGGAGCTTGAAGAGGCGATGGACATGCGCCGCTCGCTCGACGACGCTGGGGAGGGGCCGCGCCCGCCGGCTGCAGCACTGACGCTCTTCCGCTTTGTCTTGTTCGGCCCGCGCATCTTGCGCTCCGACGCGTACTCGCAGTCTAGCTTACGCGAGATGCACCGCTGGCACGAGGGGCGGTCGCCGCTACACTGTTAGGAAGGGAAAGGGAGATCAGCGACATGCGCCACAAGGGGAGCGACGACCGACCTTTGCCTTCCTGATGCGGCACTTCTCGCACGCTTGCGCGGTGCGCAGGCGGGGGTGCTCCGGCGTGCGCTGGAAGACGCCTGTTGCGGGGTCGAGCGAGCCTGACAGGGTCCACGCTGGCTGAGTGCCGGTTGCTTGAGCGTCGGGTAGATCTCCCATTGAGGGTCCGTGAGGCGCCGTCGACGTCGACGTGAACATGGACATGTTTTGGAGCAGCGAGGCGTTCGCCGGCGGATGCGGTGGAAATTGGCTGATATTGTCAGCCCAACTCTGTGGTCGCATCGCAAAGTGCGGGGGTGGTAGCGCCTGTGGCTGACCCTCGTACAGAGGTAGTTCTGGGAGGAATCCACTATGCGAGTCGTTGAGGTAGGAGTAGGGTGAACTGTGCGAGGAATTGTGCAAGTGGTCTCGATGGGGGTATGTGTTGGGTATGTACACGTCGAGGCCGCCGTGAGAGTAGAAAGAGGACGAAGACGGTAGCGGCTTCATCCCTAGTGCCACAGCAATGTCGTACGACGACTGTCTCCTCGATAGTGGTGAAAAGTTATCCATAGATAATTGGGTAGACATAGTGGTATGTGGGGAGAAGGAATAGTGGCACCGCGGAAGGCACGCAAGATATAAACGTTACTCCATTACACGGTAAAGTCGGATGTTGGGAATTCTGGAATGAGGCATTCCGTAGCGAACTGCTCAGCCCCTGTTTTCCGCCGATCGTGATTCCACTCCAGCGTCACACCTGCGGGAAACCTAGAATATATTCAGTCGGCGAAGATAAAGCAAATTACCGATTATTGTCGGTCATTGCGGCGCTACAAGAACAATATTGCTCAAAAATAACAGACATTGTCTCTTCTGAGTTTGTTCCGGTCACGAAATTGGCCGCAGGTTCCAATTTCGATCGTGACTAGTCAAGCCCAATCCGACAGATACATGACCAATGTCCGTAAGTTCCGTCCCACTTGTGTTATCCGTCGCGCATGATTCAGACTTGCGTGACAACCGCACCTACTGAGCAGGTGAATACTTGACGACCCCAGAGACAGGCTTCAGCAATAAATAGTCTGATTCTCACAAGCCGTGATACGTACCAATTTCACGGCATGGTGGTACACAACAGCAGGAAGTTGGTCAACGGCGGTTGAGAGCCTCATGTCTCAGCCTGTGTTCACCGGAGCGAGCCTGTCACTCTGAGCTCCAGTACTGGTCAAATTTCACGTTCAAGTCCAAGCGGTATCTCCCAATACAGAAGGCTGTCAGAAATAATCTGAGATCCGCGAGCGCTCCATCTAGCCGCCCATCAACGCTACTCCCGCGATTCAACGCCAGGTGCATCGACTTGGTATTCGAACTATATCACACTTAGTCACACAAAGCACACCATAAAGAATGTAACGTTAATTGTATAACTTATTCCCAAGAGCGTGCTAGCACTACGAGGTACAACATAACAGATAAAGCGAGCTCATGATACCAGCGAGATGCGTTGGAGTGCGGTGCAATCGCATCCCGAGCGACATCAGTCGTGAAGAGGGCGCAAATGACAGATAGGAGGGCGGACAGACGGTCAACATGCATCCGTGTGCACAGCACACAAACCCAGCTCCGAGGAATAGAAGAAACAGGCGCGCTTGCTGCGTGGCAGCTCAGCTCGAGTGGCGCATGCGCCGCATCATGCGGTTGTGGCTGCGGCGGTTGACCGTAGAGTTCGCAGAGGCGCTCGCGCGCAGCTTGCACGACGCCGCGTTGGACGAAGCGCTGGGGAGGGCGGAAGCGGTGAGTGATGGCGTGGAAGACGCCGAAGGATCCGCGAAAGTGGCGGAAGCGGTGCCCGACGGTGTCGCTGCGGGAGTGGAACCGGTGCCCGACGGTGTCGCTGCGGGAGCGGAACCAGTTCCCGATGCGAAAGTACCAGCGCCCAATGCGGGGCTGATGCCCTGGGCACTTGCTGCGAGGTTCGAAATTGCCGGACCAGGGAAGTCGTAGACAAATCCGGGGTTGTAGACCTGCAGGAGGGCAAGTCAGTAAAGGTAGGACTGCGAGATGCGCGGACTGACGTTGGGAGTGAGAATTCCGGAATCAGTGTCGCTGTAGGCACCAGGGAACGTTACAGTGGACTGAGGTGTGCCAGTTCCGCTGCCGCTGATCTTCACTTGGATACAAGCAGGGTAGAATTCTGCTCCACCTTCTGAATTGGCGAGTTGGAGTGAGATGATCTGCAACAACGGGTGAATCGACTGTGTCAATCTCAACTGCCAAGCAACTGACCTCGTGACGAATAAGATAGGCACCGGGAGCGATGTCGGCCGGCAGGGTGAACGTGTACGAATCACCCTGCGCTGTATCGACGTCAGATGGGGAGCAGATCAATAACTACGGCACGTACAGATATCAGCCTGGTACCAGCCACTGCCCGAGGGGAGCTGGCCCAGCTGATCAACCTTGAAGAAACCAGCACTAGATCCGTTGAAGCTAGTGCAGCTATCGCCGCACGAGGCCATGTATGTCATCAATGGGCCAGTGTTGTGAGGCCACTGCAAACACGAACATCAGATATCATCTGCCGATCGAGTCTGTCGACGCACTTTAGAATCGCCTGTGGCACCACCAACCCACTGAATCGTGATGTTGCTACCTGGCGCAGCTGGCGCGTCGATCCCAGCCAGCTGCGCATCCATGCCACAATTCAAATCGGGATTCGTAGCGCCCTTTACGGGGCTAATGGTGGACACCGTTCGGATTGGACTAGTACCTACACAACTCATAAGCGGCCTTCAAACAGACGCAACACAAAAAGACGACGCACCTTGATCGTGACCGGGCATGCTCCCAGCGTATACAGTGCCACCGATGGACACACTACCAACATATCCGTGCGCGGAAACGGAGGGCAGAACAGCGGCGAGGGCAAAAAAAAGAGAGTAGTAGAGACGTGTCATGGTTGCTGCTCAGGCTCAGATGAAAGTGAAGGAGAGGGATGAGAGAGCGTATGGACGTCCAACAAGTCCCGGGAAGTCGTAAGGAAGAACAAGAAAACCCGGGGGGTGATGGGAAACGGGGAAACAAGATGGAGGGTTTATAGATGCGGCTGCGGTTCGCCGAACACGCCGCTTGATTTTTTTGCATCTGGTCACGTGGTTACCGCACACAATGGCTGCACCGTTTTTGGCAGGCATCGAGTAGCTGCTATTTGTGCACCATGTTCGGGCACAAATAGGCTTTGTGTCCTATAGTGAATAAACAAGCTTCAAGAATGAGTGGAGAACGCGCTTAGAATTCATAGCGCCAGGCGGAGATTCAGAATGGCGTACCCGTCTCTCCCGGCAATCGCCACCAACTTGGAGCTGTGCACGTTGGAGAGTTTCCTCTCCGGCATATTCCACAGGAGTGATGGTAGCATGGTAGCAGTTGTTCACGTATCGGGGAGAAACCATAAAGCCATGGACGGTCAGCGCACATGTTTCATGCGCTCGCATGCCATGGTTGCACGGTTGTCTGAATCGATCCAGGTCGTTGTAGATCAGGGTTGCACACAAGAAACCTCGATCAAAGCCAGATTTGAAACAACACAGAATCCGAGCCCGCGTCGAATGTCCCAGGCCTGAGTCACAAGCACAGGATACACAAAAAGCGACGGAAGTCATAATCGCGAACAAAGTCCATTCTTGCGTGCTATGTCAGCAGAACGAAGAACTCGGCAACCCCTTGTTCACATTCGACAGAAAAATAGACGAAAGACTTCCCTAAGCGCCGCCGAACCAATTGTTGCACGCGTACCCTGCTCACTGAGAGACAAAAACAAGGATGACAGGGGACAGGCAGAAACGAGCCATCGGCATTATCGATGCGCAACGAGCAAGACGTGCGTAAGCGGTGCCGCACGAGCACGAAAAATTTGAGACAGCCAGGTGCTCAGAGTATTGAATGTGGGGAAGGAGCAGCTCCGAGTCAGTCATTGACGTCGGGAGGCGAACCGCGACCACGTGTTCTACGTGAACGCGTCCTGGGGTACACAAGTACTCTCAGTTTTACTAGATGGGCCAGCGGAATTGCAGCCTCACGGAAATCTGCCCGAGAATGCCGTGCAGCTGCATGGACACTTCGCCATGCCAATCAGACGTTGAGCGCGACTAAATTGCAAGTTCAAGGCCTCACAGCGACGCAATCACGCACAAAGTCGTAGCAGCTGATTCAAAGCAGCTCGAATAATCTCTGCTGCGCAGCGGAGATGGTGAGAAAATGATGCGTGGCATGTATCATATGGTAGGATGCGGCGTTCCTCACGTCCATGCGGGATTAACCGTGTTCACCTCGTGCATGATCCTACATATGGCTGAGATGGATGGGACATAACGCAATAAGAGAGAGAGAGAGAGAGTACGGTTATTAAATCTTTCGTCAAAACGGTGTGAAGATATGAGGTAAACAGTCAACGACGCATCTCATGTAGCTGGTATCTCTCACAGGAATTACACACCATAGAATGCCGTCGCTGAAAACGTTGAGGATCAATCCACCGGATATTAGAGAATCAACACAGAATTGAGACGCACTGCGACGTGGAAGTGGAGTGAATAGCGGCGAACGATCTCAGAATGATTGAATCCGTACGGTTGTCTATGCAATGTTCGAAAGTATTGTTGACTGTTTTCCAAGTCATTCCAAGCAACATCGAGTAGCGGAAGTCCCCCCATAATACACTCGGTTCAGTTCAAGTAATACGCCTTCCATTGCTTCAACGAACCGCGCTTGCGCCACTGCAAGATCCGTGACAAGGGAGAATATCCATGATCGGTTATTAGTCTCGACGAGGCGTACAAGGTTTACATTGCCAGCTTACCTTTAATAGAAATTGAACTTTTCGTGCGCGTACAGTAAATATTGGAGATCGATCCCAGCTTAGGCTTCCATTGCCGTATATGCCATTCATAACCATGACAAAGTCTGAAAGATGTCCTCGAGAAGGCTAGAAGATTCTGGACTTGTACAGTGTGAGGAACGTCTGTAGGAGTTTTTGGGCGTAACCCCCGCGCACATGAAGATCAGCACAGTATACCCCACTGTCTTACGAGCTATCAGCGGCCATCGTGAGATGATTACGCCGCCGTATGCCTGATCTTTAGCGCCCGATCGAGTGGACAGCGACCACCGAGCGAGTCGCCTTCCACGGTCCATGTTCAGTAAGCGGTTCATTTAAATTCGCCAACTGGTTCCTGTTTCCCCGCTGTTCATGCGTCGGTCTTGACTCTTACCCTTGTCATGTTGCTCACACGCTGGAGCAAGGTCCACGATAATTGTATACGTAGCCGACCTACCCTTTCATAAGAATCAAAATACACCCGAGAATAAATACTGCACATCTTACCCTTGGCGACCACTCTCTTTCTCGGTAAGGGTTTCATTGACGAATTGCGCATCGACATCATTCCTGGTCTAAGCCCCATCAGGCGTTTACCTACAGAAGACTGGAAATCTCGCAGGTCCGCAAGACCACAATAGGTTCTCCAAGCGTACTTAATTAATACACCACACTCTTGAGCACAGCGCAGACGTCAGGCAACAAGATCGCTCACAATGATGATTGCCACTGATCCTGGAGAAAGCGGGCTAATCTGAGGGGAACCAAGTCGATGTCCGATGGATGTCTCGATTTCATGCGTCCGTAAGCCAAAGCTTCCAACGCAGCGAGCATTCAACGCGCTGGATTTAGTTTTATCGGAACCCTCCTGAAACCAAGTTCAGCCTGAGGGGAGCTGGTAGGTTGGCCAATATAAAGTTCATCTCCTGAGTAATTCGCCAAGATGCCGATTATTCTCATTCTTCGTTCGCTTGTCGACGTACAGAAAGTAAAAAGACAGCTAGTTGCAGTGGAAGTTGCATCATACTGGGTGGCGAGGGCTTCCGCCTTGCGATCACGTGGCTGCTGGCAACGAGGACATGAGACGGAAAGTTTGGAATCTTGGATCTTGTAGTGCTTGGGTCTGATATACACCTCGGCGGAACCCATGGCAACGATACTTTAATCACATATTGGCGGACATCCACACTAAGCACAACACGGAGGTCAACTGAAATAAACCGAGAAAACTATTACTTCGCGAACGGCATAACATCTAGCACCCAAGCAATAGGGGGAGTCAAAGTTGGCGATTCTGGGGTGATTCAGAGTTTCTCCGAGCACCGATTCTGACGACGATTTTGCATCCAGAATCGACTCAGAATCAGAATCGGACGTGAATCGCGTCGAATCGTCGAATCGCCTCTGGAGGCGCTTCTACCTCAGAATCGCCGATTCTCGCACCTCGATTCTTGTTCCTTTGTATCTACTACTACAAAATTTGTAATCATTAGAAACAACTACTTATCCTCCATAGAAATCATAATAGATTCGTTGCTCTGGTGATAATACATGGGCTGTGACCTTATTTTCGATAATTTTCCACATAATTCTCGGTACTTTCTGATTCAGCGGTTCCACGCCTTCCTTACTGTTCACTCATATTAACAGCATAGGGTGATAGCTTGTTGCACCCCTTAATAAAGAAGCTATGTCTGTCTATTTCCTCGACAGTACAGCACAGCAAAATCCTCGCTGGGATCAGCACAAAATCGCGAGAAACACCTGCGAGGAATTGGGGTGGTCAAAATTGATAGGATTTTCACACGATTCAGTTCACCGAAATCGACTCAGAATCGCCACCAGAATCGTTCACAGAATCGTCAACTCTGACTACGGTAATTTTCCTGATAATCAGGAAGATGCGATAAAATGGTCTTCGACCACCCGAGAGGGATTGGCACCGCCGGAGTGCCAATATCCGAAGCAATGCAGGTATAATCGAAATACGCAGGGTACCACCCCGCCATGTCCCAATCAAGGACCCACAGCTTGTTTACGTCGTCGAGGATCAGATTCCTCAGAGACATATCCTGGTGGGTGAAAACGAGAGGGTGGTCGGTGGTGAACTGCCTATTGGTAGGCGCACCCGAGAGGGCGAGCTTCCAGTTGAGCCAACAGACGAGATCCTCGTACGTCGCGAACGGACCAGCACCATAGAGCGTGAACCATATGCCCTCGCACTTTCCCCCATCTAAAGGACCAGGCCTCTTGGACGGTGTCGACACACTGCTGGCATGCAGCTCACATAGGTATCGTGCCAGCTCAGAAGCAACATGTTGATGCTGAGAGTCGTCCAACATGTGCCAGCAGCTCTGGACGGTGCGTCCGCGGATGAACTGCATGACTATGTAGGTGGCATCGCCTTGCTTGAAAACGAGGTAGACGTCGGGCACCGGTATATCAGTGCGCTCCAGAACATGGAGCGTATTCAGCGCCTCAACATAGCGGACAGAAGGCCCGTACTTGACGACGAGGTCGTCAGTGATCTGCACGACCCGGGTCCCCAAGTCATGTATGACGGTACCTAGCGGGATCAGTTCCAGAACACGCAGTGGAGTTAAGTCTGTGTCCGGCTTCCGCTGGAGTACCGAGATTTCTGCAGGTTTTGGAGGAGACGGTTTTACCCTGAAAACATAGTCAGCAACTCAACGATCGGACAAGTAAGACTAAGAGGCTTGCCTGGAAGGGTCATCTCCCTCCAGCCGACATCGAACAGCGTTAGTAAAAATACCTGGATAAATTCAATGATTCTGCTTACCACCATCAATCGGATTTTCGAGTGCGAAAGAGAGGATATTCCCCAGTTTGCTGAGGAAAGACACGGGACTATCAACGTCTGGAGCGACGACTTCTTCTGTGCCAGAGCCGAATTCGCGGCCATCTTCTCTACCTCCTCGTGAACCACCGCCGACACATCGAGAGGTACGGCCAGATGGGTACAGCCCGTCAGACGAATGAGGGATGTCACAGAAAATTGCGCCTGCAACTCTGAGGGTACATAGCATAATGCAGATCTATGCTGCTCGAGATCCACGAGCTAAGTGCCAAGCCAAGAAAACAATGTAAAGAAACTGACTGACCATCAACGTGTGCCATATACTCATACCCAGAAAGTAGTCTAGAATTCCAGAGAGATGCAGTACCCGGAAGTCTGAGCCTCCGGCGAACGTGTCATACTCATCTGATAGATAACGAATGGCTTCTTCGTGAGTAACAGGCATCCACGTAGTCCTGCCTTCTAAGTCAACGCAGGTTTCAAATACGCAGTAGCGGAAGGCTGTATACAGTCCGGACGAAGTGATGGCGGAATGCACGATTTTGAGCAGCAGTATACCGAGGCCTCGTCGAGCGTAAGTTCGCCCGGATCCACGAAAACGAGGTGAGACCCAGGTTCAGCACTGGGGCCACAACCACGGGGTGCTGACAGGACTACGTGGAGACCCGGTAGCACCGCCGACAGGGAAGAAAGTGCTGTGTTGTAAGTGCTGCCGGGATCTAAAATTACATATGCAGCGCCACAGACAAGGACAGCCAGAGTGGAAATGGCTACGTGTCGAACATCCTCAACGCAGATAGCTACAACGTCACCGACCCCAACGTCGACAGATCCCAGCTTCTCCGCTAGCTCAAGAGACAACGCGACAACGGCCGCGTAGGAGACATTGCAGGAGGGTGAGACGTAGCCTTCAAGCTCCACGTGAGCTATTGCTGTGGCGAGGGGGTCGGACCTCGCTCGCTCTGCAAAACAATCCTGGAGCAGATTGCCAGTCGGAGGGACGAACGAGAGAGGGGGGTGTTTGTAGCGAGCGTTGATTGGCGAGTCACCGAGGAGGGCTTGTTCTACAAGTCCGGGGAACGAGTCCCTGGGCAGCGCGTGCATTCCGCTTGTGTGAATGTGACGGAACGCGCGTGCGACATGAATCAAAAACCATCCCGCTTGTGATCTTGAAATTTCTGCTGTATCAAACGTAATTTGAAGCGAGTGACGATCTAGGAGGGTGTAGTGCGTGATAAGTACTGGGAAAGACAGCGAAAGGGCAAGTTTTTCTGGCGATGCAAACATTTCGCAGGAAAAACATAGCGCTACAGCGGGGGATGCAACCGGGGCCGATGGCGAGGGCGAGGGCATGGAATTCTCGAGGACAGGTAACATGACTCTGCACCCGTTGAACAAGGTAGGTATGCCGTACTTTATTCCAAGGTTACACCCATGGTGCTGCAGAGCGCAGACTGTAGCGAGAGCTAGTTGAGACGGGTCGCCACCGGTTATGCCTAAGTCGAGCGTTCTGGAGCACCATAAGGGCGACGAAAGTGGCGATGGAACCCAATGAGAGATAGTGAAAGGAAGGCGTGGCATAGCATGTACGAGCTACAATACGAGCTAATTGGAGAGGCGGGATAGAATTAGTAGATTAGTAGTAGAGGCTGCCGGAACGCCGATCGCGTGCCCTGTTTGGTTCCCATACCATATAAGTGCAGACATAACACACGCACCCACAATACAAATTCGGGGCGTTGTAGCGCTCCCGTTCACTCTGACTCTGAGCGCAGATATCCGGAGTCACAAGTGCACTTATTAGCTTCAAGTTGACTCATACTATGTCACTACCCCTCGATCGCGGCTGTCGCATGTACGATGGAGAATGAAGACACGCGTATAGGAAAATTATTACAGAGCACTCTCACCGTGAATTTTGGCATCCCTTCCAGCTCTCCAACGAGCTCATATTTCAAGTGAAATAAGAATCTGCTTCTGGATCTTACTAGGTATCTCGGCTACGCCGATGTGCACAACGCAAGGCCTAGACACATATGGGAAGAATCGTAGAGATATTGAGTGGGGGATGACGGTTCCTCCTCAGACCAATTACTGATACTCTGGGCGAACTCGAGGCCCGATCGTGGCGACGCGTCTCCTGCGGCAGGCCACCTTCATGAGTCATTTATCCCATATTTTGTAGTCTGAGAATATTCCACTCACATTCCACACTAGCTGGAAAACGCGGAGGGTGGGAATGATGTTGCATCACTGATCTATTGGATGAATTTGGAAGGGCGGAAACAATACAGAACGAGTCGAGCCACTCTGTGGAATCTAGAAGCGAGGTGCAGAACAACGACTACCAATCCCGAACGTCGCCGTCACATCCGGTGATTTGAGGGCATGATACACAAGCACACCATAAAAGCCCATCGTGAGTGGGTAATGCAAGAAGGCAGACGCACCAACACTCGCAGCCGTTTTCCACCGCAGGATATCCCCAAATATCTTACCTCTCATCGACAATGCTTGACAAAGGGTCTTACTTGTTGGAGAACCCGACAATCGATAAGGATGCCGAACCATGGATGGACACCCCCTTCGTCGCCAGGTACATCGTCGCCGAAAGAGCCCTCGAGCGTCCCATGCAGCAGGACATGGTCAACCATTGGAGACTTTGGTTCGCCCTCGGTCCTAACAACTGTCTTGTTATGGACATGGTCAAGACGTCGGTCCAAGACAAAAGCGCATTTATAGGCGTCGTTCTCAAGTTGTCGAAGCGTCGCATGACCGAAATCAAAGCGCTTCCTAGACGTAACGACGTAACTGTCCGCAAAGTCCTCGATTTCCTCATCCGCAATGGGAGATTGAGATACCGTTTTACCGAAATGGGGACAGGTTGTGCGTGGTGGGTGGCAAAGGCTGTGGCGGACCTGGAGGAACATGGCTTTATCAGGAAGCCAGATGGAGCGGTATACACGCATGACACCATGGCTGACACCGTCTTGGAGGCGGTCAAGAATCTCTATGAGGAGAAGGAGGACGGCGGAATACAGGTGACGCCATTCGCGTTGGAACCTCGATGTAGTATCTTCTACTGGTACGTTAATTTACGGTGATGACAACTAAAGATATGACTGACCCTCGCATGATCGCCTGCATCATTCAGAGAGTTTCTGGGAGTTTTTCTGCATTTTGGCCAGGCCAATATGTCATTGGATGAGAAACTTGGAGAACAGCAGAGTTTGGAGAATGCCATCGAATAAATGTATGCACTATGTGCCTAGATTCCAACTGTCACGGCCTTGCGGATTGTATTACGCTACCCACCAATTCCGAAGGAGGATTGATCGAGACTCTTATGATATTGCAATGGTATACAAGGAGGTTCCCTTTTAGCAAGCCAGAGAATCCTACGCCGATTGAACGTTGAATGGTTAATTGTGCTCATTGGATGTATGGAAAAAGCCATGCGGATAAGAGTACAGAGTGTTGGCAAGTTACTCCTAGTCACGAGGGGCACTCTAGCTCTCTCAAACTTGCCTAAATTCATCAACTGGTAGAGCACCGTCTAAGGCGGAAGTATAGCGCCAGAGATCCAAGCTGGCTATATGTTTACATTCCGAAATAGATCAGTCCCAGCACAATAAAAAGGGAGAAAGACAGCTATGAAAACGGCATGACATCCAACGCGTATTGAATGGACTGCAAAAGACGATACTCGACATCGTAGTCTGGAAGATGGGATAACATGGTCTTCATCCAGCCATCCGGAATTCGCACCTGCGGCGTGCCGACGTCTGCCAGAATACATGCATACTCGAAGTACGCGGGATACCAACCTGCTAATTCCCAATCGATGACCCACAGTTTGTCGTTATCATCCAGAATAAGATTTCTCGGAGATAGATCTTGGTGAGTGAAGACGAGAGGACGGTCGGTGGTAAAGGAGTTTGTACTCTTGGTCTGTGACAGCACTTCTTTCCGGTTGAGCCAGGTGACCAGCTCCTCGTACGAGGCGAACGGACCGGCACCATAGAATGTGAACCACGGTCCCTCACACTTCCCTCCGTCCAGCGGGCCAGGCTTATTAGACGGCGCCGATACACTGCTGCAATGCAGGTCGTCGATGTATCGTACGAGTTGAGAAGCGACGCTGTGACGCTGAGAGGCGTCCAGCATGTGCCAGCAATTCTGGACTGTCGGTCCATGAATGAACTGCATGATGATGTAAGTGATGTTGCCCTGTTTGAAAACCAGATGGACATCAGGGATCGGAATGGAGGTCCGCTCTAGGACATAGAGCATGTTCCGAGCCTCAAGCTCGCTGACCGACCAGCCATACTTGACAGCTAGGCTTCCGGTGATCTGTACGATGCGAGGGCCCATGTCGTGTATGACGGTGCCCTTCGGAAGCAGCGCCAATACATGGAGCGGTGTCAAGTCTGTGTCCTGCTTCTGGTAAAGTAAGACGATTTCGGAAGGTTTCTCCGGCAGTTGATACACACTGAATCTCGCGATGAGCGGCTGAACAGTCCAGAAAGAATACAGGACTTGCCTCGACGGATCCTCTTCCTCATGCTGATAATAAGCACGTAATCAATCAATATGCGGCGATCAAGATACGAGACGCCTCCTTACCACCATCAGTTGAATCTTCGTCTGTGCGAGAGGTAGCTGGTTCCACGTGGCCAAGGATAGACGAGGAACAACCAATGTCCGGAGGGGCAATTTACCACCAGCTTGTAGTGATTCCGCTTCAGTATCTTCTAACGCTCTGCAAACCAACGCGGACGCATTCTCCACCTGGTTAGGCGGCACGGCTAGATGGGTGCAACCTGTCATGCGGACCAGAGAGGACATTGAGATCCCACTCTCCAGTTCTTGGGATACGAAACATAATGCGGATCGATGCTGCTCAAAGTCTCTCAACAGAGCAACTTAGGTAAGAGAGTAGAAAATGAACTGACCATGAATGTGTGCCATATGTTTAGGCCTAAGAAATGACTTGGAACAGTGAAAAGATGTAACAACCGGAAATCAGATCCTGCGCCAAACTTGGAGAAATATTCCTTCAGGTGGTGGATAGCGTCCTCATGTGTGACAGCAATCCACGTCTTCTCACCTTCGGAGTCGACACTGGGCTTAAAGTATGCAGTAGCGGACGGCTGCACAGAGGCGGGACGAATGAACGTCGAAGGTAGCTGCAATGTGAGAATGATGCTTTCATCGAAGACGAGTTTCCCCGGATCTACAAAGGGGAGACTCTGGGAAGGTCCGAAAGTTTGGCTGAATTCCCGCTGTTGTGACAGTACAGCGCTCAGCTTCGGCAACGACGTCGATTGCGTAGACAGTGCCTCTACGTCAGTGTTGCCGGTATCCAATATGATGTACGCTGCGCCACAGATTAAGACGGCCAATATAGACACGGCGATGTGTCGAATGTCTTCAACACAAATTGCTACGACGTCACCAACGCCAACACCCACGGACTTGAGAGTGGCTGCCAACTGCAGAGACAGAGCGAGAACTGCGGCGTATGAGACATGGGATGTCCGTGTAATAGACCCTTGCAGGTCTGCATGCGCTATCGCTGTGGCCAGGGGATCTGTCTTCGCTCGCTCCGCAAAGCAGTCCAGTAATAGGCTGCCTACCGGAGGTGCGAATGAACGATGCCAACGATCGTAGCGGGTGGCGCTGCTTTCACCTTCGAGAAGGGCTTTTTCTACAACTCCGGCGAATAGATCCTTGGGAGGTCGTTGTGGCCCGTGCAGTGCAATATGGTGAAGGGCCTGGGCTATATGAATCAGGAACCATCCCGCACGGGATGTCTCAATCTCATCCGTATCAAAAGTGATGTCAAGTGAACGCCGACTTGAAAGAATATAATGTGTTATGAGAACGGGGACGGAAAGCGAAATCGCGAGCTCAGTAGGGGATACCAAACGCTCCTGGGTCATACACAGTGCCACAGCAGGACGCCCTTCTGGATTTGAATTCGATAAGGTGGCAACGGTGGTATCAAGGATGGGAACCAGAATCTTATGTCCGCCAGACGAATCAATTATATGGTATTTGATTGCAAGTTCACATTCATGGTGGCGGAGAGCAAGGACCGTAGCAAAAGCGAGATGAGATGGGTCGTCGTCAGTGACATCTAGGTGAATAGTCCTGGAACACCAGATAGGCGACGAGGGTTGCGGAGAAATCCAATGAGATACGCTAAACCGCGGCATAGCAGGATGCATGGACAAGTTCAACAGCAGTGCCGTCGCGACCACTGGCCACGGATGCGTGCGTTGTTTGTTCGCACTGCCATATAAGGTCGAGTCCTTGTACTCTGATAGAAGCTCTGCTCTTAAGTTGCATTTTTTGGAAACTACCTGCCTACCTGACGGCGCGGTGCGGAGAGACGCCGTCCTATCCATTCTTTGTGGCGGCGGTGACCAAGTGATTCAGAGCCCCCCAGCTGCAGTTACACTGGTATCTTTGATGAGTTGACACGAGGACGGTCTAGAAGTTTGATAAAACAGGATACGAGATCTGCTTCCATTCTGGCGTAGCGCCTTCCTTGGCTCTTCTAGCGCCTGGTAAACACGCATCCACAGGTGGGCAGCGTGGCGAACAGATATATATTCATCTGCTCTCAACCTGCAGGAAACACTGTACTCGCTCCAACTTTCAGGAGAATAATAGATGCATCCAAGCGGAGGGCGTGGTCAGGATGTTAAAGATACATGCAGCGTGTCTGAGCACGGAGAATACACCCTGTACCACAACATAGATCAATCGATACCGGTCTCTATCAAAATACCTTCCCATGTCTGCTGGTTGCGGTAAATGGCTCGAGCTTCTGTCGTAGGTATTTTTTTCCAATCATGAGTCACTTACGCCACAATACCACTGTGTGAGAAACTGATGTACATCACCACACGAAGAAGGAACGTATGGGCTGGAAATAGTGTGGAGAGCTGTCTCACATGGGGCCGAATGAGCGCGCCAGATTAGTCGTCTTGGGTTGCCAGCATCGCCTTGAAGTCTGAAGAGGTGCATCAGATGAATACCCCGAGAATTATTTAAGAAGACGTATTGCATCCGCACTCAAAAGACTCAGCAGTGCCCGCCAACACACAGTATTCACCTGCACTACCTTGTCTCCACAGTATGCCACCCATGATGCCCAAACAAGATCCTGCGCTACCACCCAATCCTTACATCAGCCCAGATGCTTATCTTTACCTCGACGCTCCCTTCACCGAGATGTATGCCGCTGCCGACAAACCCCAGATCCGTGAGGCTCTCAACGATGCGGCAAACCATTGGCGTTTGTGGTTTGTAGTAGGTCCCGCCACGTCGGTTGTCCTGGACATGGTCAAACAAGTGGAGCCGGATGAGAATGGGAGGCAGAGGATGGGTTGTTTGGGAATCACAACGAAGCCGTTCAAACTAACGTGGCACCACATGCATGCGATCACGGCGCACCCCACTGGAGACCGTTCCACTATCCGTGCAGTCTTCGATGCCCTCGTTTCTCGTGGCAGACTTAACTACCAGTTCACTGAGAGCATCCACGGCTGCGCCTGGTGGGTGGAAACAGCTGTGCGCGATATGGAGAGAGCCTCCCTCATTATGAAGCCGCCAAATGCGAACTACGCGGAAGCCACTGTTGCCGACGCCATTTCCGCAGCGTCCGCATACTTCTACATGCGCGATAAAGACACCGGCGAGATAAAGTACGCCCCGTACCCACCGGAACATGAACGGCGCGGTATTTTCTACACTGGCTGGTGAGTCAATCTTGGCAGACGCACTCCGGATCTGTTACTGACCGAATTAATTGATTAGAGCATCAGAAAGTTTCAGTCTCTACCCCGTCCCATCAGGAAAGCGGATGGATCGGCAGTATTGAATGTGCTTGATAACAATGATGATGTAAGAGTTCTGCGATGTTATCGCGATACGAGGAACGTATTTTACAGTACCTACTCCGCAATATCCTGTTGTCTCGATGGTTGTGGACTTTGCCATGTCAGTGAACTGCGCGAGATACTGTGCCATTACGACAATTCCGGCCGGGGGTGTGACAACGGACAGCCAAGTTGTGACGATCCGGCCACCCGGTCGGAACAGTCGTGACAGCGGACGGTGGACACGTTGCGGCTAGCCGGCCAAGCCAGCCGCTGAGGAGGGAAAGGTGACCGGCCTGCCGGCCAAGTCACGACCTGGGTACCCAAGTTTGTACCATCCGGCCACTACGCCCGCGACATATATATGTAGGATTCCGGCCAGGCCAACCCCGTTCGGACGCGTGACTGGCCGGATTGGTCGTAATGGCACAGTATCTTCAAGTTGACGAGTCATGATGCATGAATGCCTGTGTTCCAGCGTACCGCCATTTAAGCCAGGGCCTCAATTCGAATATCTTAACTGAAGATAGGGTGTACTTCTTCCATAGACTCGAGTGATCGATCAAGATTCGTGACCAGCTCCGTCCCGGGCCAACGTGTCACACCTACTCCTACTTGTCTTGATAATTGCCTAGATTATGGTGGCAGTAGAGCTTAATGGCGACATCAACCGACATAGAAGCGTTTCGCGGGGTCCTGAAGAGCAGCAAGAGCATAGTGGCCGTGGTCGGAGCCGGGTTGTCTGCAGCCTCTGGTGAGCGATCCCGCAACATCTCTCGCTTGCTTAAATCTATACATTTGGCCAGGCATACCAACGTTCAGAGACTTTGGTGGACTTTGGAATTCTTATGACCCTCTGGAATTCTCTACTCCTCAAGGGTTTCTCGCTGATCCAAGCCAGGTATGGCAGTTCTATCATCAACTGCGAGAACTGTACGTTCAACGATTCCATTCATTGCAAACTAACCGACATGATACTAAGTGATTCGCAATGAGGTCTCTGCACGCCACACCGAACGCGGGCCATATCGCGCTAGCAGTCCTGTGTGTCCCTGAGAACTTGCGCATCGTTGCACCCCTTGCCCGATTCACCATTATTACTCAGAATATCGACGGCTTAGACATTTGCGCCTTGAAAGAGGTGATTGCCAAGCGTGTCCAAGACCACCACTTCGTCGCACCGTTGTCAACGTCACAGATCTTTGAGATCCATGGCAGAGTCGTTGACACCTTATGCACGGTCTGCGGTCACCGAGAATCACGCACAGAGAGCCCGTTATGCCAAGCTCTCAAGAACGTGCCGTTCAGATCGGAGACCTATATTCCGGAGGAAGATCTTCCCCACTGTTGCCAACCAGGTTGTGGTGGACTGCTTCGACCCGGAGTGGTGTGGTTCGATGAAGTTCCTCACCATCTGAAGGACGTCTATCGCGTCGTCGACGAAGCTGATCTTTGCCTTGTCATCGGCACTTCTTCGACAGTGAGTGCTCAGATAATCTTGTTCGCAGAGCTATAACCGTTAACGTTCGCGTGAATCTACTCTAGGTGTCACCCGCTGCAGGCTTTGCATATGAAGTCACTGAGCACGGTGGCAAAGTGGCTATTTTCAACATCGACTCCTCCGATGATGAACGAGCGGACTTCTTCTTCGCTGGGCCTTGTGAGGAAACACTGCCGCGTATCTTCTTCGACAGTTGATGTGCTATTTTTGATTAACACAGCACACTTACTACGATGACTGGTACGATAGTGCTGTAGTGTATGAGATGTTAGTGGCACCGGCACGTACCAGTAACACCATACCAAGACTTCCTTGTTCTTGAATTTGATTCGGGGTCCAGTCTAGACGCAAAAGAGATCAGACAGTTAAACGGGATTTGACAGGACTCGAGTGAGCAAATAAGGACAGAGGTACAACGGTACATGGGAACATCGCTAAGTGCACGAGCGAGGAAATGGTCGATGGTAGATGTACAAGAAGCTGTGGACAATCCGCGAGCCACGAGTTCAGAGGTCAAGAGCGCTCGCTACAATCATTGAAGAATATTGAAGACCAGTAATGCAATCGTAGGAGTCTGCTCGAAAATTTTCTGGCCCACAGATCGAGCACGATTTGATGCAGAAGCTGGAGTCACTGGCTCGTAGTGTCCATAACACAGCAGACCTGTGGCTGCCGCGACACGTATGCAGGCTGATCGTTTATTTGTTGTGGGTTCCGGTGGCTGGTTGTCGAGATAGGGGAACATCTTCGTTTACAGTGCAAACGGCGCAACACGTGCGAAATCCGCGCGACCGCCAACTTTACTGCAAACGGCAATAAGATGTCGATGAGTTGAGTGGATGGGGGGGAAGCAGCTTTCGGAGAGGCTCAAAACTAACAGATAGAGGTTGATCCCGGTTGGACATTCATACTAGATTCATCCATGAAATGCCAGTGTATTGAATGCTTAGTGTGCTGGAGGACAATGCAGCGCTATGTTTTTCGTCTTCTTCGGGATTTTGCCATTATAAGCAGCTTGAAGGGGGCAGATACTGCATTGGCAGTCAGCAAAGCTATCAAAATTGAGCTTGGTCTATAGGAAGTAAGAACAGAATGGATGTCGTGTACAAAAACCTACACGGACAACAAAATCTGCGGAGACCGATACGACAGCGCGCGCAGATGATGATACAAGTGGTGTTCAAAAATCTACCCATCTTAGACAACTTTCTATGTCGTGTAGCGCTCTCCATACACTCCCTCCTGTATCGCTTTGATTTCTGAGATCAATCACGTTAAGTTCAAAGGCAGTAACAGGAGACATAAATAGAACACGCACGGAGAGCAAGGTGCTTCGAGTGGAACCGACACCACGACAGGTTGCCTGAGCATCAGAAAGAACGATGGTCAGCATTATGCGGCTGAGATTGAAGACCTCAATGTACCCATCATGAACCAGAGGTTCTGCACGCCGAGCCAGCGCCACGCACTGCGCAGCTCACCCTCTTCGTTGAGACCCCAGATAGGTGTGATCTTAGAAGCGAGCTCCTCTCCGGCAAGTTTCGCGATAGCGCTAATGGGACTGTCAAACCTAGAGGCGAAAAAGCACTCGTCAGTCCATTGGTGGATCAAAGTCCAAAGGCGAATCGCTCGGTCGAAGCGGGAATACGCACCCAGTGGCGAACATAACAACGTCCGCATTGACCTCGCTGCCATCCTCGAAACGGATCCCAGTCTTTATGAACCGCTCGATTGGACTATCGTTCTTCAGCTTGATCTTCCCGTCAACGATCAGCTGGGATGTTCCAACGTCTAGAGTTCGTCTATCAGTGCTCGCACAAGAGTGTGTGCAAGAACCCTGGACACACCGAGGTAGTATCCTCCTCCACGTGTCATCGAAAGGTGTATGAAGCCGGCGCCCTCAGAGCCTGCGTACGTCTTGAAACCGACTTTGTGCAGCCCGTCAAGGAGCGGTCTGCCGACCATGTCGATTCGTCTTATGAACGGAGGAGGTTTATAACCAATTCCAAGGCTCACTTGTCTGCCTGGGCGATATCATCGATGATACGCCGCCAGAAGAACACCTGCAAGGAGGTGGGAAACGACGCGTTGAGGCGATCAGCAACTTCGGTGGGGTGCCTGCCCTGCCAATAGAAGCCTGGGTCATCGTCAGAAGCTTGTTACTGCTCGATAAAAACAGAAGGGGACTTACGATCGAGAAGCTTCGGCATGCCGTTCCTTGTGGACATAACGTGCGTTGGACTCCTCTGGTACAGCGTGACATCTAATATAGGACGTCAACACTGATATGCAGGGATCAGCCGAGCACTCACCTACTCCATGGTCGACATAATCGCCGGCAATATCATGTGCCGAAGTACTCGCGCCGATGATGAGAACCTTCTTTGCGAGGTGGTCCTTTGCGCTGTTGTGCTCTGTAGAGTGCAATACCTGTCCCTGAAATTCCTCTCGTCCGGGGATCGAAGGCATGTTCGGGGAGCCTGCGCCGAGGCCCAAAGCGAGAACGACATGGTCAACGTGGAGCTTGCGTTCCGAACCGTCTGCGCGTTCTACAGTGACGTCCCAGGTCTTGTCCTCACGTTGCTCAAAGTGCTTCAACGTGGACGATGTCCAGACATTGATCTCCATCGACTCAGCATAAAACTCGAGCCAGTCTGCGAGCTGCGGGACGAATTAATCAAAGATCAAACAACAAACGGGGGTGACGCGCCTTTTGAGCCGGGGTATACACCGGCCATGATGAGGGGAATCTACATCGTGTTCGTCAATGCGAGCTAAATTGCTAGTATAGAAAACTCGTACGGGATATATGGCAGGTGGTCATACCCTGTGGCCCATCAGCAACGCTACGGCGGACAAATCGGGGACAGGGGCACACTCACAGACAGGGTCATGCAGGCACAGCGCCTGGTACCGATGCCTCCACAGGTCGCCGATCCGCTTCCGCTTCTCGACTACGAGCGTCGGGACGTCTAGGAGCTTCAGCCGCGCGGCGACGTCCAGCCCGCTTTGCCCGCCGCCGATAACAATGACCTTGGGGTCCGCGTCGAGGAACTCGCGCTCGCGCGCACGCTGTTCGAGCCACTTGCCGTGGTTGGGGAGGAAGTTGCGGTGGGACCCGGTCTTCTCGGGGAAACCCTTGAGTTCCTCCAGGTTGGTGTATACGTGGTGAGCCTTCCATGTCCCGCTCTCGGACGGTACTAGGCGAAAGATACCACTGCCGATGCCCACGTCGGTCTCGAATGTGAAAAAGCCTTCCAGGAACACGACGTCCTCAGCGTACTTCTCAAGCGAAGTCGTCCCGAGCTTCAGTTCGGAGAATTTCGAGGCGGCAAGGCGGTCCTCGAAGAACTGCTGGAGGTTCTTCGCGCCATGGAAGGTGCGGAACTCCCAAGTGAGTGCGAGCATGTCTCGCCACCAGCCGTCGTCCACGAAGAGACTGAGCACGCCCGGGACATTGTGCGCAGAGACTTGCTGCGAGAATGCGTTAAACCAACCCGAAGCAACCGCCTGGACGTCGAGGTCGTCCGGGATGGTCACGCCAAGCTTGTCGAGCGTGGGTAGACTGGGCTTGGGCGTATCGGACATGACGAGTAGGATACAGGCGAAGCGGGCTCTACGAGTACTTATAGAACTGCGATGGGCTGATGACTTGATCTGCGAAGACGCGACAGGTGACCTTTTGTGTGACCTAGTGCAAATCTTCAAATGACGAGCTCTGAGCCCACTTTCTCCCACGCCCGTGTCGCGGAAGTCACAAGTCACGGGATGTTCCCGTGCGCGTCACACTCGCGTGCATGACAGTTCGGTACACCCTCTAAAGCTTTCTAGTCTTCACCCAGAGCGATGGGAGATCCGAGACCATAACAAACAGCATACAAGATGCAAAACAGGACGTACGATTTTCGAAGAAGCGCACTCTGCAGCGATGTCAGGTCACTTGATACTTGAGATTCGGACCCGGAGTAACGACATAAGCGGGGAAATGCGTATCAAGGAACGTTCTTGAAGATAAAAAAAGCAAGCGACACGAGTAAAGATGCACGCAATGTGTGTGTTGAAGTCACGGTTTTGACCGATACCCCCTTCAGGACAGAGTCGAAGCCCTGAGTGATCAGCTGCACAGGTAATATCAACACATTTTAACGTGTACGCGGGAGAGTACGGCGGAGGAGAGCCTAGTGGCGAAATCTTCGGGGTCACGCTGGAAGGAGTTTGGGGCCCACGCAGAAATAAGTGCACTTGCCTCGAACGCGACGAATCTTATCAGCAGATGATACAAAGTGTGAAACCGCTGCTTGAGTAGTCGATATGCGTTGAATTATCACTGCAGCGTTTACCGTCAGAAAGCTAGTATACGAAAGTCGGGGAGTCGCGAGAAATCCGAGACTTTTTTCATTCTGAGCACCAAACAGAGCGAAGAACCGAGAGCACACACTGCAAGTTAACCGGTTAGTCGTCGGCAGACGTTCATTCTTGGAGGTCAATCAAGCAAGTTTTTCTTTGGTGATATGCGAAGAGCGAGTTATGATGAGTCGCCAGTTACGTTCCACCATCTAATCGTCCCAAAATTTCCAGCACCGAGGAGCACAGAAGTGGCCAAAAGTCTGTATCTCGATGGGAGCATCAGTCGTCAGCATATTCACAGGATGGTTGTCGCGAAATCTTGGCGATCTGGTGAGCTTCTGCGGAAGATACCAGGCTGGAGATAGTTGCGAGCCCTACACTTCTGAGTATCAATGGTCATGAACAAGTAAAAATATCGGAGCGCACACGGGTCAGAACCGTCTCTCCTATGCCCACTCCTTAGCTCTCGGTCACAGACTCAGCTGAGACCTAAAGCAACATCAAGGGACAGAAGTCGACAGCATTCTTTCATTAGCTGTTAACGTTGGGACATGGCGCTGCAGGAGGACTTGGAAGTTGGAACAGCACCGGTGCCGGGGTTGAGTTTGGCCCAAATTTCTGTCCATTTGACCACAATTTCCCCCGATATGTAAGAAACACGGCCAAAGCGCTAAATTGGGGCCAAAAAGAGACATTTCCTTAATCCCCAACTTGACGGCCGTCGCTCCACCAGGCCTCTACAAGTCTCCTCTCCGTCCTCCTTGCTTTAGATTTATGTGCTGACTGCTTTTGCTAAGTTCTCGAGTGTACCCAACCTGTCTACTCGGACATGAGCTCTTCGTCAGCATCGGGTTCGACCCGTGGGCGTGATTCTGGCAGTACGTGTTCATTTCTAGCCGTTGCAATCAGGTTATGGTGCAATCTAAACCGACGGAGGGTCCGAGACATACCTCATGCTACCTGGAAGCACCAGAATGCTGTCATACTTGCTCGGGGGTTCTGCAGTGCAAGGTCGACGTTGTCACTGTACAGCCTGCGGGGCGGCTGTTGATGTCCATTGGCGCTCCCTTCGGCCGAGGAAGCTCTTCACTTATTCGAGCTGAGCCATCACCAGCTGTAGAGAGCTTCAAAGCGACCGCAGCTGATAGGCGTCACGCCCCGGTCTGTATTGGTTTCTTAGAAATATTGCTGAGATGAGAGACTCTATGTTCCGAAGGTCGACCCTCCGTTACTTCTTCATACTGTGCCTTGAGTTACGCATGTGAAAGATGTGAAGTAGTATGTGTATTGATTCACCTGCCCCTACGAGCTTGCAGGGACTCTCCGTCGGCTTGAGATCGCTTCTATTGATCAGCTTTCGCAACACTGCTTGTTACTCATGTTCTGCCATTATTACAGATACCCCTGACTACTTGTACCAAGTCAAACTATTAACTGCTCTCCGGAGCGGTAAGTTGTGCGTCACCATCTATGTAACGCACCTGATGGCTCGATAGGCGATCCGACTGTCATTCACCCTTTCCTGGCGGATATCTCCAGTCGAAAATCCTCGGAAGGCGACACAGATGTAGGAGCTGCAGCTCTGCATCTGGCCATACGATGCGCTTCATGTGAGTGCGTCATATTTAGCCGTGGTGCCATTCTTAATGTCTCCGCAGGCGACACCGTCTCACTGCTGCTCTCCCATCGCTCTATTTCGCCCAACTCTGTTTACCCTCCGGGCTCAGGCACGACAGCTCTCCACCTTGCCGCATCCATCGCTCGTACCGACGTTGTAAATCTGTTGCTTGAGCAAGACAACATAGATGACAGTGCGAGAGACGGTAACTGCAGGACATGCCTAGAGGTAGCCAAGGGCAAGGACACCGTTCGTGCAATCCAAGGCGAGTAACGTCTTTGAATACTGGGTCCTGTAAACGTCTGGCAGTTTCATCGCCATAAGAGTTTTTGCACCGTGCGTCTAGCGGCGAGATGCTGACTTTACGCACAGATTCGCGCTCGCTCTTGAATGCATCATATCGCTCCCTTCTTCGCACGTACATACTGTCTGTACCTACCGCGTCGCCACCAAGTGCTCTTCTTAAGCTCGTGTCATCACCCCGCATCCACCTCGTCAATCTTTCGTACATCGACGACGCTTCCGGCCGGACACTCCTTCACGAAGCAGCGAGACGTAAAGATCTGCGACTTGTGGAGCTCGCGATTCGCGGAGGTGCAGACGTGTTCGTGCGCGATCGTAAGGGCAGAGCAGTAGGTGACGGCGTTGGGAAGGATGACCGCGTGCGGGTGTTCCTGAGACAGTGTACGTGCGTTCTTCTCCGCAGCGGGTGATCTTGACTGAGACGTCATAGTCACGAATCAGGATACAACTTTGATCAATGTACCGTCATCCGAACCGCCTGAGCTCAAAGGGTACCTCAACAAGTATACGAACGTCGCGAAGGGGTACAACACGCGGTGGTTCGTGCTTAAGGACGGTGTTCTCTCCTGTACGTCATTCTCGTATTTTGCAAACCGATTGCTAAGGGAGCCCTGCAGACTACCGCCACCAGGAAGATGAGAACGTTGCATGCCGCGGCTCGATCGCGATGAAGACTGCGGTGCTGCACGTCACGCAGGGCAGCTCTGGGCCGCGCTTCGAAGTGCACGCGACGCCAGCGCGCGGGCACCAAGGCGCGCAGAAGTGGTACCTTAAGGCGAACCACCCGGTTGAGGCGTCCCGCTGGAACCAGGCGCTCCGCAGGAGCATCGAGCTCGCGCGCCGTGATGCGGACGGCGACCGAGGCAGCGCGGATAGCGAAGCGCTCAGCTACAAGCCGCCGTCTACGATCGGCTCGTTCGTGGGCAGCTACTTCCCTCGCAAGAGGCCGGGAGTGAACGGTACCCGTTCGCGTGCGAGCTCGCTTGCGGGGGACGACATCGGGGATGCGAACAACCTCGCGCGAGAAGGTAGTGGGCGGGCGCCTTCAGATGACCAGGAGGGCGAACAGACGTCGTTTGCGGAGTCGACAGAGAAATTGCCTCCGCATAGCGCGTCGTTCGAGTTGCAGGGCAACGCGGTTGAAGCACAAGTGGATCTCACCAGTAAGTTGCTTGCGAATTTGCCACTCCCGTCGAACATGCCTCCTCAAGTCACCGAGGCACGGAGAGCAGTCGAAGATACATTTGGCATCCTGCAAGGGATGTTTAGCGAGTACGTGCAAATGGTTCGCGACCGCGAAGAGTGGTGGAAAGTGAAGCTTGAGCGCGAACGCGAGCGTCAGGCCATCTGGGAGGAGAGCCTACAGGTCGTCGTGCGCGAGGGCGACGCCATGGAGCGAGAGCTGCGCAGCAAGTCGCGCCGCCGGAGCCGCACGATAGACGCCAGTTTTGCTTCGACCGGCCAGGACTCTGGGACCGTGAAGAAGCGTCTTTCTCGGTTGGCTTCACCCACCGAGGCTGAGGCCGTGACTACCCCAACAGAGGGTCCGCTTGCTGCGTCAACCGACCTTACTGTCTCACCACGGATGCCTTCTGCTGCACAAATCACTACAGGAGCTGGTGTGTGGCCGCTTTCCCTTTCACCCGTAGCGATGGACACCGAGTCCTTTGCGGACACGGACGAAGAAGACGAGTTCTTCGACGCCATCGAGACCAATACGCTACCCAACCTCATCGTCACGCAGTCGCTCACAGCTCCGTCTCATGGCTTCTTCATCACGCGCAATCGTGAACAATACTTGGGTTACGAATATCTCCGCAAGCGACTCGCTATTAGTAGCGACAATCGACCTCCGATGAGCCTCTGGGCAGTGTTGAAGAACAGTATTGGGAAGGATTTGACCAAGATCTCATTCCCTGTCTTTTTCAACGAGCCCACGAGCATGTTGCAGCGTATGGTGAGCGGAAGTGCCGTTCACTTCTAGTGTTATTACTTATGCAGGCGTAACAGGCCGAAGACATGGAATTTTCGGAATGCCGTTAGTATATTTTCAATCAATCCTTAGTACATTTTGCAGTTTCTGAGCACATATGCAGTTGACGCAGCGTGTGCCGAGAGCGACCCTCAGCGACGCATAGCGTTTGTTGCGGCGTTTGCGATGTCGAATTATTCGTCTACGATCGGGCGAATCGCGAAGCCATTCAACCCTATGCTGGTGTGTCGACTTCAACGTTCTCGTGATTGTAACGATGTTCTAATACACCAGTATATTGTAGGGCGAGACGTTCGAGTACGTGCGGTTTGATAAGGATTACAGGTACATGTCCGAACAGGTCAGCCATCATCCGCCAATTTCCGCCTGTTGGGCGGAGTCGCCTTCGTGGCACTACTATGGCGAAGTAGGTGCTTTGATTCTGTAGACGTAGGAGGAAGCTGAGCAGTTATTGTTCAGGTGGACGCTCAGAACAAGTTCATGGGCAAATCCTTCGAGATTCGCCCTACAGGAGTCGCCCATGCTGAGCTCCTTCTCCCAGAGGCCCAGGCACCTCATTATCCCAAAGCGAAAGCTCCTCATCTGGCAGGCAAAGTAGTCGAGCATTACAGCTGGAAGAAAGTCACTACAAACGTATCCGGCTTTATTCTTGGCTCGCCCACCATCGATCATTATGGAGACATGATCGTAGGTGATATTTTTGTGAGCGATCTACTGACCTCACTTTCGCTTTACTCAGGTCACGAACCATCGCACTCAAGACCAATGTTTACTTACGTTCAAGCCCCGCGGTTGGCGAGGGAAGGACGCTTATGAGATTTCAGGCTACGTTATGGATTCGGACGGCACGGTAACGTATGAGATTGCTGGACGCTGGAACAGTCAGCTTGTCGCTCGGGCTGTTGGAACTGGCATCGGGCAGTTGCATCCTGACGTGCCCGTGGCTGTTCCCACCTCTCCTTCTCCGACCGCGGAGTATATCCTCCTGTGGCGCAACTCGGTGAAGCCTCCTGCGCCGTTCAATCTGACGCCATTTGCGATTACGCTGAATGATTGTCCGGACACCCTCAAACCATTCGTGTCTCCCACGGACTGCCGGTTGCGCCCTGACCAGCGCGCATTTGAGCTGGGAAATTACGAACATGCGAATAATCTGAAAAACAAGCAGGAGGATCTCCAGCGCGTCACGCGGCGTGCACGCGACGAAGGCAGGCTGCCTCCTCACAGACCGCGCTGGTTCACCAAACGGATAGAGCCCGATACCCATGAGAGAATATGGGCACCTTCTACCATTGACTACCGTCTAGAATATTGGCTGGAGCGGGAGAAGATCTGGCAAGCCAGAAAATCAGGAACTGAGGCTGTCTGGAAGGACGTTGACCGTATCTTCATCGATGACGACCCAAACGGAGATTCTTGACCGTCTGGATATACATCGTTCATTCGACTTGCATTCTTATCCTTTTAGGAAATGTCGCGCTTGCCATGGATACTTGGGTGGATGGGATGGACCGTACGTACGTGTTTATTGAGTAATGTGTTGTAACTCTTTAGATCGAGTAATACCCGGGGATGCTTCCTCACCATTCCAGTTGACTGTTATTGCATGAGGATGTAACACAACCGCCCTCAATTGCATCCTCCTGAGGACCCACAATCTCTATCCCGCCTTCGTGTCCCTGTTCAATCAATTCGGCGGTCGTCTGCCGGACCATCCATTTGCTGGTCCCTATGACAAAATCGAGCTCGTCTGCATCAGGAAGGAACAGCAAGATATTGTCTCCTTCATTTCGAACGTCGAACGCGAGAATGCTATAAGAATCATCATTCAGACACTTGCCAGAGGCGAGTGTGAAGTTGCGTTTATGCATTGGGCCTGACATTGAGAACGGTTCAGTAATCCGATGCGCAGAAAGGCTGTTTGAAACGCGCACAGGACACGTAGAGAGCACCGCTCTTAGGATCATCTCCGATGATGCCGTGTTCAAGCACAAACGCGCGTTTGTGCGGACACATCTGACACGAAGATCAGCGCCATATTGTACGATCTCCCATGACAGTAGCAAAGAGATACCTGCTGAGTCGCAAAGTAACCGCGTCGCGGGACGTAGAAAATGGCAATTTGGCTGTCCCCGTACTTCACGGCGGCGGAACTTGCGATGAGGATCTCAGAACATGTTCGTTAAGTTTAGGTGAGAGCTCACGTTGTTCCCGCATCAGTCGGCGTTAGGTCATGGACCTTAGCCATGGGCTGCCACTTCCACTCGCTCTTCGGTGTCCCCACGTCGCTGTGTTGCAGGTGCACGGAAGGGAAGACTTTGGCCCAATTTGCGGGTCGGCGCTGTCCACGCTCGGTGATTTGTTCAATTTGCATTTGGCGTTCATCCTAGACCAATATTCTTACATTCCGCATGACAGCAACAAGACGAAATGGCGAAGCTTACCGAATTGACGAATTGACGGAATTGTTTCTGGCGCCCAGGATTGTCCACGACAGCTTTCCACTCATCTTGATAGGTCCCGATGAGCTCCTCCATCTCATGCTCCAGATCATCGCAGATGCCGAGCTCATCATCCAAAAGCACCTTCCGCAATTTCTAGAATATGATGGGTTGAATGCAGGACTCGCGACCAGTCGTTCAAGATTTACCTCGATCCCTCCTTCCATCTCCTCAAGCCACCGAGACGTGCGCATGAGCTTATCAGCAGTCCGAATGTAGTACATGATAAAGCGATCCAGAATTTTGACGACTTTGGACGGCGGGACATCGTTGACGAGCAGAGTCGCATGTTTCGGATGTACGCCTACATGCAGGTCGGTCAGTACGGGCAGTAACCGGAAAAAGTATTGCATTCGCGCGCACCTCCGTTTCCACAGACAAATACTGGGGGGATATCGGCACGTCAGGCAGTGACTCGAGAGAAAAGAGAGCATGCTCACTGTTCCATCCTTTGTCCGTTGCGATGAGTCCGAAGTCTTTGCCCTGTGCCTCAGCACATTCTCGCACACAACCGCTCACACCTCCTTTGAATTTATGCGGTGATCGTACACCTTTGTACCGATGTTCGAGCTGTACGGCCACTGCATTTCGGTGAGCATCTCGAATCATGAGATCAAGTGTGTATCTCACATCCTACGGAGTCGCCAATACCATACCGACACCAAGATGTGCCGACGCACGATTTCACAGTGCGTAGCGCTTTTCCTGAACCACATAAAATTTTGTTTAAGCGAACATAGGGCCTTAGGCGTATCAAGAGCACTTACCGTAAGCGTGGCCGCTTTCAAAGCCTGCGTCAACCAATTCCTTCCAAATAGAGGGCAGATCTGCCTTCTGTGCGCCAAACATATCCACTCGTTGTCCGCCCGTGATCTTGGTATATAAACCATCTGATAATATGATCACGCCAGCTGTTCAGTGGAAGCACGATCGGACGTACATTTCTTCGCAACTTGCCCCAGGACAATCAGTTTATCAGGTGTAACCTCGAGAATGAGGATTGTCAATACTTAGATCCACAGGACGATACTACATGGTGTACCTCTCCCGCTGGGATTCGCGGCACTACGGAGAACGTGCCTGTGATACCGTCAGATGAGCTATCAAAAAATCGACCTGAAGAGAATGGCATGCGTACCATTCCTTTGCATGTTTGCCATGAACCTGTAGAGCGAAAGGTCGGGTGCTGGTCTGACTATATTAACTTACCTACTAACCTGTCATTCGTATCCTGGTTTCTGGTGCATGGCGTCAGATACTTGGGCTGAAATCGGCTACTGAGATTGCATCGCTCACGCGTGATGAACGGGATCCATAATATGTTCGTTGAAAAGGGACGACAGAATACTTCCAACTGCGGGTTTGCACACTTCGCAGCCGATCGACTCCTCGTTTACACCAACAGCCCTCATGATTGCCGTCAACGTCTTCAGTTTTTTGATTCTACGCCGAATGTAAGTATCTTAGATCATTTATATTACGTAATGCTCACTTGACTACGTTGAATAAATCGGCTCGAGACATTGCGAAGTGGGGACAGAGGTTGTTGCTCACGGCGTTGCCTGCCTTCACCATCTCTGCCTGGTAACATGATAAATAACAACACCCGTAGAGCATCGGAGATACGGACCTTAAACAGGTTAGTAAGGAATGGCATGCCTTCGAATAACGGTCGATCATCGAATCATCGACATGAAGAGAAATTGCAGACGTACATCCTCCGCAACCATTTCCTGCCTTCGTTTGCGCCTTGACATCGGGAATGCTTTGCGCGCCATCTTTGATGCATTGCACAATCCGGCCTTTGGTCACATTCTGGGGGTTCATCAGACCCACATACGCAATCATAAGCCCATCACCCACATGACAACTGCATATTTGAGCGTCATCATCCAAATCCGCACCAGCGTCGTCTGCATCCTTTCCGGATCCCAGAATAAATTGTGAGGGCGGTACCTCGAGTGCTTTCTGCGCATACGTGATGTGAGGATGCATATACTCCTACACGGGAAGGTGCACGAACTCTCTTCTTCACAAGCGCAACGAGCTTGATGTAGTCTGACGTGTCGCCGACCATCATCCCGCCAATAATGTACTGCCCGTCCGCACTGAAGATGTACCTGAGCAACATTTGTAGAAGTTATAACGCACGATAGTCAGTGCGCGTAGCTCACTTCTTGTACACACCCGCAAAAGGATCGCGGTACGTCAGCGCCTCCGTCGGGCCCTCTGCTACTGCAGCGGAAGGCCCATGCCTCTTCTTCGGCGAAGAGGCATCGCTGGGCGTAGATTCAGATGTGTGCTTGCTGGTAGACGACAGCGCGTTGGCAGTGATTTCCCAAGTGCGCGGTTTGTTAGGGCTGGGTTGCTTGCGAGAGATCGGAATGGCTTCTGCAACCGGCGGAATTGAAACTTTCACGGCAGGGTGTTCGGCGTTAGGGTGTTCGGCGTTGGGGTGCGCACGACGTCTCTCGGCAAAGAAGTCGCCGAATGATGCGACCTGAGACGGGTCTCTGTTAATCGACAACTAATGGTGAAAGGTCACACACGCACGTCCACGCCCATGAGCTTGAGCTTTGTGGATAGGTCGGGGTTGTTCTGTCATGCATCGTAAATGTCTGAATTCTTACGTTAAGGAGAACATACCATCGTTCGCGGCCTGAAATCCCCCACATCGGTCTGCGTCTGCGTAAAGTTGAATGCCAATATGTCCGCCATCTCAATACCAGGAGCGATCAAGCCGTACGTGTTCCCCTTCCAACTCGCGCACTCACCGATCGCAAACACATCATTAGCACTGGTCGCAAGGTGGTCGTCTACGGCAATACCCCGACGTTCGACGCATCTGATGCCCGAGACACGCGCAAGGTCGTCTCTGGGCGTGATCCCAATAGCGAATATTGCGACTTTGCATGACACGACAGCGCCATCGTGAGTTTCAACCCCCGACAGTGCCCCGTCACCATCTGTCACAAGCCGTACGACAGACGTGTTGCCACGGAACGTGACGCCCATGGCTTCGATCCGGCGGAGCACGATCTCGCCGCCCTGGTGGTCAAGCTGGCGCGAGAGCGGAAAGCCCTGGCGGTGGATGATCGTGACGCTATCGACAGTGTCCAAGTCGTATACGGCTTTTGCTGCCTCCAGTCCCAGAAGACCGCCACCCAATACCACCGCCTGCAGCGGTAAACGATTGGTATGAGCACATGGGTTCGGTAACCTAACACGTACAGCAATGCCCTTCACGTTCTCCTTTTCTACGTAGGCTAAAAGTTTGTTCATGTCCGAGATGTTGCGGTAGACGGATACGCCGGGAATGTTGGGATTGGCATAACCAGGGAGTGCCGCGTCAGATCCCGTAGCGAGGACGCAGTAGTCATATCTGATCGACCGGTTTTTGTCAGTCGTAACAGTGTGTGCCTCTGAATCAAGTGCAGTGACAGTTTCGCCGATGTAGAAAGTGAATCTATCTGGGTCCTGCTGTGCGTACCATTCGGCTATGGATAGCATGTCAGCGATATGCATCCTTTTTTGATTGTGCAGTGGTAAACTGACCTGAGTTTAAGTAGAGCTTCTCTACACTGCGATGCTGAAAATATTCTGTCAAGGCGACTCTATTGTAGGCAACTGTTACGCACAACAGTCAGGCAGATATGGCAGCTATATGAACGGTAGCTTACGATGTGTTTCCTCCCCACATGTCACAACACGGTACTTCTTGCCCTTATCCAGGTTCAGCAATTTCTCGACGAAGGCTTTACACGACGAGTTTGATTCTAATGCAACAATCTACCAATGCAGATGCGTACCTATCCCAACCATTCCAAGACCAACCACAAAAATCGTCTTCCGTTCCACAATCGCTGACATTCTGTATTTGTTGAGCGCATCAAAAACTTGGCAAGTAGATTGAGCCTTCTCCACGCCGGGAGTTAATCCCTGTTTCTCCAGCGTAGGGATCACTGGTATAGCTGAATGACCCACGACGGCCTTGACTCCTGGTCAAATCGAAACCGCCAGTCTGTCCAGGGATATCATGGCTTCCACGGCCTGACTTGAACGCTTCTTCTATCATGATACGGTAGAGCGTCAACTGAGTGTGTGATCAGCGGGAAGGAATTGACCAAAATCTAATCTTATCTATGTAGACTACATAGCTCAGCGGCACCTTCCCAGTAACTACATACATTCTTAGTATTGAGTCTTCCAGTTTCACTGTGACGTTCCGGCTGATACATTGCCTTTCTTGTGTGGTATTTTTACCTTTGACTGTGAACTTGGCCTGATTGAGCTGGTACCGAATAAGCCATGTATTGGACTTCTGGAGATTGCTGTGACCGCGAAGTCTTGTCGAAGATTCTTGCCCGTCAATCACGGTTGATGTGCTCATTCGCTTCTGTTCCCCCACCGGTGTGAAGTGGCTCTCTGCAATCCTCACTCCACTATCGCAGCTTTCAGAGGCACGGCACTTACAAACTACGAAGACCACTATGTCTATGTCGTCTACTACCCTCGAATCAGAGTTTACTTTGTGGCAGTCCCTCACGCAAGCCCATCTCAATCCTTTGAACAAGAAATGTGTGACTCTCCCCATCCTTAATCTTAGAAACCAATACTCGCGCAATTTCCATTTGTAAGTGCTCTATGTGCTCAGGACTCTCAGAATCTGACACGTCTGTTCTTGCAGGTCATGGCTTGGATTCTGGGTCGCATTGTGAGTAGTGATATTTAACAGTTACAAGGCGGGGCCTTCTCTGCGACTGTCCGGTCCGAGTCGCATTATTGCAAACATTGTGTCCCAAGACGTCTCGACGACTGACCCTGTTTGACAAGCCTTTCCTGGTTCGCATTCTCGCCTCTGATTCCTGTGGCAGTCAAGAAGGACCTCAATTTGACGGCGGCCCAGATAGGTTTTGTGCCTCAGCTTTCCTCCCAGCTCTCAAAGTCCCTAACCTCGTTGTTAAGGAAATTCAAACGTAGTATCTTTGTGCTCAACTCTCGTAGTCCGCATCATCGTCGGTCCTCTGGTTGACCGTAGGTGTTTGGCATATCCCTGCGATTTTAGGTTTCACTTTGTGTGTGATAGGCTATGGTCCGCGAAAAGTGATGGCAGGACTTCTCGTGATAGGCGCCATTCCATCAGGTCTCGCAGGCACCATCGCAACTGCGCAAGGGCTCTACATCGTACGGTTCTTTATCGGTACGCGTCCTCTTATCACGTCTCGTTCCTCCGCGGACCTTCTGTGACTCAGGCATCCTCGGTGGGACTTTCGTGCCTTGTCAGGCGTGGACGACAGCGTTCTTTGATAAGTGCGTCGTAGGGCGGGCGAACGCGCTCGCTGGTGGGTGGGGAAACGCGGGCGGCGGTTTCACGTTTATTATTATGGTCGCACTGTATGACCGCTTGATTGCGGATAGACTCGCGTCGCACGTGGCCTGGCGAGGTATGTCTGTTCTTGCTCGAATGAAAGGTGATTATCTGAGGTTTCATTGCAGTTGCATTTGCGATCGTCCCGGTCCCGGTGTTGCTGTTTACTGCTGCTGCAGTTCTCGCGTTCGGGACGGATCATCCAAACGGCCGGTGGAGTGACAGGCATGGTCCTACTCCCAGTGAACCCGACGTCACTGAAACCGAACAGGTGCAAACTGAACACCACAAAAACGCCTTCTACCTGCGGGACAACGAGAAAAAGAGTGAAAGGGTAAATGTTCAGGTGGATCCTGCAGAAGACGGTACGAAGATTGAGTGAATTGCAGCCTGGTTTCATTACTGATATATGTATGTCTTTTGACCAGGCTTGGCCTCTCTGGATACAGCCGTGAATGAACCGTTGACATGGAGCCTTTCGTATCAGCTTCTCGTCTCGTCGCTGACCTGGCTGCCGTCCTTGGCCTACTTGAGTACGTCGCACCTTCCGTGTGTTTCACCTTCCGAGCTCAAGGGTGGAATGCAGCGTCATTCGGATTTGAGCTTGCCATGGACGCGAATCTCTCGAACGTGCTATACGACCTGTATTCTTCGCGTTCGTTCGGGCAGACAAAGTCCGGCTATGTACGTCGGGTCTTCTTTTCCGTGCGCATGCAATCGTTGAGACCATGCAGATTGCAAGTATCTATGGATTGTTGAATGTTTGGACCCGGCCCTTTGGTGAGCCATTCCGGAGATTCTTACCTGCAAGTCCTAAGCGTGAATCGTGAATGTCAGGAGGATATCTCGGGGATGTGATCTATCGCCGCTTCGGAGTGCCCGGCAAGAAGTACCTTATGCTCGTGCTGGGCATCTTGCAGGGGTTCATGTCGATCGCGCTGGGTCTGTACATCGATAGCCGCGAGCGTCCGTCACGTAGGTCGTCGCTGTCTTGTGCGATTCTGGGTGATATTGAACTTAGCTAAGTTGCCGTCGTGATCGTGGTGTTCACCATTCTCGCGATCGTGAACGAAGCAGGCAACGGGGCGAATTTCTCCTTGGTGCCGCATTGCAATCCGAGTGTGTCTTTCTTTTCTGTTTTCGTTGTCACGTGTTTACTGATCGCATCTCTGCCTGCTCAGACTCGAATGGCATGATGGTAAGTTTGAAATCACGTAAAAACGGGCATTTACTAAATGCTTTTGCTGATATAGAGCGGTGTCGTCGGTGCGATGGGCAACCTCGGCGGCGTGCTTTTCGCCCTCGTCTTCAGGTTCCAACCGATCCCATACGGCAAAGCCTTCTGGATCGTGGGTATCGTGACCGTTGTGCGTTATCTGCGTTTTGCCCCGTGGAGAGACTCTAACAGACAACTGCCAACAGGGCGTCAACGCTGTCCTCTTGCCAGTTCGGGTGCCGAGGTGGTGAAGGGTAATAGCTGGAGGGTATCGTTGAGCGACTGTCATGAGGTCTCTGCTTGAAGCCTTGAAATAGTCTTTGGATCAGCATCCGTTGTCGAAGTGCCATGCAAAGTTGGTTTGATGTATTTGTAATGCTGTCGTTGATGCCAGTTAGTAAGTACTCATCCTCTTTTGCGCTGTGAGACTTCACAATCAGATATCGCGACACATGCCCCTGTCATTTGATTTCAGATGCATCTCGGCGACAATACGAAGCTCGTTATCTCTCTAAATCCATCACAAATCCATGAGACACGGCGCCACTGCGACTTCCCGCTGCGGAACATCAGACGTGCGCCTTCGGATATGATCCGCCATGCGTCATGACGCTTAAAGCCAGTTGTGGGAGAGCGAGACTCGGTAAACTCATCATGATTGTGAGTGCAAGAATGGGGATCGCGTACTCTCGCTCGTCGGACAGCAGCAGCGAAGAGGGTGCATCGTCGACGTTCACCGCTGCTGCGTCCGCGCCATCGTTGTCCAGTGCTTCGCTGTCGCTACCGCCCTCAATAGCCGATCCGGAACTGCAATGTCCGCCGCTCCCTGAAAGTCTACCTCCGTTACCAGTTAATAAAACTCCGAGAGTGACTGCCAGCGTGGTGAACTTGCCTCCCACTGCAGCATGCAGACTATAGAGTGTTGACTTCCTCTTAGGATGTTCATACCCCAGATGCGTGGATAATGAGGAACCCTGCCCTACTACGACTCACGGGGAAACATCCACTGAATTGCGAACCACCTCTTTCGTCGCTATTTGATGCAGTGCGTCATATCCCGCTATCCGGAGTTCTATTCCTGTGTGTTTATTCACGAAACTAGGGCTTTATCACACCCGCCCATCTCCACTTCGTACGCAACCACGGCGCAGTACCGACCTTTGACGAAGTTAAGCTGCGGGACTGGAAGATTCACATTCACGGGCTCGTGCGCACGGAGTGCATGCTCTCGCTGCAAGACCTCCGTGAGAGGTTTCAGGTTGTGACTCTTCCTGTAACGCTCGTCTGTGCAGGAAACCGGCGCAAAGAGCAGAATGTCGTCCGCAAGAGCCTCGGGTTTAGCTGGGGCGCTGCGGGAGGTAGGCTTTCGGCCATACAACGCCAGCTGTGAATTTGACAGCCCGAACGCCAGTCTCGACTGCGCTATGGACGGGCGTGTATCTGGCGGATGTTCTCGAGTACGTGCAACCCATTCGACCTCAGGCAAGGCATGTTATTTTCGAGGGCGGGGATACTACTCTTCCGAATGGGCCGTACGGAACCTCCCAGAGGCTGAGCTGGGCCGCGAACAAGGAAAGAGGGATGTTAATAGGCATGGCACTCTTTTTGTACTGAATTTCGTTTCTGAAGTCTTTTATGCCGTAGCTTGGGCTATGAACGGTCTTCCTCTCGAGCCTGATCATGGATTTCCTGTGCGGATGATTATCCCTGGGCAAATTGGTGGGCGTTCAGTAAAGGTGTGCGCGGTCGACGCGGACACTGTGTCTGCGCACTGATTGTGCTTGCTCCAGTGGTTGACCAAGATCGAGATTTCCGCTGAGGAGAGCCAACATCATGTGCGCCTCTGTTCCTTTTCATTGTGCCGGAATCTGCAGGCTCATCCACTTGAAGCTGCATATTTTCGGTTCGTCGCATGAGGAGAAGCAATTATGGGGATGCGTGCCTAAGTAGACTTCAGATAATAGGGTTCTCCCTATGCAGTTGTCTCCCGAACAAGCCAGAGCAGAGAAGGACTGGTGGTATGATCCAAGGTATGTCTGAACAATATATGATGCTGTGTCTAGTGGACGAACGGGTTGTGGGATCTTGGCAGATACCTCATATCGTAAGTTGCATGGACGCTTTTTGCATGGTTTTATATGGCTCATATTTACACTTGTCTCAGAGAGCTCAATGTCAATAGGTATGAGTCCTTTTGTGGATCGTGCCCATGTTTTCACAATATACAGTGCGATTGTGCATCCTGGTCATGACGAGACGCTAGATATCCAGTCCCATGGGCTGCAGGAGCTGCGCATGTATACCATTCGCGGATATGCCTATGCAGGCGGTGGGAGGCGCGTCACCCGCGTGGAGATCAGTCTGGACGACGGCCACTCGTGGCGTCTAGCGGAAATGTACGTGCCTTCGAAAGTGTATCACTGACCTGAAATGAATTCATGATGATGATCTCAGCGAATATCCAGAAGACCTTTACCGCAGCATCATTTATTCTGACGAGATCTATGGAAAACTCGATCTTACCGAGAGAGATACGTGTTTGTGAGTTCGCCATGCGTAGCTGATTTGTCGAGATGCTGACGACCTTCCAGCTGCTGGTGCTTCTGGTCTTTCGACGTCCCTGTAGCAAACCTCGCGAGCTCAAGTTCCATTGCCGTGCGCGCGATGGACGAGGCCACGCAAGTTCAGCAACGGGACATGTAAGCTCTGTAACGGGGACCTTTGTATCAGGCGGCTCATCATTGCAGGTACTTGAATGCTACTGGCATGATGAACAACTGGTAAGCACTCCACAAGAACTGCACGGCGTATTCGATTGATCACGAGAAGGTGGTTCCGCGTCGCCATCGTCAAGACAGACACAGGGCTCAGGTTCGAACATCCTGCGCCTGTTGGCACTGAATCCCTAGGCTGGATGGAGGTATGCTGTACTTCACTACAGACTGATTTAAGCGTGACTTGTGGCAGCGTATCAAAGCTACTGGTGGAAATGTTCTGAGTCCAAACTTCAATGCCACGCAGCCGGTTCTCCAACCTTTGCCGCTTGCCGACGTCGGCTCTCCCACTGAAGTCCAGATGACTAACCCTGAAATTACCAGACAAATCACCTGGGCAGAAGTGAGGGCTCAGGATCGCGAGAGGCCGTGGGTAAGATGACGAGTCTTTGGTCGGCCTTGATTCTGGCTGATGAGACGCACGTCCAGTTCGTCATCAAGGGTCAGGTATATGATGGTACCCCGTATCTAAACGAACATCCTGGCGGCGCAGACTCTATCCTGTTAGTTGCAGGCGAAGACGCAACGGAGGACTTCATGGCAATACACTCTGCAGATGCGCGGAGTAAACTCAAACAGGTGAATGTCGTTTTGGATTGTCGTCAATTGTCCTATCTCATGAGGAACTAGTTCCATATTGGCACTCTGGTTGATGCAGTCTCCGAGTTGTCCAAGGTCGACGCACAAGCTGATGCCAGTAGTCCTTTCCTGAAGCCAAAATCGTGGAAAACTGTAAAGCTGATAGAGGTGGAGAAAGTTAACCACGATACCTGCATGTTTCGATTCGCGCTCCACAATTCTCAGCAGTCGCTCGGTCTTCCTGTTGGTCAGCACGTGTTCGTTCGCCTGAAGCGTAAGGATACTGGTGAGGTCGTACAGCGAGCATATACGCCTATTTCACTCCAGGGCGTCGTTGGAATGGTCGAACTCTTGGTCAAGTATGTTTAAACCACGAATTTCTCGTCGAAAAGACTGACGACGAGTCATAGAATATATCTACCATGCGCGCTGTTTCCGACAGGTGGGAAGATGTCGATAGGATTTCACGCTCTCCGTATTGGCGATACGATCGACCTGAAAGGACCTCTGGGCTCATTCACCTGGCAAGGCCTCGGCACGGCTCTGTACAGGAGCACCTGCAGAAATATCAAAGAAATCGGTATGGTCTGCGGCGGGAGCGGTGAGTTCGGCCTGACTGCTGCGCATGCGTATGTCACGGTGCGGTATCTTACCGACCTTTACTAGGCATTACTCCAATCCTCCAAGTCCTACGAAGCATTCTGCACGATCCCGATGACTCAGGGACGCGTATATGGCTCCTATATGCTAATCGGACGGAGGCGGACATCCTTTGCAGAGAGGAGCTGGATGCGTTGCACACCATGCATGGCGCGTCCCGCTTCTCTCTCCATTACACGCTTACTGTGCCGCCTGATTCTTGGATGCACAGTACAGGGCGCATCACAGACGACATGCTCGCCGCATACTTGCCTCCTCCATCCCCCGATGGACTGATCCTTTCTTGCGGACCGACCGGGATGATAAGGGATGTGGTCAAGCCTGGACTGCAGCGGTATGGGTGGGACATAGAGCATTCGTTGGTCGTTTTCTGAAGCGCAACAACTGCACACCAGGCAACTATCTTGAATGGACGAACAAATTGCCTTTGTAGTCGTCGTTTCTGGTCTTTGATGCCTCTTCGCATATGGTCCTCGAGCGGTCGATGCATCGCTGATGTGAGTACTAGTTCAGAGATGATCAGCCACCTGCTGTGCGTACAATGGTTTTGTCAATGAGACCAAAGTGAGATGCCACTTGGTATACGGTATTCCTCTAAAAAGATTCCGTAGCCTGGGTATATAGACATTTACTCTGTCTCTTCTCTGCCGCTGCACAATGCATTCACGATAAATGCGGTCAATTGTGAAGGCAGCGCGGTTGTAGATCGCGCACTCACACTGTCGTAGCGAGTGGATCCCAAAATTATTCGTTGGGAACCCGGAAGAGACACTCACGTCCGTCGCACTCCATGAGCGCTGAGCCATAGGTGTCCTCACCTTATCGAGGTTCGATGTACACAAAGGTGTTCGTGTCGTGCAGCAGGAACACGGCCGTCGGAGCGGGAGTGAGCGGATTTCAACCGCTGTAAGGAAAGAAAAAAAGGTGTTTCTTTTCTTTTTTTTCTTTGGCATGCAAACTATACAGAGAGGAACGAAAATGTTCGTATCGTGTAGCAAACGAGTGCGCAGTGGGCTCTCCATGCCATCTAGGCAGCAGAGGATGGTTTTTCAAAGATAGTGGTAGCGCGAGATCAGGCAGACTTCCTGGGTTCGTCACGGTCTCGTGTCTCTCAAACCGGTCCTTTCTGAAGTTAGGCTCATCGTCAGACACGGATATCCTGAGTCACGAAGGTTGAAGCAGAGTGGCTACAATTGCAACTGCCTTTGGGAGGGAAAATTAGTCATTCCAAGGATTTTGCCCGCCGGCGGGCAAACTGCTTGGAATGACTACATTTTCCCCTATGTAGTCCGATCAACGATAATTTTCTGAATGCATTGGAGTCACCAATCATTCAATCTCCTGCATTGAAGCGACTTGAGCGTTCGACTAGAAGCTAGAAGATAGATATGAGATGAAGGATCTCATTGTGGATGCTAGTAGGGCCATCTTGGTATCATGACGCTCTCCTGATTTTCCTAGATTTTCCCCGCACACTAGACCAGCGTGTTTATCATCTGGGTATCAAGGCAGGCGAAGTGGGCAACAGGATCGTGAGTCTTACATTTGCATGCAAGTCTTGTCAAGTGACGGATGCCGTTCAACCAGGTTACGGTGGGGGCGCCATCCCGCGCAAACGCCGTGGCGGCCTACTTACATAGCTCACCAAAGCCGTTCGTCCTCTCGTCAGAACGCGGGTTCACTACAATCACAGGCAGGTACAAGGGAGTTCCGGTGTCCATCGTGAGCATTGGGATGGGACACCCAAATGCCGACTTCTTCATGCGCGAGGTGCGGGAATGCCTCAGCGGCGACATGCTGGTAGTAAGGTCAATGGGAACCGTATCGGCTTTTTGTTTGTGCGCGATCTGATGGTGAGACTTGTGCGCGGGATGCAAGGTTTGGGTCCTGCGGTGCTGTTATAGATGTGCCGGTGGGGACGGTTGTGGTACCAAAAAGTAGTATTTGTGTTACCAGGAACTACGATTTCCCCTTCGCCAGTGGATCGTCACAGGAGTATCTGTACAAGATAAGCAGACCGGTACGCCAATACTTCAGATCAGATTGGTGCTTTTAACGACTGTGGCATAACTAGAGGCAGATTCAGAGCTTCATGCTGCAGTGCGTGTTCTTTCCATATGACGGAATATTCTTCATCAGCTCACAAAGACCGGCCAGTTGCAATATGCACTTAATAAGCACCGCAGCTCAGAGGAAATGTCAGTTGTGGACCATGTCATGAATGCATCTACGGACAGGTCCGTCCTATTTCCGATGCGCTCCCGCAGCGTCCTTTTCTGACATTGCTCAACTTTTACTCTTCGCAAGGACGGCAAACTTCGTTCCCAGACTAAGACCGCATAGACCGACTCAAGTCATCTCACATAAATCTGGCCACTTTTGAGGTGACGTTATCTGCCCGTCTGCCTCGTTTGACAACGAATTGACGAAACACCTATCAAAGATGGAAACTTTCCACATACTGCACCTAGCTGCAAGTTGGCCGTCTGACACACCCTCCGTACATATCGCATCTGCCCCGCTCAGCACCCTGTCGGTCTCACCCGCCGTTTCATCTTCCCATCTACCATCTGCTCAGATGCAGCCAGCTGGCGCATTGCCCTCTGCACGCAATGGTAAGCCTCTTGTACCGGGACCGCGCATAAGAGCCGCTGCTGCGCAGATGGTGTTCGCCTCTCGCACGTCGCAGGGTTTCATCACCCCACAGCAGGTCAGAGACGTCGAGGCGTGGGCGGGTCGGGCGGTGTTGGAGGCACTGACAGGCTTTGTGATTGACCCAGATGTAAGTAAACTCACTTTGAGATTGCATCGTGCTGAATTGTGTCCCATCTGCATTCAGAGATTACACGATGAGGAGGGGAGTGTATGGGAACTGAACTACGCTAGCGCGAGAATGACGTCGTACAAATTGAATTTTAGAAAAACAAACAAGACGCTTCTGAACTCGCTTCTGGGATCTAGCAAGCTCCCTACGTCACTGTATCACAGGTCTCGTGCGATCCACTTTACTTGGCACTGCTTTGACGAGCTGCATCCAGCCTTCGCACAACTTGTGTCAATTTCGCGCTCTTCAGGTGGTTGGCTATGGAGCAACGCAGCAATCCCCTCTTGGAACGCCAGCTTTCTCCCTCCCTCTCAGCCTCGAACATTCCCAGTACCGGATCTCTACTCACTTGTTACGTGGTGACGAAAAGCCCCGCCCCCACGATGTGACCAACATCCTATGAGCTACCACTGCGGGCTCGCAAAGCACTGTTTGGGGCTTGTGCACATCTGTGACAACGAGATACCGCGACTTAGTGCCGTTCAGCACGTACCGGGGGATGCTGGCGCCCATTGGGTCGACCTGACACGCCGCACCCGCACTAACTTCAGGCTACCCCGAAGAGCTCGCCTTCACGCAGCTGGCCCAATATCTAATCGACTGCAACGTGAAGGCCATCCGTCTCGCTGATGTTACCACTGCCCGCGACCCCATCTGCCGTGATATCACCACGCTCCGCTTTTAGCGCAATGGTCCCCCCGCATGCCCAGAACATCTTCCAGGACATGGAGGACCGCCGCGCCGCGCACCAAATACCGTGCACGTCGCTCTATTGTTCTGTCTACTGCATAGATGTTACCCGGGACGAAGAAGGTGGCGACAGTTAAGCTGGTGGCGACGATGGCGAGTCTGGCGAGGGCACTCAGGCCAGTGAGGATGGCAGGGCCGAAACCGACGTGAGGGCGCGAGACGCGCAGAGTAAGCCAAGGAATTATATCCGCAACAAAGAGACACGAAGAATTTCTCTCTAGCATTAAATACGATCGTGCACATCACGAGTTGCGCCGACTCCGGTTGACAGCAGGCTCGTTATATAGAGGACCACCATCCGTGGATCACCATCGCCCAGTCGAGGGGCCTGGGGAGCCGGTCAGCCTCTGCGGAGTTCTGCGATCCAAGAGCTATAGCCGTCTACATAAATAAAGTCAGAAGGTTTGATTAAGAGGACAAGATATGGCTTCTTTAGCCATGTCCGAACACAGATCCCAGGATCTACTACTTGATAAATCTTTCCTTTGTGTGTCCCTGGTCGTATATCGGTTAGTACACGCGCCTGTCATTCGCTGCGCATGGATGGGACCGCGCGAAAGCTGGGTTCGATTCCCAGCCAGGGAGTAATGCATGCGCCAGCTCTTTTGTAATTTCGATGCTCTCGAAGAACCTGCCTATCCAAGTCCAGGCTCCTAAAACCATCCGTCGTTACAGCGTTCTCCTTTATCCTAGCACGCATGTTTTAGGAGATCATGTGATATATGTTTTATGAGACTTACCCTTTTTATCGAAAATTACCGGATTAGGATGAGCACTAAGAGGAGGAGAACACTGTAAGACGGCTGGCCAAACTCGTCATCCGGATTGTTCCAAGCTTATGCAAGCCTACGTTTCTCACAGGAACTTTGAGATGAACCCTATTGTAGGTCTTATTTTGTGGGGCACGAGCAGCCCCAAACTGGTTGCTTGTCGCGCACCACAGCGCGCCCGCTGCCTCACAACATCATGCAAAGATATCAGAAAATGGAAGAATATTTGCTCTTAGGTGCTCAAATTTACTCCAGTTAAATGAGGAGGCCCCAGTCATGCATTACTGTCTGTCTGCCAGTGCAACAATTTTGGTAGTTGACTGTCTGAGGGAGGTGAAGTTGAAGGTGCAGCTTAGTACCTACTGATGCTTGCAGAATGAGGAACTGCCCATCTGACATTAGCTCCAGCCTTTGCGAGTCTCTTTCTCATGCTGCGCGACATTGTGAGGCAGTGGGCGCGCTGTGGCGCGCGACAAGCAACCAGTTTGGGGCTGCTCGTGTCCTACAAAATAAGACCTACGGTAGGGTTTACCTCAAAGTTCCTGCGAGAAATGTAGGCTTGCATAAGCTCGGAACAATCCGGATGACGAGTTTGGCCAGCCGTCTTACAGTGTTCTCCTCCTCTTAGTGCTCATCCTAATCCGGTAATTTTCGATAAAAAGGGTAAGTCTCATAAAACATATATCACATGATCTCCTAAAACATGTGTGCTAGGATAAAGGAGCGAGAACGCTGTAACAACAGATGGTTTTAGGAGCCTGATCCAAGTCTTTCTACTACTTTGGGATGTCCGCATGTTCCAATCGATCACAGACTTAAGTGTCTTGACCTGGGACAATATGAGTGTGATGTGGTATATTCATTACAAGCAGATATAATGAACTGCCAGAGACCATAATGGTAAATGTCAGCAGATCTCTGCAGGAGTGTGACTTACCTCGTGGTGCTTGTGAAGGTGTTCATTTACATCTTCTGATTTGTCCTGATCATTAAAGTTCGTGCAAATGAGTGGACATACCCATTTGGAGGAAGACTCATGCATATATTCATGCAACAAATGTTTTAATGCTCTATCCTCCATGACCAAATGTGACTTGTCTTCATTATGGCCAAAGATCATGTCCACGGTCTGTTCAGGACTGACAAGGCTTTCTTCAATATGCTCCAAGATGAAATTACCACACTTGGCAATAGCACACCTTTTCATTTCCTTGTGAGTGTCTGATAACTGGTGACCACATTTGAGTATCATCAGGAGATGAAAGCTCAAAGCACTCACTTGGGTCCCAATGCCTTCTTCCTCATGCTTAGGTTCTACCACATCTGGACTGCCTCTGCTTCCTGCACTGAAAGGCGCTGAAACTGGTCTGAGACGCAATGAACACTTTGAGACTATTGCGTGGATGGTCTCAACCTTGATATGAATTTCATTGTGCAATAGCTGACAACGAGCAGACACATTGTGAGAAAGGAGAGGCAGTTGTTCCAACATGAGCCACATAGCATTGAGCTAATACAATAGCTGTTTGAGATCAGACATAATGAGGTGCGACTGTCCTGATTATAGAAAGAAAAGAAAACTACCTAGCTGAGAATCAAACTCAGCTCTTGCGCAGTCAGAAAATATGACAGGTGCATGTACTAACCGATATACGACCAGGGATGGAATTTTGTGTGCTTCTTCATCAAAATATCAAAATCTAGTAATGACATCACATTGCATCACACTTTGCAATGTCTTTACACGTCTTGTAGACATGCACCCTCTACATTATGAGGAATGAAGAGACCAAATGCACTCGACCCTGAGAACCTGAGTGAGCATTATAAACTGCTGCCTGGCATCATTTATACTCATGGACCACAGAACACCTCACTTACTAGGCTATCACAGCCAGGCTCAGCAGGATACCAATGTGGAATTGGATGTCAGTGACACATATATGAAGGTGTGCCACATGGACTCCCTTGCATCTCACGCACATCTTGAGGCAGCTACGATTGTGAATGCGCTGATGAGTGCACACCCGACACAAACACCTAAACCCAACTAAAACAAGAAGGGATCTGTGTGAGAGTGAAGGGTGATGCAACTATAATATGATGCAAGTGGGTCCCAGAACCTCGAACAAAGCCTAGGGGGATGCAACCTGTAAAAGAACAAGGGCTCGCGATGAATACGCAAAGTTGAGCGACAATCTACGACAAAGTTGCAAAAGTCAGAGGTAGAAAGCTAAAGTTGTGATGAAATTGCCAAACTTGTGGATAAAGATGAACTAAATTGCAATGGAAAGGGGAAGTATCTGTGATGGAAATGTTATGGGAAAACACAGTATTCACCATCTCAATGAAGTCGTAGTCAGTCTAACTCAAAAGTCAGAGTAAGACTAATGCAGATGGTATATTGCAGCTCGAAGTATCGCTATGTCACTATGTCGCTATGTCACTATGTCACTATCACAGTGTCGCAGTCTCTAAATGCAGTATGCAGTCTGGAAGTATTGCAGTCTCACTATGTCGCAGGGTCACAGTGGGGTATATCATGGTTTAAAGTCGCTACCACAGTAAATGCAGTTTCTTAGTAATCTAAAGTGAAGGGGGAAGTCTCCTACTGATCTTCCATGGTAATTGATGTAGATACAGCAGGTATTTATAGAGAGGGGAACAAGGGAGGGAAAATGTGGAAGTCACAAAATGTCGAATGATGAATCCTAACATTAGAAAAGGTCGCAATAGTCTAGGACCAATGGAAAAATAGAGAAAGTGAGTGGAGAGGTGAAAGTTGTACATTAGAGACAGAGATGAACAGTAAAGTAGAGGGAAAGTGAAAAAAAACATATGTTACCTGTTATAAACCACATGAAATGCTCAAACAGCATCTCCGGTCCAGCACGAAGATAGTCTTGAAAGGGAAAGTCGAACAATAAAGGGCATCAGATTTGCAAAATGAGAGGGCATGACTGTCAAGCGACACCGATAAGTCAGCACAATAAACTAGGAAGTTGGTGTGACATCGGAAGAGTACAGAATTAGATGAGAATTAGACAGGGTGCATCGAATGAGGCCCAAGGACAATGTGTAAGTCATATCTGATGAAGCGGGAGACACAAGAGTGGTGTATGAGTGATGAAAGAATGTTGAATGTCAGAGAGAAGTCGTGAGAAGTCAAGCGAAGTCGCAAAAGTTCGTAGAATGTTACGAAAGAGTTGGACACAACTCGGAGATTAAGACATAGAGTGGTGAAGTTGGAGAGATTGCTGGAAAATGCATTTTTCAGAGGCCAGGAGGTCTGAGAGCGTATCAGCATGCAGCCATATAGAATATCAAACTAACCCTCATGCACATTTGGTGGCCAATCACGTGCTGTATATTCAGTCATTTTATCAGTCTGTTCTTGCCATGGATGCGGCCAATGTGGCCACTGCTCAGGCTCCAGCTGCGAACACAGCTCACACTTCCCAACTCTGGTTTCAGACAGAATCAGGTCTGGCTATTATGACAAGAATGTGAACCCCAGGGTCGCAGCAAATATGGCCCGTATCACAAATAACCCTTTTGCTTTTGCTGCTCTGATGGAATTGCTGCAAGAGTTCATGAATGCAGCTGATGAAATGGGGAGTCAACAATCGTGTGAAGACTGTGATCGGATGATGGTCAGCTGGTGACGTATGTTGTACCGGTTTGATCCCTCCCTCTCAGAGAATGAATACTAGCACTGCAAAATTCTAATATGGTATGGGATGCATATCCTGTACTACAAGGTGTGTTTTTCTGCAAGCATGCTGCATGCATTTTTCTGCGAGCAAGCTGCATTGATTTATCAACATGCCCCTAGGTCTACCA